ACTACACGTGTAAGATGGAAGGAACAATCGACGAGGATCTGCCTTTACTGGTTTGTTCCTCCTTACAAAGCTCTTCGAGCGACTGTTACAGTTGGAAGCACCGCATGTTTCCATGGAGCAGTTATTAACTCATTCTCTGGCTGTAGGCGCAGAAGGTTGTCCATTTTCCTTTAGACGGTTGTCTGGTTTTGATCCAGGTATTCGGTGACTCAATAAGCCTTCCTTCTTCAAAAATATTTTGGAAGAAAAAAGCCCTCTGGCCATGGAAGTTGAGGGTAGCACCCCGCCTGCTGTGGGGGAGGGGAGGAGCCCGGCTTGAAAGCTGATGTGAATGCAGTAGGTCGACAGATGATTAATATGTAAAAATTCGTAGCCAAGAGGATCTCGTAGAGTGAGCCCATGAGGCTACTAAAAAGAGCGGCGACGGTCGGGAAACGCAAGCACTCAAAAAAAATTTAATCGGCTAGCTGAAGATATACCTAGCATTATACCCCTAATAACCAAAAACGAGTGCTTCTCGTAGCATTTATTTTGAAATGCGCGATGTCGATGGTGGCTTCGTTTATGAAAGGAAGCCACCTGCTTGCAGAAATAAATGCATTTCACGCCTTCGTACACGCCCTGACTAATCGATTCATGCCGAGATTAGCTCAGCAGCGAGCTTTCCTAAAATTGATAACGCTGAAGCACGAAAATCTATCAATAGAGCGGCCTGTCACAAATACGACCTTTTAGCTTCTGAATGCCATACCGTAGACTAGCAGCTACTTTATCCGTGATTTATCTCGGGTCTACCAGATGTGACATATCAGGTGGTCGCAGAATGGGCAGCAACTCAGCGACTAAACAACCAGTCGATGAAGTTTCCATAAATCATGATCTGCCCGAGGTTTCAGTAGTAAATTAGTTTAACGCATGTATCTTTGCAATAAGATGAAAAGCCTTCTCGAGTTAGAATCTATGGATGTTGGGACTGTGTCATTCGACACTAGCCTACAATATAACAAAACACCAGAGGGAACGGGCTCTCCTGAGCAGCCTCAGAAAGCCCATTCAACAACGCACGTGCTCTCGTTGTCGGAGATTGGGTCACATACTCCGGACCTACGAGCGCACAGCAAATGGCGAAGAACTTGAATAGTGCCACTGGGCCGCGGCAGGTTGGTAGGTGAGCAAAGAAGCTATCTAAGGGAACTAGAAGCAAGCCCCTGAGTCACAGTAAAGCGCAGTGAAGGGGCTGTAGAATATTGTGCCAAAACAGGCAGCTCACTACTGGCCGATTATGCGCTGCCGCTAGGTCAGAGTAATGGTTAAGGACTGCTAGTGAAACCTGCCTCTGGAAAGAAACGTAAGGCCTCACTATCCGAGCGTGCTATGACAGTGCAAAATCACCGAAAAGTTTCAAACCAGTGAGACTTCAATTGGTTATAAGATGTTGGAATGATAGTCAAGTGAAACATAAAGTAAGAAGGGTAGCGCACCAAAATTAACGAATGCGTGCTTGCGGCATTGATTCGAATTGAGCAGGATGATTTTAGCTGGCAACAGTTAGATGAAAAGGGGTATTAAGTGTTTGATTTGGCTAGCATTTGTCGAAGTGTTACATCTTGGCTTTTTGGCGTAGTGTAATGCACCCAAAGCAGGCTAACAGATGATGGTATTGCGTCAACTTAACATTATATAGCACTTCTTGAAGCGAAAATTTCCCCTTTGCGCCACTTACCGGATTTGATGTCATGTATCACGTAGGCCACACGATCAGCTTCCACTGAACTGAGCCGAGTGCTCCGGTTACCATCGAATACCAACCAGCACAAGTAAACTAATGCTAATTATATAGAACATTAACACTACCTGTTCCCTGCTGGATGTACTGTTCTGCTCGTAGAATTTAATAAATATCGAAGTGCGGGAGCACTGCGGCTGTATGTATAGTGATGCCCCTGTTGGAAGCTGTGGACGGTACACAGCAAATTCAGGTCCTTTAGGATTATCATTGTAGCATCCCTCCGATGGTTTCAATTAAAAATCTCTTCGCCGCAAACCATCAAAAAACTTCGTGGAAAGCAATTTATTGTCTTTCCCAGTAAATGTGCTTCTACGCTGCCATCTCCTCACGAAGATCCCGCATAAGGGAAAGGAGCACAGACAGCGTGTGAGTGCTGCAAGCCAAATATCTGCGAGCATTTTTATTAGATTGTGAATGCCCCTTAGCGCGCAGGCACACGGCGCTCATTTTTGTGTTAGGCTAACTCTACTCGAGGGCAAATAGAATACGTAAACAATAAGAGCCACCAGACAATTCTGAAGATATCCTTAATGAAATAGAAACAAAACTGTAGATAGTGCCACAGTGTAGCTTGACCCGGCCATAAAAGGTGCACAAAAGGTAGGTCTCATGACCTCATTCCATGTACAAGTGGTACCACTCAAGGCAGAGGACTGCTAAACATCCAGATGCATTCTCCCGCGCTACCACGCACATTAGGACAAAACAGAGTGTGTCCCTCGCAGTGCATCACTCTTATCAGCGCCATGTATCTACATAGTATCGAAACCGTTAATTTTCCAAACCAAGTGTGAAAACATTGACTCTTTTGGATCTCATAGTATGAGCATTTAAGCACGCGCTTACAAATGTGTAAATGCTATATCCTTCCTCAAGCTTTTAGGTATTTGTAGACTGTCTAGTTACTGAGGCGGGCAACGTGTAGCAGTGCTTGAGTCACATAGTTCCGCTAGGCTGCACGGAAAGGGATGCCCATTTCAACTGGCGTATGAGTAGGAAATATTTGATTTGTTTGCAGCCGCATCTACACAATCAACTTCCGACTCCAATATGTCTTGGGAGTCCCAGTATGGTAAGTCATGCAGCAGAGCATTAACAAGAGCAAGCTCATCTTGCTTGGTGGGGCACAGAAGGGGAGCGGCTGGAAGACAACAGTCGCCTGCAATAGACCAGGCTTGCGCATGAAAGCGGCAAGCTCCAGTATCTAGAACCAAGTTTTTGTGGCTGAGGTATCCCAAGTAACGCACGCACCAAGAACACGATCCGAGGAAGGGCAATACGCAAGCCAATACGAAATGGCACACCTCAACAGCCCCCTACAGCTGGTACTTACATTATCAAAAAACGATCGTATTTCCAATTCTTTCTAAAGTTACTTGTGTTAGTGAAACTGTTGGCAATGACTAGCTTGGGGGCAGCACTGGACAAACTGTATTGCACAACTTCCACTGGAATTGCGCCCATTCTTCCTGAGGGATATTTCATTTTCTCCACACTTTGTCAAACCATATATGGCATGCAATTTTATTCCCTTGTCCTTGAGCAAGTCCAAAAATTCTATCCCGCCCTGCACAAGGTCGTTCGCTGGCGCTGTTGGGAAATAATTTTTTCATGTACAATCAGGCTCCCTACAATTTGGTGATACTACAGTGCCTCCAATAGTCCATGTTACCATGGAATGCACCTGAGTCCATGTGCAGTCGCGAGTCTGTTCTGCAAGCACAAATATTACGATACACACTCGTACAGCGTGTCTTCGCCCAAGTTCATATCCCCAGAAAATGCCTGCTTTTACAGCGTTGAGTTCTAAAAGCATAAAGCCGGTCAAAAACAGCTCGAACTTACTGTTTGAGAGCGGCTGAGTATCGTCCAGAAAAACAGCTCTCCATGAAGTGTTTGCACCCCGACGCATGTAAATATGCAGCTAAGCGTAATCGATTATGAGAAAATCGTACTCGCGGGTGTAATAAATGATACGGGCTGGTGGGACGGCCGGCTCCCGCCAATTCTGTTGTAGGAAAATCGAGATCGTGATCAAATGGTAAACCCAAAACAGCAGGCAATAAACACCCAATTCTTGCAATGAATTTCCAGTGAGGCCAGAAAGTAATTGAAGACCTTTTCTGAAGCTGGTTTGCATTCCGCAGAAGGCAAACTTAAGGACGGTAGATGCCAAATCTACAGCCCCTCCAACGTTTTCACTATGAGCCTTGGTTGCGTCTTTGTCTTCCATGATTCTGTTGCAACATGGTTCACATCCTGCTGTAGAACTATTCAAGATCAACCCAAGGCACTAACTGTGTTACAACCGTGCTGGAAAGACAGCTGGGAGCCTATTCAGCTACCGCGTGAACTATCACAGGAGGCCCACGCTCGTCCCGAGGCCTGTAAACACTCTTCGAGGGCTAGAAAGTAGTCTATATGGTACAATCAACATGAAGTCATGGTGTAGAGGGGTGAGAAACTCTGTTACCCTGCCGGGTGATTTGGGGGCTCCAGTGAGCTTGCCATTGTTCACTACTCGAGTATAGGGGTTCGTAAAAAGTTGAGGTGGAAACCCGTGGCTCCACCGAGACCCAATCACCTAATTGCTCTTTATTGTGGATATGCGCAATGATAGCTCCACCTGCTGAATAGAGGTTTAGTGAGTAAGTGGAATATGTGTTCTTGTTCATCAAATATTGTGCGGTTCAGCTGCGCGCATGCAATCCAGTGTCAAGCCGAATGCTCAGGTATACCACATGTAGCGTTGACAACCTGGTTATCCTGCCCTCCAAAGTGTCTCTTCAAAATCTCACTACTTCCTACGAGTTTTATCCACTGCGGAGTTTAAGGGTGTTTCTGCTGGTGACAGAGCGCAAGAACTACTTGATGCGTGTGCACAAAAGAATGGACGCCAAAGTCCTATGCGCCATTACTAGCCGTGGTACCCAGAATAAACGCGTCCATAGGGCACAGCTGTAGACCAAGCAACTGCCTTCAGTGCACACTCCTTTGGTGTGGTGTTGGAACTCAGTGACCATGTTTGGCTCTTCAGCGGATCAATGGATAGCTCGCTACAAAAGCTGCTGCTGCTAGCAAGACACCTGTGCAGAAGTTCACAGATGCAACAAGCCACCAAGTGCATGACAAGCCATGACGAGCTCTTTTAGAATGATTTCGAATATTTCACTGCTTCTGTGAAATGGCCATCTGGGAAGCCGCATGCCTTTTAGCAGAGAGGGCCCTCGCGCCCAGGAGCGACAAGGGCCCCTACAGCCCCCAAGTATCCATCGTGACGCAGGAACAGAACCTGAGACAACAGAAACAAAGGCATTTATGTGACCTGATATTGAAAACAAAGTGGCACTTCACCCTCACGATAAAACATAGCTGATCAGGATCTGTACACCCCACAGTGTACCCGTCAGTTGTTTACATGCCCAGATGCGGAGCACCCTCAATCAAACAATATTCACCTCAAAAGGAGCCCAGCATGCAACTGTGCCACCACCAGCCACCTCGGAATGAACTGGTAGAGGGCCGAGGAAGCTGGAACTGTTGTTGCCTGTGGATGGGCTAGGTGACGAGCGCAATGGCGAGACGGTAGGCTGCTCCAGCTGCTCAGATGGCCTCTGCTGTAGTTGCTGTTGCGCCTGTGAGAGCCTCTGCGCTTGGGGCCTGACTGGCATAGACATTGGACTAACATCTCCAACTGCTGACGCCACATGTATACCTGATGCAGCAGTCACACTGTATGCTGCATGAGCCAGCGCACTAGCTGCAGCCGCTGTGTCTTCTGCTGGGGTAGAGTCCAGAAGCCCTTGTGGATGCTGGCTCGGCAAGCCATCGCTGTCGACTTGAAAAGGAACACGCTCGGCAGCCGCCGCGCGTACATGCAAAGGCGGCTGCTGTAGAAGGAGCTGTTGCTCCAACAAAATACGCTGCTGTGCACTGACATTGAAATTTGGTGGTGCAGCAAGAAGCGGCGACGCAGGACCCCGCAAACAGCTCTGAGGAGTATGCTGGTCATACTGCTGCATATAAAAGTTCACTCCTTGCGTTATAGACTCCATGGTGAAATCATAGTTGTTAATAAACTTTCCTGCAAAGAATATCCTGCAAACAAATTCGGTGAAGAAGCCAGGAGAAGTCACCGTTAACACCAGTTGCTGCTCCCCGAGGCAGTGGGCGGAGGGACAGTCAAGAAGACAGGGGTGTGCGGCCTCGTCAGCGTACAGACATACACACAACACTTCCGAAAAGACCATTAATAACCAGGGAGAGATAAAGATGTAATGGAAAGGGCCCTGCTATTTGGTGGTCATTCAAAAGAATTCTCACCTGCGTACGCCATGAGCAGTGCCGACCAAGTAGGCGAGGTATCCCAGGTTATATGAAACCATATGAATGAGACTCCTCGCGATATCTTCCTTCCTAGCAAAAACTCGACGCACTCACAGAGACGTTTGACCTGAGGTTTCCCAAAAAAAATCGCCAATAAATCTGCTGAGTACAGATTTTCGGTTGGCAACTTGCTTAGGCACAAAAATGGCACCAGACAACCTCCCGAAGGTAAGATCTTACTGCCCCAGAACCGTAAGTTTTCACATTGTGTCATCCCTCACTTGGGGCGAGGAAGGTCAGGACGGTCTTCTAGGTACAGTCGTCCGAAGCTGAGGAAAGCAAGCAACGCATCTCTACCTACTATACAGGTTCCAGCAGTGAGAGGCTCCCAGAGGCCTAGAAATTTCAACATTACGAGTATACCAAGAGATCATCCGAGCAAGCGGCGCTATCGCTCTTCTCCGATTGACGCAGTCAAAAAAGGTACAACTCCACAGTGTACTCTGACGTTTCCCAGAAGTCTACTGCTTACGCGCCAAGCTGCAGGCTGCGCCTCTATAACATATTTGCAACAACAACTAGGCTGCAGGAGAGGAGTGTGGAGAACACGGAACGAGGTTCCAGAGAGGTTAAAGGAGTGTACCTCGAGGCTAACGCGTCGGGGGCTATGCAACGACTGCCGGCCGCATCGCCGCACAAGTCTGCGACCCTCAAGTCCATTGCATCAGTACCTGCGATAGAGGCAAAACCAAGAGAAGCGCTCACCAGGATACCCTGATAATTTAGGATGGGTGAATTCGACTCCACACACTGGGACAGGCAACAGCTATATGTCTTCTGGAGCCTGAAGAGAGCTGCACCTCTCGCGAGCCAAATGGCTAGAAACTGCACGATACCTCTTTCAGAGAGGCGGACAACTTGCCGAAAACTCTTGGCATGGAAGAGGAGACGCGCTAGACCCAAGACGGTGCCCCCCCCAATACACGTGCCGGTGACCCTAACATAGCTGCTGGCGCTCTTAGCCTGGTGGTACACGAGGAAAGACACTCAACAAAGAGGTGTATAAAAGTGAAACCGCGACTCAGGAATGCATGGAAGCGAAGAGAGCCATGTTGGCAGGAGGAAGGGAAGCACTAAGCATTTGCTTATCAACAGTGAGTGAAGAAGGGGAGAAATAGGACAGTGAATTGTGGTTGCAGGCCATGCCTTGATTATGGAGACGCCCGAGCCAATGTTCACCACCAGGAACGGGTACAGGTGACGAGACTGTTTTGCGTAGCGCAATACGACACAGAAGCAACAAACAGCACAGAACAGAGCGATATCAGGAAGGAAACAAGTGGAGAACGAGGCAAGCAGTGCCACGTGGAGGGACTGCCAATACCCGCAGCTCAAGCTCAGTAGTCACGCGAGCGACACAACGGAGACTTGAAAGAAAACATATGAAAATGCAAGATGCCGGAGACAAAAGCCGAGATACAGGGGAACTACATGAGAGGTAGGGCCAATACGCTCTAGAAAAGCGCCGAGGCGGAACGATAAAACAGAGAAAATGACGCAAGGCGGGAAATGGCGGTATGAGTACCTCAGACAAGGCCACGGTTATAAAAGCTATCGCTGAATTTCATGGCTTACAACATCAACGGGGACTCTCTGTTTGGTCGATAAGTCAAAGCGAAACACGGAATTCGTGTGGGAGGCCAGCAGCACGAGACCCGCCATGATGCTGTCTATTTCGTCTGTCCGCTGTATATTCACTCCCAGCTGCTCTTTGAACAACTTCGCATACTTCATTGCGCCACCGCCTGTCATTCTCAGCACTCCTCCGCTTACGAGTCGACGGCCTGAAGAAGAAATTGGGGACGAGGCATTGACGCTACGAGTGGAAGACGCGGCAGAATCGATAAAACTTTCCATGAAGGCAACATGAGCAGCTTTATGCAGTGCGCATGCCTTCCTTCAGAGCAGTGATCAGAGCGTGGCAAGTGCCTAGCACCATTGCCCTCTGTAGAATGGCATCCAGATAACGAGCAAAGCGCCTAGGCGGGAGGGGTCTTTGCCCATGCGAGAGATGTGATGAACCCTTAAAAGGCAAGCCAGTGAAAGGGATCCGAAACAAGGAGCAAAGAATCGAAAAGCGATGAGGAGCGACAACGCACTTCGGAGACAGTCGACGAGGGATGCAATGGCTTTCGTGCGGAAGTAAGTAAAACGCAGGACTCGACGGGGAGACGCTGAACAGACATCCAAAACAACCAAGCGCAAACTGTACGGCGTCATGGTCTTAAACCACAAATCAAAGACATCACGGATAAGGCTGCATAGAATTCGCCGGTTCTAAGATATCCAGTTTCTTTCGTTGAACCCCACCGCATCGTTTGCGCCAGGAAAAGAGAATCTCCAGTGGAGGACGAAACACAGAAAAGTGCTGCCGGTGAGCCAGGAATATTCCCAAACACAAAGAGAGTCATGCAAATGGGGAGGATGAACTGACCGCGTATTGTAAGAGAGGGAGACGCCAAGTCAAGCGCGGCATCGCAGGTACTCGAGTAGGCCCTCGCAGCGAGTTGGGGGTCTCTCCTGGACAGAGTGGTCGCCCCCACAGTGCCAGTAGCATCTACTGATGCTGCATCGACGCTCTGATGCCCTAACTCTTCTATAAAGACGAGCTTCGCCAGGGTACCCCCCATATCTACCGCGCAGCGAAAGCTGGGGGAGTCCTCTTCTAACAAGGAGAAGAGAAAGGCCGCTCCAGGGCTGAGGGGCTTGCGGGGTATCAACAAAAAAATATACTCCCCCATACGACAGCCACAACGGCGCCGTAGGCTACGACAGTTCACATGATTTCTAATGCCCCTAGCATCTTCGTGGGAGTCTTGCGCTGCACCGTAGTGTGCATGCCTGCAGCAGCGCACAAGTTGGTGGCAGCCATGACGGCAGCACCGCCGCAATAGCTCGGGGGGACGCACAGCTGCATCGGAGACATGGGAGTCCTCTAGGTGGCGAGGGATTTCTGTCGCTGTTTCAGAGCAGCATTTATCTTCGTCGCTGCTTTGCCTGTGCCTCTTGCTGCCCTCCGCTGAACTTGCAGCATCAACGGGGGTTCCCAGTTTCGCTGTCGCAGTAGGTACAAGTGCTGTAACGTCCTCCTGCGCTGGACGACTCGGTGAAGACAAACGGAGGCCGTCATTAGCCTCCATGGCTGCTGCTGGTGCTGTCCCTTCTGCTGCGAAACTTGCAACTTATGGCTCGTTTATTGCAGATGTTCCACTGCTACTCCTTATACTGGAACTACAGCTCATGCATGTGGGTGATATATTGCGGGGTCAAAAAAGAGGAATTCCTCACGACGGCAAAAATTTCCTTTACCTACTACAACCACAGGGACTGTTGGGGGCTAAGCACAAAAGCTGGGTCGCCTCCGGTGGAATAACCGATTAGAAAATCTTTCCGTAGGCACAAAAGTACACAAAATCACCAACACTGCACGTCAAACGAGGAATTAACTGGCCTCATTCCGCTTATGTCGTGGGTTAGTCCCCTTTGCCGCCCGCCAGACCAGGTATGCAGCAAAGAAGCTACATGCAAAAGAATGTTGCGGTGTCTTCTATGAACAAAAGAAAGATGCGCCACATGCTCAGCACTTTGTAGGGGATAAGGAATCATAAGGAAATGCCCTTTGAAAGTCGGCATTGCAGCTGTTGCTGCAGCGGCCGCTTCAACATCAGTGGCAGCAGTTTCAGAAGCATGCGGCCTTGTGCAGCATGATACTGGCAAACCCTTTACGTCTTCAGGGGGCAATGGCATGGCACTTCAGCTCACTTTAGGACGTTTGTAGCTGTGTTATGACAGATAACGCATGCAATCACGGAGTATGGCGGCCTCAAGGTCACCTGAGCTTCCCGCAGTGCTCCAAAGGAAAAGCGTTACTGGAGCCGTGAGTGTGAATTTACGCTGATCGGAGCTGAGCCTTCGGATGCGTATGGTCTTGAGCCTGTGAATGGCTGTACTACGGTACTTTCCACAGATCCTCTTGATATGACAATGGATACCGTGAACGGCGACTCTGTACTGGCGAGTGTTGACAGAATGAAGCAGAGGTTACTTTCGACTAGTTAACATTTGGTATGCCTATGTCCAGACTTTTTGTTATTGCATGTAATTGCGTAAACTCCGTGGGCAAGCGGTATTTCTGGATAGTGACTTGCAATAATGCGTGTTATGGTCTGGCCGTGCTCTGTGCCGAATAACTCCTTGCATCCAGCTGGATGCCTCTGTGCTTGTTTACCTTCATCCTGCTACCTTGTAACCTTCCGGTTGGCGAAGACCACTCAGCTAGAGATAAGCTGGTGACGGGCCGTCTGTCTCCGCAGAAAGACACCTGTCTCCAAAGTCCACTGTAACAGTAGAAAGGTAACTAGCGGTTTTTCATAAAGACCCTCCTCTTCCCCTGTCCGCACCCCGTAGATTCCCGGCATAAAGGAAGAGGGACAGCTGGGTTGCGCGTAGCTGCATCATATAACAAGTATTCCCAGCTAGTCGCACATAGCATCTAGCGCCCAGTATCATGAATCCTGTAGACTATACCCATACAAAATAGCGTCATACAGCGGTTAGGCTACTGTGCGGTGAACAAAGTGTACGAACACGCAGTATTCACAAGTCAATTTCTTACTAACTCTCAGTTAAATATAACTACTGCATTAACAAGTAACTTGGCGCAGCTTAGCCCGCTGAATCTTCCCTTATTACTTCCCAGCATTTACACTCAATTCTGCACCTGTATGCTGAGATCAAATCCTTGGAGGCCACCGTAAGCAGTCATGCCCTATCTCCACTCCCCAGGCAGCTTGAAACGCGTATATAGTGCAACAAGAACGGTGAAGCGAGAACTGGCCGGGAGAACACACGAAAGACATAAACCGACAAACAGCGAACGGGGGCCAAATTCAAGCCAGCTTCAGCAGCGCTGTGGCTCGATGTTGTCGAAGCGCTGAAACGTGTGCCCTACCTCCTACCAGAAAGCAGAAATAAGAGACTGGATCAAAATACACACTGCTTCAGCAATGCGCCCATGTCTCAGCGAATATTCTACCGGCAAATGCGGTGTAGTTGATTTCGAAATCCCGAAAAAGACATGTGCAGGAATGTAGCAACAACACATCCGACAGTGCCTGCGCGTGAACCTGTACAGAACTCCTTATCGATACTAAGGGGAAAAGTTCCACACAATTGATACCCCAAGACGGAGGAAATTCCCCGGCGCAGAGCACGTGTAGGGCAAGACAATCACAACACAGCGCAAGAAAATACTCTCCATAGAGACAAGAATTGAGTGCTTAACAGAGGCGTAAACTATAATGCAGGCAACAAACCTCGCAACTGCTCCGCCTTCAATCACTGGCGTCGGCACGTTCTACCCTATTTTGCTCGAAGACCCTGTATCTTCGTCGCTCAGTAGTCTAGAAGCCAGCATTTCTACACCACCCTGTTGGCCCTTCGCTCTTACATGCTCCACCTGCTTGTGCAGCAGGGTCTGCTAAAAATTTCTGGGGAATCTGCTGTACTTGTACAGGATGCCGTTATTGGTAGTTCTGTGGCACTTCCAGCTTGCAGGGGAATCAGTAGAGTAAGATGGATCATTGCTCAATAAGAAAAATGCAAACGGTCCTATCCACATGGCCACAAATTTCTGTCATTTCCTGTAAAGCATCTCGTAAAGCCTGCCGATCCACCTGGACCAAATATCAGGCTTTAAGCACAAAGCCGGACACCAGTGACCAAATATCCGTGCTTTTCCCACTTCAGCTTCGCACATTCATTTGCCTTCACCAGCAGGCTGGTCATCGAATCCCTCTGCGGCCAAAACCGGTTGCTAAGCCCGAACAACCTGATTCAGGCCTTGATTGGAGACGGGCTTCTCAATGTAGACAAAGGATGCGGCGGAGCATTTGATCGAACTTCCCTGTAGCTAAATTAAAATTCCATTTAGAAGCAGGGAAAAATCACAGTTAAGCAATCAAACTTTTGTGAGCACAGAATCGGTAAACCTCCAGGAAAGAACATTTGGTGCATTTTATTTGGTTGCCTGCATCAGACCGGCTTGCAGTGCTGAAATTTTGATCAGTTTGAAGGCAGATCAAACGGCACTGTAAAACGCACTAATGGACTTCTGATCTCTACCAAAAAAGGTACTCCTGAGAAATGCATAGAGTTGGTAGCGTTACGTATAAATAGTTAAGCGATGTCGTGAGTTATGACATAGCTGGAGCAAGAGGTAAAATCGGCACATCTGCTGAGCCCGTCAAGAATGACGTGGATGTTGGCCTGACCCTTGGCCTTCAGCAATCCAAAACTAAGCTTCTTTGGCATTGACAAAGTAATACAAGGCTTTACAGTATCCGGAAGGCTTTGAAAGATGAATGTACTAGGGAAATTAAGCGCCGTTGACCTATTACAGCCCTTTTCTGCTGAGGTACGTATTCCGGGCCACATGAAAGACCGTGACCAGCTTTCTACTAAGCTGTGAGCCCCGTCATGACACGGAAGAATACAATCGTGTGCTCTGAAAAATGGAGCTGCATGGCCGTCACAACTGACGAATGACAGATTCACAGCTTCTCGGAGAACCGCAAGCCATGATAAACCTTGTACTGCATCCTGCTTTTGTTTTTCTGACTTTTGGCAGCAGTCGCAGATATGTTGGTGTGACACGCATGAGGCGCATTGATCGCCTACATGAATCGTGGATTATCCTAGACAAGTGCGGCTACGCTGTACAATACTGGGGCCTAGCAACAACGCGTCAGCGACCACGTTGGTCCATGCTTCACTTGTTGGTCCATGCTTCACTTGACAGTCGTACTTCGGGAGGTGCCCAACCAGCGCACCACTCTAGGGTCTTCAAAACCCTGAACGGATTCTCTATGCTACAGTTGAACTGATGGCTAGTCCGGACACTAATAAGACACTTACATAAATAATGCGGACATAAGTTCACACCCTACTACAACAAACAGAGCATCACTTCCCTCACGAAAAGCAGCTTCTCGGTTCGATTGAGCGATAAAAGCAACAAGCACCAATATGGTGTTTTGAAGCTTTAATTCTCTGTTGAGAAAGACTAGCACTCACCTCTATGTCACTTGAATCGGCTGATAATATGCAGTGACGCTTCCAGTCCGGCAGCACGAATTCCAGAAGTTTTGTCAGGGCATCCAAAGGCAACCTGCGTTCGGCACCACCCTTATCTAACTAGCTCGTAGGAAATGTGTTCTGAAGATCATTAAAAGCGGCGAACCAAGCAAACTCAGCAGTGAATTTCAAAGGCGAAGCAAGCCCAGAGCACTCTGCAAATTCCTTTGGGTTGAGTAAAGTGTAACAGCACTCCCTAATTGCCTTAATTTTTCTCCGCAGCTGGCGCATTTTTTGTAGTCAAAAAGCGAACTCCCCAAAACGCCCTTCTGTGAACAGTGATGTGCTTTCATATACCAATGCTTGTCTCGCAACAGCTAAAGCGCACGCCTTAGATGCTTTAGCTGTCCCTGGAGGCTATGGCAAAATACTGATACGTCCAGTAGACAAATAAATTATCTAGCTTATGTAGATAAATCAAATCTTGCTCCACGCGCCGCTGCACTTCCGCTGGGGTACAAACAATTCTTAGCAGGGACTGGTGTGGATCGCCTTTTCGGCCTTCTCTAAAAGGTGGCCGTGGATTATAAGAATTTGTTTGTATCATAATTGCTTAATAAAATTTATCAGGCGCTTCATTTCTACAGTAATCTTGTTTTCAGGTTCAGCACTAACGCATATGCAGTATCCGCCGTCCTTGTCCGGTTTCAATACCAAGTTCTACCTCAAAGCGCTAGTCAGATCCTATTCGGTGCCTTCTCTTGGTAAGCGACTCTGGTGCTTCTCGTTTTCTTCTTTGTGGTATGTGAGGTGCCAAACCCGCAGAACATAGCTTGGAGCTGACATGGGGATGACACAATACTTTGGGACAGAAGACTATCAGGGACTGAGCTGCTGGCAACTCGTCATTATGGAGCATATCCGCTAATACTTGCCATTTCCTGCTGTTTTGAAAGCACTCATTCAATATAATTCCTTAATGAAAACCCGTCACAAAGCCAGGAAGACAAGAATCATGCTCAGAGCCGTCTTCTCCTAGTGTGCTGCTGCGCCGCCCGCACAATGACGGTGCGTCACCGTACCCTGCTTACCACAGATGAGATAAGCTTTGCTGAGGGGACCATGAGTTGCTCCTTTTTAGCATCTTCCTGCGTGCTCATCTTCAAAGCATGCAGCTGTGGCCGCATGCGCTCCTTCCATTTTGCTACCCATGGTTTACCTTAGATTTCGTGATGGTACACGGGTCCAATATAGAAGCGGTGGACCATGCTGGTCTACCTGATTCTGGTTTAAAATGACGTCTAACCACCAAACTGTCGTCAATTCTTGTGTTTTGCCGCCCTTCATCAAACCTGCGTCTTTTGCACGGAGTCATAGAGTGAACCGAACGGTTACAATTCCACGTTGTCCGCTTGGATAAGGGATAAAACTCCACATACAGTGTTTCTATCATCATTAGGAAATCTTGATTGCTCACTTTATTTTATAGCAGCGCATAACCTGGCTTGTGGTGGGTGTTCAACCGAGGCTCTCTCCTGCCTATCCCGTTTACTGCGCCTCCGGCTGATTGGGCTCGACGTTTTCCTGATGCTCCTGTGTTTGCTTGCCAAGTGTACTAATTCCGCTGCGCCCACTCCCGTTATTTAGGGTTTGTGGCATTTTTCATGCGTCTGCAGCTCCGGGGTATGTAGCCCTGCTTACCACAGTACAAGCAGGCGTGTTGTTGGGTCCATTTCTGCATGCTTAGGAGTGCAGCGTTCTTCAGATTTCCTCTGATCCAGCTTTGATTGCACACTAGGGCCGGACGATACATCTTAAAGTCTATAAACTCTAAGTTGCGACTTCGCTCTTTCTTTTCAGCCAAAGATACACGCATTGCGCCCAAGTGCTCCTGAATCCCGAGTGTGTCGTACTTTGGGAAGGCTCTTCCAGTCGGTCCATTACTCGCTGACCTGTTGCCCATTCTGCAAGCATCCGGCCTGACATCCTGCATAAACATGAGGTAAGCCACTTCGAACGCAGCGGCTCGATAATGCCGCAGTCACTGAGAGCCAAAGTCTCATGGTCTCGATTACCCGATACTTTCTTTAACCCTTCAGCTGTCTCAGTTATCTCAAAGTTCGCTGCTGTGCTGATATTGGCGTAAATCGATAAACTGAGTCCGGCACCAAAGCTTAATTGCAGGCGAACGGTTGGTTCCACATGTATAGAGTCTCCAATGAAGTGCTTTTCCTTCCATTAAACAAGCCGCAAGAACTTGCTTCTCTTCACCAGGGACTACAATGCACATTAAACATCTAGCGATCAATTGAAATCTTTGAGCACTTGCAGATGGTTACCGCTGTGGTACTCTTCTGGTCGGCATAACCTCATTGACGCATCGATAAATAACTAATCGCCTAACAAACTATGCCATTCTACCATCAGTGGGGGCTACTGTCATCTTGCAGGCCTGCTTCTGCCACCTCAACAAGTCTTGTCTTCAGCATCCATTGCCTGTGGGCTGTTTTCGCCCAAATACTTTTCCAAAGAAAGCGAGTCGATTAATCTACAAGATGACTACAATAGAATCAATAAGCTGTTCGACGGAATATGACATCCCAATACATTCAGAATCAGTGAATGACGGGGGGCTAGTACAACTCCATTGAGCCAAGTGGTGAGTTCATCTAAGAAATCCGCAGTCTATCACTCATCTCCAAGTTTAAGACTAATTTAGTGGTAACTTGTTGGGGCTGGTCCAAAAAAGCTCCGGCCTTCCCGCGCATAAAACCCCTCCCCTTTGGGGGGAACAGAGTCGGCTAGGATGAGCATCGTTGCAGCCTGTCGGCACTCCGAGCATTTACAGCTAGCGACGCGCATTTTCAAGCCCATATGCATGAACAGTGCACCTTCTTGTATCGAGCTGACATCACTCTGCCGTATACGAGATATACAAAGGGGCGAACCAATTATCGAACTCTTTAGTGTTTCATAGTCAAGCGCAATAGTGGAGTGGAAAGTGTGAGAGTAGCTTAGCCGACTACAGCTTTGCTTCGTGAACGTAGGAGAGAATATAAATCTGATGCATATATCCTTCTAGCACCACCCCTATCACTATCCAAGTGCCACACAAGTAGGCCATGCCTTCGTCCGTTGTCAACGACTATTGTTCGTGCTCTCGCGGGTCAAAACGACAGCAGCTCGGTCCAGTTCCTGTGTGCATCTAGGGAGGGCACTGGCATCGGTAGGCTGGGATAAGACTAAACTAACTTAAAAGGTCACAAGCAGCAAATAACACGCAACAAGCCGCTAACTAAGTTCCAAAAGGGTTCTGACTGTCATGTGCTTATTTAAAGCTTTGCTCGGTTGACCGTGCATAGCGAGAGCGCGCGCACACTGGAAATCCAGTGCATGCCACCACGTGGGTAACGAAACTTTCGAGCTATATTTTCTTCGATGACTTTCTATTTTGAAACCAAAGAGAACGAATTGGATCCTAAGAATCCGCTGAAGTTGTTTTAAACCCCGAACCGCTCCGCCGTGCTGCAGCCCCACAGGCAGCAACAAAACGGACAGTAAGCAGCATCAGCAGCAACCACAGCGAGAACCACAGCAGCTGAAACAGAATTTAATGGGCGGGGATATGAAGAGTGGCAGAAAAACAGTAGGTCATACGCTGCCTTCCGGCGCCCGCTTAGCAGTGGCGAGTGTCTCCAGGGTCATGCCGCAGATCTGAGGCAGTGAAGAACTTGTCTTAAGTTTAAAGCCTTATTCTCCAATGCACTGAGCTCAAAGCCACACACTGCGCATCCTAGGGGCGCTTCGACTCATCTGTAAAGCCACCGTTTCTAACGCTGGAAGGCGACATATCATCGGGTCACCAGCTACATGGGGACCCTTGCTGCAGGTGATTAAGGCCCCCTTAAGCCTACCGTGGCATACACACAGCGGTTGCGCCCAGATTCAGTGATAAGGACCTCCTTGCGTCACAGCTTAAATGAGAGAGAGTGCATGACGCAGGGAGGTGAAGCGAGTATCTCGGCCTTTGTTGCTGTCGGTGCCCTGCTGCTTCTGCTGTACCGGGGAAACAAACGGAACGGCGAAGACGTTTTCGCGCCATATGCGACTTCTTACCAATATCAGCATGTCACAAGCTCCGCAGTCCCCACCGGGTCCCCCGTGACAGATCTGTGAACATCACATGAAGAGACTGGACCCTCGGGAGCATTTGAGCAGTATATGTAGCAGCAGTACTAGGACAGAGCGACCAAATACGTGTCCTCCAACACCCATGGAGCTGCTTTCCAGAGTGCGTACTAGCAGCAACAGCAGCAGCAAGCGTGTCGCTGCTGTTGCTGCACCAACAAGGGCCCTGTCGTCAGCAAGAGCGCAAGCTTTCGATCCTCAGTAATCTTTCTGGAGACAATGCAGCTGAACCGTCACTATCTCGCACCCGCAGACTCTGGAACCACTGCTATCGCGCCTGATGCAGGTGTCTCAAGCGCTGGTGCACCAACAGCACAGACAGCAGCAGCAGCTGCTGCTGCTGCTGCCTGCAGGGCTGCCATTGCGCTATCGCAGCAGTCCTGCGTTCCGCATGTGTCTCAGCAGGTGCCGCCAACAACAGTTATCCCGAGTATCCTGACAAACAGGTCAGCTGCAGCGGCAACTGCACCGGGAGACCACGTCGCTTGGATTCAGATTGGCACAGCGCAGCAGCAGCAATCGAAGGAGCCGCAGGCTCCGCCAACAATGCACACCCACGTGCTTATTCACACCTTTGTGCCTGGAGAAGCAGACGTTGCCGCTGCTATCCGGCAGGTCATAGCCTCAGCGGGGGGATGTGTGGCCTTGGATACCTTGCAGGCACAGCAGCCTTCAATCCACCAACAGCCTGACAATTTCCTTTCGGAGGCTCCTATGAGCTCTGCGTCTCAGCAGGTCACCCCAGCAGCAGTGCAAGCCACAGCCAGTGCCCTCGTTACTGCCACGGCACTCCCTTGCAGCGCCAGCAGAAACTTGCACGATTCTCAAGCGAGCGCGTCGCACAACCCCCTTATGGGTTTGAGGCCCATGAGCACTGTTGGCCACTACCCACTCGCGCTAAACAGGGACGTACGGCAGCACGCAATAATGCCCATCCGCATGCACTCACTTCCAGCAGTTCTAACACCTCTCCGCACAAGTGCTGTGCTGCAGCAGCCTGCTGCACATGCAACAGCTGCTGGCGTTTCTGGCGTCACTGAGACCTGCCCCTCCTGCAAGATACAGTCCCTGGAACCCACAAGTCCCCTCTGTCAGCAGCCCACAGTATCCTGTCATCAGTTGTTCGCTCCAATGCCACCGCAGAGGGAAGCACCCCAAGCGCCGCAGCGCAGACTGGCAACTTCCCCCGCTGTCTCCCCCTTTCCACACTTGCAAGCAGCAGCGCTACCCCCCTCGCAGCAGGGGCAGCAGCGTCAGCAACGCTTGCTCAGACCGCATAGAGCATACAGCGAAGTCTATTCGCACCAGCCTATGCCCAGTACAACGGATACAGCGCCTGGAGCATCGGCAAGAGCGTCCCTAATGCCTCGCAGGCTTTCATGGCCATCGAGCTCGTGGAAGGCAGACCCAAGTACATTCCAAGGTGCCACGGGTTGCCATTCTGGAGAGACACCTCATCTTCGTTTTGCATCTCATCCGTTGCTGCTGCCTCAAGCGTCCACAACACAGACAGCCGCAGGAGAGGAGCTCGCTCATGCAGTGCCTACAGAAGCGAACCAAGCCACAACGCAGGCTACTGCAGCGTTTGGCCTTGACCCCTTCCCAACGGCCCGCCATGAGTTTGCGCATCCAAAGTACAAGAGCATGGGTAGCGACAACATGCCCAGATCAACTGGTACTCCTTCTCCGTCTGCAAGCACGCATCAGCCACTGCGGCCTTTGCATTCGACGGGGGAGGCGTCGCGCTTGTGGTCCCCTGCCCTCACACCTGCGGCAGCTACCCCTCCCACGGCAAAAGGTTTGCATGCATACCCGCCGTTTCTCCCTGCGGCTGCGGCCGCTACTGCTGGACTAGATGGCGCAAAGCCCAGCAGTTCCGCCTGGCCAGCAACAACACCCTCCTCAATAAAGGAACCAGGGGAGCGCCTCAGATGGCGCTCTTTGTCGGATCCTTCACCTGCGGCAGCAGCCGCAGCAGCACGAGCAGCAGCAGGGGCAGCAGCAGTCGAAGCAGCAGGCGGTGCTGAAACCTCCTCTCCCTTTGCTGGTAGCGCCTCAGCGGCTGTGGGGAGACTGAGCCGTGCAATCAGCAGCCGGGCTTCCCTCTTTTCTCCGCCTTCTATGGCGCTGAGACACACAGCCACGTCTTGGGCTTTCCCTCAAAGGAATGTCTTGAGACGCAACAGCTACCCCGCCTCCCCGGCTCTGTGTGCTATGCGGCAGCATGCGGCTGTCGCTAGCGATGGCGCGATAAAAGCAGCAGCAGCAGCAGCACGGGCTCGCGCTGCTGCTGCGGTAGTCGCTAAAGCGAGGAGCCTTGCAGCAGAATCCGCCTTACGGAGTCCAGCGCTCTCTTGCGCCAGCAACACCCTACCCGATACACAAGGAACCCCTTCGGCCGTACACGACTCCGCAGTACCTCTCTTACTGCCTTCCAGACAACAATCGCTGCCGTGTTCACCACAGCAGCAAGCCGAATCGCACGGCATTTTTAGTTCAATGTCACCAACGCTTCAGAAAAATGTGGGACTCCTGCAAAAGCAGGCAGCTTCATCTAGCAAGCTGTCAACGGTACCGCAGCCTGGCACCGGCTTACTAGATAGGCGGCAAATCGGATCCAGCGCAATTTCGCCTCCCTTGTTTGTCTCTAGGATGCCCCATGAAGCAAGTCAAGGTTCCCTGGAGCCTCTGGGGACAGGACAAGAACAGCTGGCCTCTCCCGTACTACAGCCTATGCTACCTTCTTTGCTGCAGCCTCGACAGCAGCAGCCCTCCAATCCAACAAGTTCCCTACAGCGCCCGGGTGCACAATCCTGTGCCTCTGCTGACCATCCACTGCTACCGACGGCAAGTCCCCCTTTTATACAACAGCCAGTGCCAATGCAGCAAGATACAGGCCAGCACCAGCCAACAGACAGCTCCGTTCGATCTCACATGAGCAGCGTAAGACTATCGCCTGCTCCACAAGGGCCTCCTGAGCCAATTAGCGGCGCTGCCCTGCGACTGCCACCGCTGCAGACAACCGACTCTGGGACAGTTGCTCGCCATCCCCAACAAGACAGCCTCATTACCTTTGCCGCAGAGACAGCGCCACTAGATGCGAGTCAGCAAGAGCTCCAGCGGCAGCTGCAGCTGCGCCGCGACCAGCCTAGCGTCAGCCCCATCCTCCGCCAATCCACTTCCTCTCCCTATAGAGCTGCTGCAGAACGCGCAGCCGCAGCTGCAGCCCGAGCAGTTACTGCTGCAAACAATGCTACAGCTGCATGTGCCAAATTGCAAGACCTTCAGCGCCATCAGCTGGGGGGCGCCGGCTGGACGGCAACGGCAACACATGTACTACCTACACCTGCAGAGACAAGTGCATCTGCAGCTCACACCGGCAGCGCACGCCGCACGGCACTAGCTGAGGCCACAGAGAGTGCATCCCCTAATGTCGCTAGGATGGTAAAAAGCAACTCGTTAACCCCCGCAGTGAGCGGGGAAATGCCTGCCGAAGGGCAGGTGTATCAGCAGCAGCAGCGGATACTCTCTGATCTTGCAGGAACGCCGATGGGCAGACAGAAGCTGTCTTCCATTTCACTCCAGCAGCGCTCGCAAACATCTGCACGACTGCGAACGTTCAGCCCGTCTCATGCCAACGAGGAGATGCGCACCTTTTTTCAGGATCAGAAGACACAATCCCAATTACGCCAGCAAAACCATCCGCAGCAGCACCTGCAACTGCAGCTCCGCGAGAGACAGCTGCTACAGGAGCAGCACCAACTTCGTCAGAAGCGCCTTGAATTGGAAAGGCAGTTGACGAAGGAGTTGCACAAGGATGGCAGTACGTCATCGGTTCGGCATAAGCTCGGACACAGCACCACATCTAGGCTACTGCATCAACAGTGCAGCCCTCAACACACACTGACACAAAGCCCTGTTCTCTCGTCCACACGCGTATTTCGCGGAGGCACACCGGTCAAGAGCAACACGCTGCCGCGACTTAACAGCCTTCAGTGGCGAAGGCCGAGGCGGCAGCTGACTTATGCCTCAAACAGTTCGCCTTCATTCCCTCTTCACACGCCAGCTGTAAGCACATGGGCAGGCAGGGAACCGTCAGAGCCTCTCACCGAAAGGTCAGCAAGAGCGACTCCGGCAAACAAAACAGGAGCTGCGATCACTGTGCCCCTACATGCGCGCATATACTCTCCTGCCAGCAGCCCGTCAAGGTTTGGGGGGTTCAGAACACCAGCCTACTCTCCTATAGATGCTATATCTCCTTTCAACCTGAGAACCAGCCAGATATCCCAGAACAAGCAGCAGCGCATGATGCAGAGTCCAAAGCAACACCAGTACGCTTTCAGGTCCCTTCCGTCTGGGGACTCCATTCTTCGGGATATTTCCATCTCGGCAACCCCCTTATCGGCAGTCTCGCCGCTCTGGCGATACCCCAGCACACAACAGAACAACACTTTCGTGAGGCTGCAGAGCCAAAATAGCACAGCGCCACAGCAGCAACTGCAGCACATGCGCGAAAGTCAGTTGCACGGCTTCCAAAAAGAATATTCCAACAAAATTCCAGTGTCATCAGGAAGGCTTCAACGAAGTCCCCTCGTGACGGCACCTTCCAACAACGCATCCTGTAAGATGTCACACAGAATGCAGGTTGCGGATGCTGGCCTTCCTAGGTGTAGCAGCAGTTCTTTGATGTTGGGTTGAGCTACCTTGTCTTTAACTCTCCACTAAAATAGCGCCAAGCTCCTGTTTTCTGTAGGTATTTCCCTTTTGCGCTTCCCTTTAGGTCAGGGCCCAACAGCTCCGCCTCTGCGCCGTTATTTGAGTGCCCCCCTCGCAAGTGCGGCTTCGCAGGGGACTCTGCAGCGCTCAGCTTCCACTGGACGCTTTTCTTCGCAGCATATGTTAGGCACAGAAGCCACAAAGCCACAGGCCTACCGCAGAGCGCACTCTACTGCGTCGATGAATTCGACGCTGCAGCATGCGCTTTCTAGAGCTCTACTTCCGGGGTGGCTGGAGGATGTAAATGCCAACGATTCTGCGGCTGCTTCATCTGCTCTAAGGCAGGCGGAACGTGCAGCCGCTGCAGCAGCTAATGCAGCAAAGAGAGCTGCGCTAGCGGCAGACGCCGCTGGTCCCTCGCCTGCAGCAAATTCTGCCAGACAGAGGGCAGCCCGTGCCGCAGCCGCGGCGCATGCAGCGCTGCTCGCTGCACGAAGTCGGGCTGCCAGTATTCGCCGTTCATCCACCAGCCCAAATGTTCAGCTGCAAACCTCTACGCACACTGACCACCACCAGCGCGAAATGAGTCTCTTCGAGAAGCAGCAGCTTCAGCAAGGCAGCGGGAGGCGTGCGTCAATCAACGGATCCAACTCCCCGGTGGGGGCATGGCTGCTAGGCGGCATGGGCACTCCCGGACGAGCAGCAGAAGGACTTACGCAAAATAACGAAACTCCTCATGCAACGGCCTTCCCCGCGGCTGGCGTAGGTACGGAAACAATGCAAACTCGTTCTGATTCTGCTGCTTGCCTCGAACGCTTTCCGACGCAGTACTACACAATCGGGTTGCCACGAATAGCGCAGGAGCAGCAGCACGGAACAAGAGGATACGTCTGTTTCCCACGTAGCAGTAATCGCATACTTGACTTGTGTTCAGAACGTAGCCACGAAAACATGGAGAGGCTCCACGGCGATGACAAGTATCCACTGCAGTTTGCAGCAGCAAAAGGACTCGCAAACGACGTCTTAGACAGCCATACACCCCGCCATTCCCTGAAGACGGCAGCCCCTGTGCAGCTACAACATCCCCGTTCAAATAGTGTTTCTCCAAAATCATTACACCGCATCACAAGCAGCTACACAACACCACTGTCGGGCACGCATTGGCCGCACCTGAATGCTGTGCATCTGCAAGAGCCGCTTCAGCTGGTACAGAAAGAGCAGCAGCACCTGCAGGAGCACCACCCCGAATCGCCAAGCGCTCAACAGCGAAAAGAACAAGAGCTGCTGCAGCTTCTGGAGGCGCGAATCCCATTGGCATCAAGACAGGCATCCCGTGCCTTAGCAGACGGAAGTGCAGAACAGTGGAGACAAGTTTCCACTTCTAGTGGGGTGCCCTTGAAGGATGTAAAGCAAGCAGCTGACCTACTACGTCAAATGCCCAGCACTGCTTCTGCCACGGTATCTCCTGCGTCTGTCCCCCCACTGCGGAAGTCAAAAAACGGCGCTGCCGCTGCCGCTGGCGTCGCAGCTGCTGCTGACCACGCAGCAGCACATGCCAGTAGCAGCGGCGGCGAACATACCCGAGAGACCCTTGACTCTTTTTTTTCAGGTATAGACAACTCGGAGCAAGCCGTCAACATATCGCACACACTCAGCAATGGCTTTGGGGGTGTCGAGTTTGGGCAGCAATCTCAGCGGGAAGAACAACATCTGCAGAACCACCTCCTTCGTGCAGCAGTAGGCTGGACTCGTGCGGAGAGTACTGATGACCCCAGAGACATGTCTCGAGAGAAGGGGGAGCAAACACAAAATAGCATAAGTCGACAGCTAAGTTCTGAGAGGGCTTCCTGCATAATCGGAGGGGTCTCAACCGTGGAGCGGGAGGAAGGCAGCAACAGAAGCTGCTTCTCGTTCGACGTAAAACGGCACAGAATAGCGCAGTCACCCCGGCCGTCTGCTGCTATGACAGACTTATACAGTGCGTCCCCTACAAATTCCAAAAAGCCAGCAGCAATACAGAGCAAGACCATCACATCTCTCGGAGTCCCTTCCTCCCTCCGTGTGCCAGCTCTCCCCTTTACTTGGAAAACCTGTCGTAATTTGTTGCGGCAGCTGCAGCAGCCAGCGGACACCTTCACCATTGACGGCGAGCTATACCGACATTGGCAGCTCTCTCACGTCCCCACAATTGGGGTAGCCGAAAATCCTCGGCGACAGCAGGTCCTTAAATAAGCCCTGTTCTCCAGACATTGACTTCCTGCAATGCACCATGGAATTATAGCCATGAAAGGATTATAACCCTTTCTTTTCTTGCTTTGCAGCACAACGAATAAAGTGCAAAACCGCAGACTCGACCTGACACTCTGTACTGGGACGAAGCAGCACCAAGTCGACAAATCATCCTTTTGTATAACTTCTGCAATTATCATAAGGCACCCTGTGTCACATGTCTGCCTGCGGTTTAAATACAGCGCATGTACCGTGGTCGGCTCAAGTCTGGACGAGGAGTCTTCGTTAAGCAGGTTCCGGCCAGTGTATGGAGACAGCAGTGGAGGCAGCAACAGAGATTCCAGGGGCAGTTCCTCTGCGACGGGGAAAACTATGTGGGAGAGGCCGCTGCCTCTGCCTTCTTAACAGGTATTTATAAACATTCCTTTGAGGGATCTAATTTAGCGTCCGCCTGCAGGACGTAGCCACATGTGTCAGGGTGACCCTTAGACACAATTCGGTGTTTGCATTGCTTCTCTGCAGAATATCCGAGGATGCTATAACTAGAGAGACCTCTCGTGTCTAGCATTTAAAGCTGCAGGCCTCTCGGCATCTACTATGTGAGTGTATGACTCGATGTTCTCCACTTGTTTACTGCCTTTTCCTGCAGAGTACCACCCGTACTGCGCTGCGCCTCTCTTGGCAGTCCTTACAGACAGCGGCTCCCTGGAAGACGAGGAGCAAGCCACCCAGTCGCGGCCAGAAATTTCTGAGGCAAAAGGTGTCCTAAATAGTGGGGTGCAGCGCACACACCAGCCTCCACCGCCGCACATAAATAGCAGCAGCAAGGGACGTCAACGCACAGAAAGGGTCGTGCTGGTGTTCCAGCTGTTCGGACAGTCGGATTTACTCGACTTTGTGGAGGCTAACAAACCCGTGAGCATTTGGAGTTTATAAAAACTAGTATTCAGTAGGCTAAAATGATATTTTTGCAAATCTACAGCTTTTTTTTTGTGTCGCTATACGTTCTATCTGTTATGCCTACATCCAAGGTTAGTTGCGTGGATTTCTGTTCTTTTGAACTGCAAGTTGGAAGCGATGTAATGCTACCTAGACGCACAGGTACATCTATGGATATATGGTAGGTTTGAGGGGCTTTGGCATGCTACCTATTTTGAAGTGTTTTTTGTTATGTGGGACTTTTGCGCCCGTCCCCTCAGATGGCACCCTGGTTTAAAAGAAAGCTGCAGCTGTCTCTGGTGCTGCTCCTCCACGCATTGCACTCCGCTGGACTTGCTCACCTCGACCTTACCCCAGAAAACATTCTTGTTCACTCCATGGTTGCTGGGTGCGTAGACAGATACATCAGTGCAAATGGTAGCAGCGGCAAAGGAGTCCCCGAAGGCTTTCCTCTGCAGCTCCGGCTGTGCGACTTTGCTAAAGCAACACCCCTGTTTAATTGGTCGAACCTCCAGCTTCCGGCATCTCTCTTGACTCGCTACCCTTCACAAGCTAGGTGGCCCATAATTCGCGACAGAGTGATGTTACCACCAACATCAACGAAACCAGCAGCAGACGCTCCACCCTTCATTAGCTGCGAGCCAACAATTGGCAAGGGCCCTTACATGCCGCCAGAGGCCTGGAAAGCGCTTCATGTCTTGCGATCTCTCGGTAACTCCTTTACTCCTACATGTAGTGTGCCTGTAGATCTTGAGATACCTCTAATACTTCTTAGGCTTTTACAAAGCGAAACAGCTAATTTGAGAGAATCCACCAACGTATGGGCCTGGATGCAAATACCCGTGCTACGGTTAGAGCTGCTTATAGCCAATTGCTTGTGGCTTATCTGTGGGGTCCAGGAATAACTTCACCCTTCGCGCAGATAAAAGAAGCTCTCCTTCTTACAGGAAGACCCCCGCCGCCACTCTACGTGCGGGAAGGAGCTTTTGCGTTAGGGGCCTCCTCCGGCGCGGAGGCCCCTCGGAAAGGAGGTGTCGACGTGTCCCTTGTTTTCTTTGATGTTAGGAAAGCCGACATTTATATGCTGGGTGTACTACTGTTTTCTTTGTGGGCGGATGGAGCGGTATGGAGAGCGTCGGATGTGCAGCAAGACGAACAGTCAGTCTTTAAACGTTGAACACTCCAAAGAATACAGCCCCCCGAGACCCCCAAGGTGTGCAGCACTAGTACCAGAGGCACTCTGCAGGGAAGTGCATCCTGAAAGCAACGCGGGCAAACACAGCGGTGCGTGTGTATTGCAGATACGCTAGTCTGGTAAAAGGAAACTACTGTTTCTCTGCTTTTCCAGAATGTGCGGACTGGCCTGCACCCCTTCTAGATCTCATTCGCGTGAGTCCACCTTCCTCATAGCTTGAAACCGTCCTGCTGTTGTTGATTACTGACTTTTCACTGAATGCGGGTGGATGCAACAGAGGCAGCATCAGGCAGTTTCGCACAATTTCTGTGTTCTGTGAGTCCTACAGGGTTGCATACAGGAAGACCCTGATAGACGGCTACTGCTGGATCAGGTGCTGCAGCATTCATGGTGGAGCGCTCCCCTCAATTCCTGAGTGTATTTGCTCTTGGGACAGTCAGGGCTCTGACTGTAACGGCATGGCTTGTACAAATGGCTTATGCCTGAAAAACACACCTACAGATCATGTATATGCAGAGCGCAGCAATCGGCGCCGCATATAAGTCGCCATGCGGCTTGAGAAAAGGATTTAAGAGCGTGGGGATTGGAGCTCCGGTGTGGACGGGGAATACATAGGGACTTATTGCTGGCTCGAGGCGTCAGCTTATTTTATTTCTTGACTGCGTTACTTTTTCCAATGATACGAGCGGTATAAATGCGAGCCTGGTATAGAAGCTCCAAGCGTGACAAGCTGCTCAGCGGCTTTCAGTAAAGGTACCTCTCTGCAGCGGATAGTTCAGGAGGTTTACAGAGAATGAAGGATACTACATATGAGTGCATGCAATTATTTGCGCTAGGAGGCCCTCCCTTCATAATCCTACTGGCGCATAAGGGTATATAATCTCGATGTAGCGGACCAAGCTGTACTCGACAACTCTCTGCTACATTTGCTAATTTTAGCAAGGGAGTGGTAAGGAACTGACTATTAGAAATGATACAGTATACAGACAAGCCAGAGTACCGTCGTTGTAGTTCAATATGTTGAAATGTTGTGTGCGTGGGCTGTAGATGTTCTGTGCAGCTCGCTATATAGTCTTTGTGCTGTGAAATTAAAGTTGCGCACACCCTTGCTGTGCCTCTACCTTCTTCTCGGGGACTGTGTGGGGCCCATGCAGGGAACGGACGTAGGTTTTGAGATAAACAGTGGTAGACTTCCATGAAGGTTGTACTGAGGCCGGGGTACTGGAACTTCATACGGAGAGCTTGGATGAAGCGTCACGGAAACTGCACGAGGATACAAAAAGAGGACGAGCGCAGTTGACGATCCCATCATGAGCCGAGTATGCGTTGTTACGAGTTCGCATTAATGGTCAGGATTTGCTAGCGCTACTTGATGCTGGATGTGAAGTAAAAATTCAATCAAGAAGAACTCGCAGAGGGTGCAATCTAACTGTTTACTTGCTAACTCACGTTTCCTGAAGGGGGGGCAGAAGGCAAGGATTGCCAACCTTTGGGTGATCAAACGCCACTTTTTGTAGAAGCATGGTTGCAGTGCTGGACCGGGTCACCATGACGTATTCCCAGATATGTCATGCGTGACACTCCCTCAAAAATCTTCGGAGGTATGCAATCAACCCTAAACTCCATAGCAGCTGAAATAAAAAATTTAGGTGTTTTCAAATAAGCTTTTTTTCTTCCCTGCCTGTGCCCCTAAGAGTTCCAGCTATGAGGGTAGACGAGCAGCTAGGGTGACTGCTGTTGCATCCTGAAAGCACTTCGAGGATTTACAATCAGCTGCATACAGCATCCCGCACATGCGCGCGCAATAGCAATTCATGTTGTACTGAACTGCCACTACCCTGCAACTGTTAACATAAAAGCACCGAACTAGTAGACATTTCTTTACTACGCTTAATTGGTGAAAATACGTCAGGAGAAAGGACCTAGATGTAGCTTCGCCTGCTAGATTTCCCCACTCCATTTCAAGCAGCACATTTCCTCAAGTTCCGTACCTCTCAGTCAAGACCGACCCCGTGCTGGACAGCGAAAGAGTTTCCGCCCAAACGCGTCTTTCCTTGCACGCAGAAGCACACGCCATGCAAATATGAAATGCGATAGTGGGCATCAATCCTTACAGGGAAATACAAGGCAACAAAGGGACACGAACTAGCCGACAACGAAAAAAGGACGGGCAACCTCACCGCGCCGCGGCGGTGGCTTGCCGTCGTTGGAGCATTATGACAAATGAGCCACCTGCTACAAGACAGCAAAAGGAAAGTAAAATGTGTGAAGGGAATCAGCATGCACACTACGGCAACACCGCCTTCACGCCTCATAAAGCAATATTTGTATACCCGATAGTGCCTGCATATACCTTGAAATATGCAGAGCATCGTGACCATGATACATGAGAACGTTTCACTTGATCTACGGGCAAATGAAATTAAGCTTTCCTCGTAGAACATGCGCTGGGGGAAATGTTTCCTAGAACCCAAAAGAACGCTGTCCATGGCGGCCAGCGCTTTTATTTTAACAGAGCCAAAAGTTCACAAGTAGCCCAAAGACTCGGTATCCACTTCTCTACCAAACACTGAGATTGGCACATGTTGTCAAGAGAAGCTCTAGTTTAGTGTGCCGTCTGTAATAAATTGTCCTAGAAAAAAGCAACTCTACAGCTCCCTGTAAATTCTTTTCCTTCACACAGCTCACCTGGCTGCCCGACATAGTCCGTGAATAACTTCGGGAGTGTTCTTGTAAGCATGCAACTAGCGGTAGTTCAGCTACACGATGTACATTCTAGGGAATCGATAGGGCAAGGAAAGGCATATACTCGTGAGAAAAGTGTGAATGCTTCTAAACACATTCCCGTGAGTTCTTATCAGTTCGCCTTGTAGTGAAACTCATAAAGCCTGCCCACCCACCTAGACCAAATCTCCTGGCTCGAGACACACAGCCGACCGCCTCTTAACATCGGGCCGTGCTTGTCTTTCCTTGAGTTCCAAACGTTAACGATCATTAGTATGTTGTTCTTTGAGTCGCTTTGCTGGCAATGGTGCCTGCAAGTTTTGGGCCGCCAGGCCCAGTCCCAGATTGGGGAGGGTATCTTTGGTGTAGCCAGAGATACGGGAAAGTAAAGGGAAGGCTAGTGACTGCTGAATAATTTGTGTATGTATTTAGCGTAGCGAAGAAACCTGAAAATTGTGATTAGACGTTTGTGACTATGGAGTTTGCACATGCTGCAGGAAAATGAGGTTGGAGTGCTCAGTCTGCCCACTTGCCACAGGGTGGTAAGCAAGGCTTATACCGTGTTCATTGTATAGGCGAATCACAAAGGTACGGCAGCACGCACCAACGAGCGTCTAACCTCTGCGCCCAGTAGTACTCCTCCGGACTTCTTTGGAACTCCAGACGTAAGTTAGGAATGAATGAACCATTTTTCGCGGTGATAGAAGAGGAAAAGCGGGTGAATTGGGCATATTCGCTGAGCCCGTCGGGAACGATCTAGATGCTCTCTGGACTACCGACCTACTTCAGCCCAACAACAAAGCCCATTGTCAGAACAGTCCAAATCTATGCAGGAGCCTGAAGGCTTCGCGAGAGGCCGGCTTTAGGAAAGTTTAGTGGCTTCTAGTGCTGGCAATCAGGGCATGGCAGTGCGTTCTCCCCGGGTGCAGGATGCATTCTAGGCATCAGAAGGACAGTACTAAGTTTCTTCGTCGCACTGTGGATTCCACCGAGGCCCACAAGAGCAGGATCACATGCTTTGCGCATACCGGTATTGCTTAGCGAAATCCAAATGTGCATACGACAGAGGCCCTATTTTGATTGTAGCACAGTAGGCCATCCTCAACGTGATACTGCTTTACCAATTTGTCATGCATGATTTGGTAACAGTAGCGGATGCGTGGATGAATCAAGCAGTAGACGAACTCATTGTTGCTGGGCACAGTGAAGCATCCCAGAAAAAAGCAGTTGTGCTGCGCACTAGTGAATTGCTGTGGAGTCGCGAAAGTACATAAGCAAGCGCATTGTTGATGCCTTCAGAATACCTCACCATACATTCCTACTTCAGAAAGCAACCAAGCCAGCCCACAACTTTAGGATCATCAAGTCCCTAAAGGAACATTAAATGTTGATGGCAGGTGTGGACAATAACGCGAAGCCTACATAAATAAGGCCGGAAATTCTAGACGCTACACCGAACCCTACAAAGCTATTTTCCCACATAGAATGCCCTTTCGCGTTTCCGGCGAAACGATGAAAATAACCAACAATAACCTGATGCATCAAAGATCCTATAGCCGGTTGACGGTGCAGAGTACTCACCGCGGTGTCATTGGCATCGATTGTTAGGAACCAAGGACGCTCATAATCAGCAGCACGAATTCCCGGGGAAATTTAAGACGGGCGGAAAGCATTCTTGCTGCAGCATCGGCCTTCGTTGATCAGGTCGCAAACTAAGGTTTCTCAAGCAGAACAGTCGTAGTTGGAGCGGTCAGAGCAAACCCAGGAATGAAGTTTGCCAACAACACGCAAGCCCGTGGCACTGCGCAACAGGCATGTGTGACAAAAGTGAAGGTCACTCCTTGAGCGCCAAAATTTTCCCGTGTTCAAGTTCATTTTTAAAAGTTGAAATGCAGAGCCCCTTGAATGCAATTACGTTTGTCAAAGGCAAACACTGACGTTCCTGCACATATCATTGCTTGTCTTGCAACAGCGAAAGCCCACGCAGCTAGTGTTGCAGGCTTTTCTAAACGCTCGGGCGGACTATTAAGATGTCCATGTAAAGCTATACACCCATCTTTAAGAGGTTCACAGAAACCGCGAATCAATTAACGCCGCAGTTCCGCTAGGGTACTAGCAAGTCCTACCGGCATACACATAAAGCCGTTTTCTCGGGTTCGAGTTTAGCCAGCATGATGCGTCAAAAAACTTATATTCCACAATTATTCTGTTTACTAGCTCAACATGAGCGCACATATGACAACTTCCATCTGTCGTATGCGCCACCACCAGCTTATGCTCCTAAGGGATGCTCAACTCCTGCGCTCTGTCTTCTCAGTAAGTGCTTCGCCTGCCGCTCAATGTCTTGGTGGTACCGTGTGGGCCGCGAATTTTGTGTTATATATCTGGGGTCTTACCCACAGATTACCGCAACACGACTCAGTCAGCGACCAGCAGGTATTACCCGGCTGGCATCTCGTGCTTATTTAGCAGGGCCGCTAACGCATCCTTGACATTTGCCCATTCCTGCCGGTCCGCGAGCAAACCATTGGACATATCATTTGATGAAGTGCAGCTACAGAGCCAGTATGATGGTATGCGCGCTCAAAACCGTTTCCTCCTACTGTGCTGCTGAGCGGCCCAAATCAAAAGCCTGTATCGCCTTTGTTGAGGTACCACCACTACCACATTCACCACGGATAAAATGAGCGTAATTGGAGAAGCAAGACATACTTCGTTTTAGCGTTTTTTGACACATTGATTTTCGCACGCTGCAGGGGTAGCCACGTGCTCCACTTTCATTGGACTACCCATGGCTTTCCTGTGATTTTGTCTTGGGGAGCGTTTAATATAAAAGTGTTGGCGCCCGCTGACAAAACCCAATTTTAATTTGGAAGGCACTTAAGTACCGATTTGTCAAACTTCGCGTTCTTCCGGCAGCTAACAAGGGTGAATCTTCGGGACAGCATCAAGGAATGAATAGGCAGATGGCACTTCTTTGTTCGCTAGGATAAAATATAGACCTCACCTCAACTGTTTAGTATTGCTAGCTGGTCCTGATCACTAATTTCTGCTTGTGGCTGTGCAGAATTATGTCATGGTCGGTGCCCAGGTGAGGCTCTCTTCTGCCTACCCCATTAAGTGGGCTTCAGCATGACTGGGCCAAGATGTTCTCGGATGCTCATGTGTTTGCTCGCCAAGTATCCTGGTTCCCCTTTCCCCGGTCTTGTCCCTCAAGTTCTTTGGCCTTTTAGACCGCGTTTACTTCACAATATTTGACTGAATCTCCCATGACTAAAGCGGGGGCGTTATTGGGAGGCTAGCTGGGTTGCCTAGAAGTTAAAATCCTTCGGATTTTGTTTTCTGGTCCAGTATTGACTACAGGCTACACTTGGATGATACAGCTCAAACCTATGGATTCAAATGCCAGACTTGGCTCTTCCTTTAAGCCAGAGAGACAGGCATTGCGACTAATTGCTCCTAACCCCCCTCCAGTCCATTTTATCTGGGAGTTCCACAAGACAACCTCTTATTCTGTGAGTTGCTAATCATCCTGTTACCAACTGACGTGACATCCTGGGTATACTTTGCGTGGGGCCGCTTCGAAAGCGGCTGATCGTTTACGTCGTGGCTGTGGCGGACAGAACTTTAATGTTTGTCGAGACTCTTGTATGCTGTTCGATTATTCAGCTTGCCCATTCCTCTCAAAGCTTGCTGGAGAGCTGATCCCAGCATAAATCAATGAGGTAAGGCCTGTGCAAAGACTTGAGCTGTAGTATTCCCTACAGGCTGACGACTTTCTCCACATCAAAAGAGCTGCCACTGAAATGCTTGTGCTTCCAAGCAGCGTGCAACAAAACGCAGTTCTCCATCTTAATCCAGGGGAACAACGCAAGAAAATCTTAACCAGGCGAATACAGTTTTCGAATATTTGGGCATCTTTACAGCTGTCGCGCTTTTCTGGCCGGCATAACCTCATAGACGCATGAATGAAAATAGCATTGGCTAGCAATTTATGCCTCGTTGGAAGCTGCGGGACTACCGCGTTCGTTAAAGCTTGCGGGGCGGGCTCTGCCTCCGCAGTAGGCTTTTCAATACCGCCAGCTCCCATCGACAGGTCTTTTTTCCTTACAGCTTTTCCAAGAACGTCAGCCCATTGAATTACAACATAATCTGTTTGAAAGCAGACAACTGTTGTGGGGCAAACAGACGTCCCACTGCTCACTCGAAACCGATGGATAAAACGGGGAGCTGCTGCATCGAACCAGGAGCTGCTAGCAACTGTAATGCTACCGATAAGATCTCCGTACGGAGACACTTAGCTCTAAATACAATGCAAGCTTAAAAGATTGCTACTAAATCTTCCAAAAAAGTAAAACCTTCCCTGTCCGCGTCCCCGAGAAGCTCCCAACATAAGGGGAGAGGACCAGCCCGAATGCGCGTAGCTGCACCCTTGTAAGCAGTCCGTTCATTCACAGCTAGTTGCGCATACCATCTATGGCAAAGGCAAACGAGAGTGCGTTTTCTCGGTATCGAGCTAACGGTATCATTCAGCAAATAGCACATAATAGCAAGCATGATAGAAGTTCACGCTGAATTCACACTTTTAATCGATGTAGCTAGCCTGAAAGAAAGTGTGTAAATGTAGCTTAGCCTGCTACAATGCTGGAGTTTGGTGCAATGCCCTGCAATAAGGGGCATGCAAGAATAGCCACACCACGCAGTGAGCACTCAACTCAGATTAAAAATTGGGCCTTTGGTAATAACTCTGTTCATATAGTTTCTCCCATTATAAGGGCTTCACTGAAATTGTGGAAAATATTATTCAGGTGGGACGAACACTGCAGAAAACTTTCAGCATAGTGTGTACTCGGGTAGCTAAGGCACCCCCTCCGTCCGCACACTTTATTCAATTGACATTGCTCAAGAAGGCGAATGGATTCGTGAATAAAGAGGTTGAGAACCTGTGGATGGGCCTTTTCTCCTTGAAGGTGGGACAGCAAGAAATACCGCATTAGCACGAGGCCACCGAGGTCCCCTGCTCGTAAGCGGTCTTTACAAAGATAGCATTTGAAAGCCCATCAATTTAGACAATCAAGGGTCTCTTTTTTTTGCTTGTTTATGCCAGTGCTTTAGTAGGTAGAGCGTGTGGTGTCAGTAGCAGCACTTGGGATGTCCGGGGAATGCCACGAGGTTTTTCTCCACAGCGGCATGAAGATGCGTTCTATATAGGTTAAATCCTTGGAGTGGATAAAGTGTAGCAGTCTAGAAGTCAAGATAGGTTGACTTCGGTCGAAGAACTTTGAAGCTGTACGCCCGCAATATCAGGCAGGTGACCCTGCGAACAATCGGGGCTCTCCCTCGCTCTCCCGAAAATAATGGCATCTCCCTAGAGATTTACTCGTTTGTATCCCTTCACAAATTACAACTTCGATTGGCAAGTATAAAAATCGCTCGCTTACATGCTGTTTTTTTGACTTAAAGCCCCCCCGTTTTCCCCATAAAAAGAACACATTCGAGGTGATCAACCCCCCAAGCGTTCGCATTCTTTCCTTCACCCTGGTTCCGAACGTTTTCTGCACCTCCATTCCCGCGCAGATTGCAGTGATCCAATCACTCCTAGGTACACCTTCCACTCATATGAAGATGTGCTGCCCCAAGAAAATCCTGCACCTCACCCTCCTCACCGCAATCTCCCTGCAGCTGGCTGCTGCAGCGCCCGCTGAAGAGGCCTTAGCTGAAGCACAATCTGCAGGCTCGGCAGCATTCTTGGCATCCACAACAAGTAGTCAAGAACCTGAACCTCCACTGACACCTCAAGAGGGCCGCCTGACTTCTGACACACGAGAACAGACGGCTCCAGAGATCCCAGCTCGTGCAACATCAGAAGTACATCTGGTGTCCGAGCCTTCTCCCTTTGGCCACGCTTCGTCTGCTAAGCTTCTTAGCAGCAGAGAGGGGTTTGAATCAGCAGGACGTTCCGAAGTATCCACTGCCGATTCAAACTCTGAAGGCGACTCTGTACCCCAACTGAACACGTCTGCTGCCCCCGCAGCGCCGTTTTCTGGAGATGCCCCAGTAGACGTGTCGGCGGAAGACAATAGCACATTTGACACTCGTTTGTACCTTCCAGTGCACAGGCGATCCCAGGAGCGCCAGCAACAATGGATGTCAGATGAAATGCGGCAGGACGTACTGGTAGAGCAGCTACTGCAGAATACAGCAGCGCAGCCGTGGGATGCCTATAGGCGACAGCGCCTCAGCGGCCTCACAACTACCCCAACATCTGACAGCATCGCCCTACGGGAACAGGAGCACTAAAAGTCGGCAACAATTATATCGTTACAGAGAAGGCAAAGCAGTGAAGAGCTACGGGCATGTAGAAGAACACTGCAGTGTACATCGCCGATACCTACTGTATGCAGTACGGCACTATACTTATTCCTCTGGGCGCCAGGTGTATGCAGGTAGCATACACTACATGCTATTAAGAGCGCGCTCACTCCTGGTATTTTAGACACCTTAAAAGAGGTGTCCCTTTTGGCTAGAGCATAAACTGCATGTGACGTAGCAAAGCTCCGTTACGGCACTTAAATTTTGTCTCAAAGTCGCATCTGCAACAGCTTTTGTTGTAACCCATACTATTAGTCTCCCTGCTTGTGCCGCACCCAGCAGTGCACAGGTGGTATCAGTGCAGACAACATCCTTCATACGAAGGCAACAACCAGTATTGTCGCTGGTAGAAAGCTGCTAAAGAACCAGTCATGCCGCTGCGCCGATTAGGTCGAAGCTCATAACAAGCTCGTCTTCGGTCCGCTTGTGGCGGACCTGTTTTTCAGTAGAGCACACATACTAGAATTTGTCCTTCCGCTTCCGGCCGGTGTACTTCGAGTCTGGTCGGACCTTTTTTCCCTGTTCGCCCCATAGCAAACAGCACTTCCGCATAGTTCACAGATATCCTACCGAACACAGTGAGATATGTACACAGCCAGGCTCGCCAGGACGAGGGAACGCGGCCAACGGTACCATGGGCAGATAGCGCAGCCCAGGGTGGTACTACCACCAGCAGAAAGGATGGGTCAACAAATACCTTCTTAATTTGCTGCTCCTTCTTTTTGCTGATCCACTCCCGTTTGCTGATCTGCTTCTTCGCGCGACGCCCAGACACCATTGGACGCCTGTGCAAAAATGGCATAGACCGAAGTGCGCATGGAATTCCCCTGAAATACTAGATAGAGCACGTTACACTTACAGAATCAGGTAATCCCTAAGCCCCATGCAGACGGATCAAGGTGAGGTGAGGAGAGAGCCATTAATGAACAGTGATGTTATAAACAAGAGGATGTAAACCCTTAACCCTGGGTGGCGGCGCTGACTCTCTTCCCATGTTTATGACTGCGGAATTGCCAAGTGCCTTTGGCAGCTGCTGCGTCTTCCGACTTTGTCCACCGGGCAGCCATAAGCATAAAAAGTATCTGATCGTACAGGAAAAGCACTAGCAACCATAGCAGAACTGGCAAGGAAGGATGACTGTCCAACACACAGAGCAAGTAGCAAAAGACACGACGGGCGCATCCGGCCAAAATGTTAATGGCGTCCCATGAAGCAATTCAATTTAGCCAATAAAAACCATTCAAGATGCATAAGGTTCAATAGAAGTCTATGTGTATGCGCAAAGACATGAAAGTGCCTCTACCCTCGGGTTGACAGTACAAGAACATTTTCTAGCTGCCACAGTTCACAACCGTAAGCGCATGCAAAGCTTAGCATTCGAGCAAGGCTTGGAGACTCATGTCTCATATCGCCTGAATCCCGCAAACGGGGACGAACTAGAGGCACACGCGCACGAAGCGATGAAGGGACAGCGACAGGGCTAGCCCGCATTTGGGGAGCCAGCAGGACTGCGGTGAGCAGATTTCCAGCAATGGAAAAGCAGGATACGGTAGAGCAAGATACGGGAGGAGCGAAGGCAATATTACAAAGGAGATCAGAATCCGAACGAGACAAAGTGAGTCGCTGCGTATTACTTTTTGGCCCTCGTAGAGTTTGGAAAGTCAACTACGAGACCTCCCTCAAAACCGCTTCGTAAAGCAGCAGACGTGAGACTCTCCAGCTGCTCCGCATTGTCCGGGTAGAACTGCAATGCCTGTAGCGCAATTACAAAAACCAGCTGCAAGCGGAACTGTAACAGCATCTGCAACAGCAGTATTTGTCGATGGCGCATCCAAAGTGGCTTATCGATCCCGTAAGTATGTCGTGGTGTGAATGCGTTCATTTGTTAACATCCATAGCATATCGACTGGCATTTCTGGCATTTCATTAATTCATGCACACTTGCCCATCTACAGGTCATTCACGAGCAGAAGTAGACAGGGACGTGTACGCACCAATAGACACAATGATCACACATACGGATTAACAGCATAAGGCGTCGTCTATCTCCACGCACACCCGAATGTCATGCATATGAAGACGGGCCTCCATATGGCAATACTGGATACGGGCAACCCCCATGGCTTCCTGGATCTGCCGTTTGCACATGGGAACGGTGGAGTGTACTTACAGCTCGGGCCCCTGGCCTTAAAGCCCTCGCAAGATGCTGGAAGAAGCAAGTCTGTCTCCTGTAGGCGGAGGCTGGAGGTGCGGGTCTTTCTCTCCTTCTGAGCTGCTCCTTCGTCTGCTGCTGCTGCTGCTGCTCAAGAATCTTGTCTTCTTCCATATCCTCCTCACTCTCACTGCTGGGCACCTCCTCCTCTGCCTTTGCTTCGGCTCCGCGTGTAGAGATAGCCTTGCCGAAATCCGACTTGATGTCCGAGCAAAGCCATTGAATGGCGCTTATGGAAATGGCACCGTCAAACGTCCCCGGCCGAAAATAGAACGCTGCGAGCAGACATTCAACTCTGGATGGGGAATCTGTCATACGTGGATGGATATACATATATAGATATATATATTTTCTGTTTGGAAAAACACAGGTGCATCTACTTAGAAGGCTCATATTTGTGCTGCTACGTATCGCTGTAGATGAATTTGCCCATTTGATGTAGAGAGTTTTGCAGCCCATATACCGGCATTTGTCCGTGTATCGGCAAGTGCTCGTACACTTGTACCCAAGACAAGAACCCAAAGCACAGAGGTATACGCATGAAACCAAGATAGCGCGGGAGTAGAAGTCACATTCCTTGGAGCTCTCGATAGCAAATCAAGGGGTTTCCATGCCGTGTCACGGCCATGTCCCTGCAGAAAGGGGCTTCTTCTAAAAATATATTTCAAGCTAAAACTCGGAGGTTTGAGCATACGTCTGCCAAGGTCGGCCTCTATGGCATCCGCGTTGTTATAGTTCTCGAGCTCGTCGGCCTGCTCTGAAGTACACATAGAAGTCCATATAAACAGGCGTCTTGGTGTTTAAATGGCTTGCGTTCGTGCAAGCGCATCAACTCGAGTGGCAGAAGGAATGAGCTAAAAAGAGAGTGGGGTTTGTATGTATGTATTTGAAGGACTCGGCCCATATGCATAGTGCTCGACCATCAATATAGCGTAGCGAGTCCTATATATATATATATCTACAGATACAGATGCATGCAGAGACATGCACTCAACGAACAGGGGACAGAAGCAAAGCTGCAAGAGAGACAGGCATAGATATTCCAGGCTTCACGGAGGCCTGCGAGGCTGAGGGTTCGAATGTGGGGTAGGGGGGAGGCCCCATATCCTGTAGCAGCTCTACAACAAAAGCTAGCAAACCGAAAAAAGCAGGGATGACAGTAGCAGAGCACCTAGCATGGAACGTGAGATATCCAGGCCGACAACAAAGTGACCTTTCTCCGAAACAACGGCCCCGCTCATGCCGCATCCAAAGCCCAAGTCCAGAACCAAGCAGCTCTGCAGTACATGCGCAATGCGAGCAGCCGCAGTAGGGTGTCTGTCTCTCGTTTTAGGAGAAGAATAGCTCTGGCAGCTACGAGATAGAAAGAGAGAGACAGAGAGCGAGAGAGACAGAGAGAGAGATAGAGATAGATAGATAGATAGATAGACAGATAGATAGAGAGAGAAAGAAAGAAAGAAAGAAAGAAAGAGAGAGAGGCAAGACAAGCAGCAGCAGCAGCAGGGTAACAGCAGTAGGTACAGGAATGCCAAGAGCATCTACGCAGACGCAATCAAAGCAACATCAGGACGGAGCAGCCACCTGATCGTCGGGCAGCAGGAGCATCTCGAGGGCCCTTTCTGCTAGCTGTTGCTGAACCGTATGCATCCGCGAGCTGCGTGCATATCGAAGCGACTCCTCCTCCCCGTAATACTGCAGAAGTAGAGGGACACAAGGCCAGGAAACACGCCGTTAGAGCGCAGAAACATCAAGTTCGGCTTGTTAAGAGGCAAACAGAGACGGCGCAAGAAGCACAATGCAACAAACAGCAGAACGGAGTCTGAAGCCCCAAGAGTGACACAGAATGCCAGCAGTAAAAGCAAGGAAGCAACAAGGCGCTGACGCAGCTTGCTGATAAAAAAACAGCCGATGGGAAGGCGAAATCGGCACATGTGTGCAGCACACTGCTTCAGACAGTGCTAAAGGGCGATATCTAGAGCGAAGCTTTTTACCACATCGGCGGGAAGAGAGTACTCGGGGCGGCTCATTGTTGCGGTATAGACAGGGCAACGCCCCCACCAGTCTCCCTCGAACTTTCTGTCCGCGCCTTTCGTGTGGTATCTTCCCTTCAGGGGGAGTTGTCAGCTTGGCAGCCCAGCCTGACTGATCATGCGGCACCTCTTCCTGAAGGGGCCTTGTTGAACGAACTCTACAGCTGCGCCCTGCGAGCCGCGGGATTACAGCGCCATACTACACGCCTTAGGGTTTACAACCGAAGCGTCTGGAAGAAGGCTGCCGATTTCGAGCGGCGTTACTGAAATTCTTCAAGCCTCGAACAAACGGCAGCTCAACAGGCGTACCCAGCACTGAAAAGCAGCAACCGCCTTCGCACGGGCAGCCCACAATCCAGTTTCCCGTCCCGATACATTAAGTTACACTATTTGGTGCTGCCTCATCTGCTGCTGCGAGGAAGGCTTGGGATCTGCGGCCCCGCACGAGCATCGGTGGAAGGGTCCTCTGGGAGCAGTCTGTAACGGAGGGGCCCCCCTTCCCCCAGAGGTGCTGGATAGCACCAAATATTCTTTGATTTGTAAGCACATGTATTAATATGCGTATATACATATGTATATGTATCGCCTTCGAAGGCGTTGGCTAAGGAAAATCTCGGCGATACCGTCCTATCTTGGAGGGGGCCCCTTGGAGGGGCCCCCCTCAGGCAGGTGTCGCTGGATGAGGAGAGGGAGGGTAGACGGAGGAGGACAAGTCAGCGTCCTGTAGGGGATTCGCACCTCTCAGCGTCGCACCAAGCAGGAAGAAGGGGTTGGCCGTTGAGCCGTTGTTGCCGGTACGACACCAGCGCTGCTAGCAGGTAGAAATCTTCAAGCAGCGGCTCAATTTTGCACGTCAGCAGGCCTGGGGGATTGGATGTCACGCCTCTTGTCTTGTTATGTAGGAGGAGCCACTCTACCAGCAGCTTTAAGGATGCCGCCCTTCAAGGCAGCAACCTTCTCCGCAGCCGCTGCTTCTTTAGGCTCAGCGGCTGCAGCCACGTGCAGACCCTCTCCTGCTGCGTGTATCCACCTGCACAGCCACCACGCTTTGTCTGTGCCTCCCTCAAGCGCTGTCAGTATCTCAAGCGGGGAGGCGCATCGCAACGGTGGGGAGGGAGAGACTGCACCATCCATCAACCTCACTGTAGCAGAAGGAACGGCAGTCCGAGCAGGTGTACCTGCAGGACGTCTTCTCCCCCCGGAGCAGGTTGTGCTACTACCTCCATTTCATGAGCTTCGCCTCCAACCGCGGCTAACGCTGTCTGCTGCTGAGGAGCGGCATGCAGGAGGGTCGTTCGCTGCAAGGCGTCAGATGCAGCGGTGGAAGGAAACGACTTGCTTCGTTGGAGACGCCGCTGAGCAGCTTCTCCTTTTCCCCGCCAACCTTCCCCATTTCCGTTCTGCTGCAGGGGGGGAGCAACGGGATCAACAGCTCGTGCAGCCCTACAGAGCCTCACCGCATCGACGGCCGCTTCTTTTCTCGCAGACAGCGCACAGCGAGCAGCCGGAGCAGAACCAGCAGCGAAGGAGCGCCGTCCATCCCTCACTCTGCGGATCCGCCGAGCTCCTGCAAGCTGTAGCTTCTGAAGCAACAACCGAGTTCAACAGCAGCAGCAGCAGCAGCTTCGGGCAAGGTACTCGTAGTGCCCTCGAGGCTTCCGCTTGCACGACTTCTTCGCCTGAGGACGCAGGTGGAGTCGAAAGTTTGATCGAAGCATCGAAAACACACACGACAGCAGCCTCGGCAACGGCGGCAGCCTCAGAGGAGACGCTTCGGGCTGCTGCTGCTGCTGCTGGTGCTGCTGCTGCAAGCCTTGCATGTTCCCCTGTTGGGAGCATGTCTGCGCAGCAGCTGCTTGCTCTCGGATACTTCCTTGTGAGCACCAAATGCAGCAATAGTAGCAGCAGCTTCAGCAAACCTCGGGAGAGGCACCATCTGCTGCTCTGCCGCCACCTCTTGCTACGTCTGCTAGTTCTGCTGCGAGAGCGCAATCAGCAAACTGTTGCCTATCCTCAGCATCAGCCTCAGCAGCATCAGCCTCAGCAGCAGCATGAGACCTTAAGCGCAGAGCAATTAACTCAGATCCTTAAAAGTCTCGCGAGGCTGCGCGTGTTCGACTATCTCTTCAACACCCCACGGCCTGTGGCTGCAGCAGCTTCACAGGCAGCTCCTGAGAATGCCCCTGTTGATGCTGCTGCTACTTTCTCGGCAGCGAGATTCGTGGAAGCTTCGCCTCCTCTGCTTAGATCCAGCTGCAGCGACGCGGCCTTCATCGGCAGCGTGCTTCCCGTCTTTCCGGCGGCATTTTACCGCTTGCTTGGGAAAGAATGCAGCAGTAGCAACAGCAGCATCAGCAATACCAGCTACAACACCAGCACCTCCACCAGCATCAGCAGTACGAGTGGCGAGGCCTTGCTGCACGGGGAGCCGGCTAAAACGCAGCTGGCAGAGGATGAAATGCAACAGCAGCCATGGCAACGCACTCTCAAGCACCAGTTCCTTTCGGGAGCAAAGTCTGAGCCTTCGTTGCCTCACCTTGAAAAGCCACGGCACCCGCAGGAGCAACACCTCCACACGTTGCCCAGACACTTATCTATTCCCAGTTCTACCGAATCCGAAGCAGCGGAGTGTGTAGAATATTTCGCTCGGTGTCTTGCACGGGAACTTTGCCTCATCTTTGCTAGAGACCTGCGGCTCTCCCAGGAACGACCGCTACAACATCGTCTCAGCAACAGTGACAACAGCAGTAATAGTAAAAGCAACAGTAACAGCAACAGTAATAGTATCAACAGTAACAGCAACAGTAATAGTACCAGCAACAGTATCAACAGTAACAGCAACAGTATCAACAGTAACAGCATCAGTAACAGTAACAGTATCAACAGTAACACCAACAGCAATAGTAACAGCAACAGCAATAGTAACAGCAACAGTGTCAACAGTAACAGTAACAGCAGTATCAGCATCAGCAACAGCATCAGCAACAGTGACAGAAACAACAGCAGACACGCAAGTGCTCATAGCCAGGATCGCGCTGAGAGGGAGGCGTTTACGCGAACTGATGGCGTGCGGCCCTTCTTCTCCCCCCAGGAGTTTTCGCGGGCTGCATTACATTGTGCTGTCCTTTTTTACCCCTGGACGCGCGCCGCGAAACACAAAAGCAGCCGCAAGAGCAGTAGAGCTGATCGCTCCGGTGTGGCTACTGGCTCTTCGGAAGACACCAGGAAGGTCGTCTTGCTGCTGCAGGGGCTAAGCGCTCATCTACTAGTCCGCATGCAGCCTCGCTTCAACGCAAAGTATGCTGGCGCTTGCTCGCGTTTGTCGAGTTGATCGCGGCCCTTGAGGCGTGTTCGCAAGGCTTCTTGTAGAAAAAGTGGGGGTGTTTCTTCTCCGCAAGCGGCAGAGGAACTTGGATATCATTCCCAACCGAAGAGCATGAGGCATCTAAGCCACTCGAAAAACCTCATGCTGTGATGTCTGCGAAACTTCCCGTGCAGGAGCGCAGCACTGGCTGCAACGGCTCTGGGGTATGCCGATACAGCGCCACACCGAGCTCTTCTGGTGAGATTCTTCTTCTCGATCCCATACCCACAGTCTGGCCCTCTCAACTTACCGATGAACTTGCTGCTGGTGCCGGAAGCTTTCAAAGCAGGCCTGTGCAAACTTTTGGAAGCGAGGTTTTTCTCTTTTATCTCTCGATATTCATGGGTGTGTATGAATGTACGTGTATGCATAGGTACGTATGTATGTGTACGTGTGTGTGCATAAGTATGTACATGTATGTATGTGTATGTACAGTTATGTACGTATGTATATGTGTGTGTGTATGTGTGCGTGTATGTATAGGAATGCATACATTTCTGAGTGTATGTCTATGTATAAGCATGGATGTGTATGTATAAGTATGCATATGTATATGTGTGTGTATGTGTGTATGTACAAGTATGTGTGCATGCTATTTGCTTGGTCATCCAGTGTGCACGCCGTTTTATCTGCCTCGACGGCGGCGTGCGTGCCTCCCTTCTGCTGCCTCCTTTGATTTCCGGCGTATTTTTCGCCATATTTTTTTGAGGGGGTTCAGTGCCCTAGTGGCCTCCTTTCCTTCCCTGCGCACCGCTCCAAGAGTTGCTGTCGTTTCCAGCTGCATTTCCCGCCGCTGCAGCGTCTGCTGATTCTTGCATTGTTACGAATGCTTCCGCCTTTCAGAAAGCCTTTGTTGAGGGCTTGTGGGCAGAACACCGTCGCCAAGTGTATCCGCTGCTGCCGGACCACATCAGCAATGTTCTCTTCTTTCTTTCGAAGAGGCAGCTACGGCACGACTCGCTGCTCAAAGCTTTAGCCACCACCGTTAGTTGCACCCCTGCGTTTGGGCGCCCTGCCAGACCCTCCCGCGATCCTTTGGTGCTGCTTCTGTGTGTTTCACAATCGTCTTACTGCTGTGATGGCTGCTGCTCTCCATCCCAGTGCTCTTTCTTTCTGGTCCATGCATCACGCTACACCGTGGCTTGCAGCTCACTTCTTGCTTTTCTTGTTGCTGTGTTTGATGTCACAGGTAGCGCTAAAGGCTGATGGCTTCACTCTGACAACTGCACTGTCTTTACTCTTTTGGTGAGCAGCTACAGACATCGAGTACACTTGAGACCCTGAATGCCTCTTCTACTTGTGCTTCAACTAGCAGCAGGTGTTCCTTCATTCGCTGCGGCTAACGGTGCTGCAGCTTCGGACGACTGGAAGCAGAGCACCTCGTGGCTTCTCCCCTGATACGCCGCTTGGAGTCTGTTGAAGGTGGGCTGTCGAAAACACCCGTGCACCTCAGGAGTTGCTGTTGAGAACCTGTCAGCCTAACGGACGGCCCGCATTCTGTATATCTTTTCGCGAAAAACTTCATTTATGCTAACGCCGGAAACACACTTGAGTCTGCTTTTTTCAATGCAGAGGCCGCATACAGGTGCCTGGACACCCGTACGGCCTGTATCGGCTTGCATGCGCTGCTGAAGTGTCGACGGAAGGAAAACTTTAAAGGGTGTGGCGAAGAGCCCCTGAGGCGTCTTACTTCCTATTTAGCATCAGACGCCAAGTAAGGAACTATGCGCGGCTCCTTCTGCTGCTGCACGGTTGACTGACACCTGCTGCAAATGCGGCAACAGGTGATACGTCTCTACATTTCCTGTTTGTACTGCTGCAGCAGCACTGCATTCGGGACGGTAGCGGAGCACCTTCACCAGCATCTGCGAGAATCGCATCGCGCGGCTGCCTCGGTGGCGTAGGAGTGGGGGAGCTCGCTGAGGCGATTCTGCTGCAACAGCTTTTGCGGCTTCAGCGGCTCTGGCTGCGCAGCAGCTGCAGTTTGTCTCCGTGACCTTTATTCGCTCGGCTACCTCGTGAGCGACGCGATGTTTTGACACAAACCGTGTTGCAGTCAGCGTGAGTAGCGCATGCACTTGTGCACGACCACCATGTCAGTGACTGGCATTGTTGTCGGTGCTGAGAGCGCTTGTACGCGCAACTAGTACATAGTCATCTAAGGGAGTTCGTCGCAGCGCGTTTAATCAGGCGACCTGCGCACCCGCGAGTTTGTTTTGCACTAGGCTTGGCCTCCCGCTGCTTCCGGCCGGTGCCGCGGCTAGTCGACTGTCTGACAACCAGCCTACCCCTGCCGCCGTTTCTACCCTTCAAGAAGTGTGTTCCCGTCTCGAGATGCTCTGTCAGTACTTGGCGCTTCAGGCTTCGCCTTCCGGCGCTGCTCGTCTTCCTGCAGCTGCTGCTGGAGGGCTTCATCGTCTGGATGTAGAGAGCCTGTGCACGTAATGAGATATTCACTAAGCGTCCGCAGGGAGACAGCAGCGGAGGCACCTGGATTGGCTTCCACCAAAGCATAGCCCTCCTCGCAGGCTCTCAGTAACTGCGGCAGCACCCCCGGAGAAGCAGCAGCAGCAAAAGCAGCAGGTTGCGCAACTTAGAGGGGGAACCCTATGTTGAGGAAGGCAACGTAGAGCCGTCATACAGCTTCTACGAAGTAGACGTCCCCGCAGCGCACCCCGTTGGCATGCACGCTTAATAAGTGTGCTACATGCGCCAAGAACGCAGCAAATAAGCCCGCACATGAGACACGGAAAGAAATACGCCAGGGAAGCAGGGAGATAAGATAGCTAGGCTCTGACGGCTATCGACGTGCAAGTGCACAGTGCCCTTGCGCCCACCTCCCTCTCAAGAGGTATCCTCCCCGCAAAGGGAACCCCCATGACTTCGCACATTTGCTGCACTCCTCAGAAACACACACACACAACACCAACGCCGCTGCTGCTGCCGCAGCTATTCAAGCGCTTGCTGTGCAACTGGCTGACACAGCTAGCCACCACGCACAGCCCGAACTTGTCCCTCGCTCGCCAAACGCGGGACGTAGTTAGTACCTCAGCAAGCGCACAATCAAAAAAACACGCGACAGATGACATGCGTCGTCGCTTGCCGCATGGCCAAACCCAGCGGACACTCATAATTCCCAAACCCACTACTCGCAACTAGACAGCTGGCAGCGAATAAGCGTGTCAGTGCGCTATTACGCATGAACCCCCACCTCTGCGCCTCCCACGTTGGGGCCTTCGGCAAACACGGACGATGTCATGTTCTCCACCACCCCAAGTACTGGCAGCGAAACCTTGCGACTTTGCAACAACACATACATACATACATACATATTTACATGAATGCATACATGCACATACACTCGGGGACCTCTCGACACCGTGTCTACACGGGCAGCTCTCTAGCAAGTCGTATGGTCTCTCTCTTTCTCTCTCACACAGCTACCTGTCCCATCGATCAACAAGCGCAACGATACCATCACACAAGCCCCTCCTAAGGGCCTCCACCTCTGAAGGAAACGCGTGCTCACGTGGATGCTCGCGCAAACAGACCAGCGCTTCCCTAACAGGAGGCGGCGAACTACGAAGCGCAAGGACTCACCAAAAGTTTATTTGCTTTCGCACATCCTGCAGAGCTGCTTCTTGAGGCGTTGTGACAACGATGGCACCGTCAGCATCGAGAAAAGCTGTCAGAGAAATATGTTCATCCGAGGTCCCTACAGTGCAACAAGAACAACAACAAAAAGCCTCGCATACCGGTCCAGCTGCCCTCGCAGCTGCTGCCGGTGGCTCGTTATCCGAGTGGTACAAAACAGGCAGAATACTGCTCAGCTGTTGAACGTCCTCTAAAAGCTAGCCAAATCTTCGAGCCACTTGCGTGCAGATGTCTCCCTTCGTCTTCCCAGCTAGCTACCTATCCCCAATTAAAAGAATTACGCACTGAGCCGTGGCGAGCCAGCGCGATCGCTAGCAGCTCCGCATCACTTGTAACGGGCATATCCCCAAGGCAAAAGCCCACCTGGTGGCGTATCCACTATCAGGAAGTCCAGTTCGCCCCAATTCACATTTGACAAAAAAGTCTTGATGAGCAAGTTCTTCTTAGGACCCCTCCATATAACCGCGCTATCCTCTTCCGGCAACAAGAAACCTATATCTCGAAAACACGCATCTCGCCAAATCCTAACTATCAGCACATCGGGCCTTTATTTATATGGGCATATATATACAATTATATACATACATACATACATATACACATAAACCATGTGTACATATATAGATGCATGTATATATCTCTGTGTGCTTGCATGTACATATGTATGTATACTGGCTCAAGTGCAAGCTTTAAAGAGACCGCTCCTAGTTCTCTGTGCTGGTGCCGTCGCTTTTACTCAAGGAGGAAAAGGCAGCAAGAAAGAAAAACATGTTACCACCCGTGAACGTTCTTCAACCCCCCCGGGATTACCCGCCAAAACACTCACACACGCCGCTAGCACCTATTCCAAGCTACGCAGTGACGTCGACTGCTCAGGGAGTAGAGCCTCGATTCTAAAATTACCAATGGACATGAGACAGAGATCCTCTCGAACAAACGCAGGCTCCCACCCCTCTGCGCTCTGGAAGACTTCTGCCGTCTTCTGCCGAAGCATCAGCGGCAGAGAGGGGCCACAGAGATCTAAGTCGCAGAGGCCAACTGAGAATCCTAGCGAGTTCAAGGTCCAGCCTGCGCATCTCAGATCAAGAAAAGGGAGACACGAGGTGGCAGCAGCGCCTTTCTGAGGGAGCGCGAGTCATTAACTCGCCTGACTCCCCCCTGCAGAAGGCAACGGGCTTTGGACGAGGCCTGCCCGCTGCCTGCACAGTCTGCGCGAAAAATGCAACAGCGTGAGCCTTTTTAGCGCTCCAGCGTGAGTGTGCTCCTGCCCCAGAGATCCCCCATGAGAGAGACACCTCCTACCAAGCTGCGAGGCCACAGTTGATTTCCCGACGCCGCCTTTGCCAGACAACACGACAATCTTCTTTCTGACGCCTCGCAACTTGGCAGCGATCTCCGCATTCTTCGGCTGCCGCAACCCTGTTGTGGCAGCTGTATCCCGCGATGCCTCTTCCGGTGCTCCACTGGCAGCCGCTCCGTTCGGAGCGGCTGCAACTCCCTTTGCTGCTAGACAAAGGCTTCTCCCAGGGCACCCCTCACAGCCTGCAGCAAGACCTGCCACTGCGCTCTCAGGACCGGGGCAGCTCGCAGATATTTCCTGCTTCTGCGCTTCTTCTTCCTCCTCCTCGAGACGCTCTCGCTGCGTCCCCCCCCCCTGCGGTCGCTGCGACGGGATGCGATGCTGGAAGCACAGGAGCGCTGCTGCCGTCAGAGCTGCCCCCACGGCTGCACTGGCGGCGCAAAAAGCAGCAACCCGCCCCCTCGAGATGCCTGCCATAGCAGCGGCTCTTTGGGATCTACCAGCTGGCCTCTGCTGCTCTCTTGCAGCCTCCGCTTATATGCGCCACGAAGGGCGTCTGGCTGTCTGTCTGTCTGTCTCTTTTTCCTCTTTTTTCTCTCTTTCTCTCTCTCGAAAAGCTGCACAACTGATACGCTGGACAGCTCTTCCGCGGCACCTCTCTTGGTGACCTCCTTCTGCTAAGTGTAAAGCCGCTCGCGAGGAAGATTCAGAGGCATGTGCTGTGTACGGGTGCCTGCGAAATCCCAGGGCACCTCGTCCCCCTCGATTCGACCAAATTTCTGTCGGTAGCCGCGCCTCTTTCTTCGATCCCCCGCAGCAGGCTGCGGGCAGCAAGAGACGCCTAGAACGCTAGATTCCAGAGAGCCTTCCCACTGTATCCAGGAGAAACGAACAAACGTCCACAAGAGAAGCACAACGCAGCGTTCAAACACTGCACAGGCGCCGCTTTCCTCCTGGAGGGGCAGCCGCTGCTGGGACGCAGGCTGGTCTGCCAGGAAGCTAAGGCCAGAGAGATTTTTAATGCAAACGCACAAACTCGAGCAACACCTTATTTAATTCACGTGAAACACAATTGACTGGCTGGAGCGACACGGCCATCGCAGCCTCCTGCTTCCAGGTGTCTGTCTTCTTGCAAGCCACCACACAAACCAAGTCCTACGGGGAGGCCCCGCTTCCTGTTCTTCGGATACATGCGCGCGCCAGCTGTCGCGACAGCGCAGAAGGCAGCACTGCTGCAGCATATTTGACAATTCGCATGAGCATGCTTGCGTGTCAAAAATGCATTGTCCTCGAAGACTGGGGGCAACAAAAATCCGCATGCCGCTGAGGCTGTCTCGCTGCTGCCGATCGATCCCGCATGCCAGCGCCGCTGCCGACGACTCCTGGAGCCACTCTGCACCGCCTCTCCCCTCGCCAAATTATCGGTGCAGATCTTGCAGTTGCTGCAGCATGCGAGACAGAAACAACGTTGCGAGCCACTCCACACGCGTTGTTTCGGCTGCACCACGAACGTCCCGCAAGTGACTATGTCTCGCGGAGAGAGTTGTACTCTGGCGAGGCGGCTATGCCACCAGTAAAGGCGTTCAGCCTTCGAGAAGATGGACATACAATCCCTTACACCTGCGCATGGCGCTGCCGCATGCAGCACTCCCGTGGGAGCAGTGCCCTCCCCCTCAGCCATACCCCCCTCTGCAGCTCCTGTGACTGCGAAGGCAAGGTTTGATCCTGTTGTGAGTTTCCTGGCGGAAGACGAGGAACGGCTGCAGGAGCACATCGTATTGTGCGATGAGCTGCTCAAGCAGCTGATGCTGAGCAGCCTGCGCCACAATAAGAAACTGTACATTCAGCAGCAGTTGCTCCCGGATCTACAACAGCTGCAGCAACACGCGGAAAGCACGACTGCTCGGATCGAAAAGCAGTTGAAACAGGCTGCAGAAGCAGCAGAGGCCATCGCTAGGCCTATTCACGAGCTGCAGCAGCAGCAGCAGGTCCTGCAACAGGCTGCAGATATTGCAAAACACATCAGCACCATTCACCAGCAACAGAGTAAGCGCCTGCCTCGCAACTGCTTCCACCGATGCCAGTGCTGTCATTATACGTAGCGTGTCAAATCCATATCCTGCGTTTCTTGTTTTGTTTCCTTTTTTCCACGCTCGTTCACACCCGCAACTAGCGTCTCGCATGGCCCTTGCGAGCATGTACATACCGCAAACAATCGACCCGAACTCCTTCTTTCGTAGATGATTCGCTGCCTTGCGCACTGTCTGTACAACGCGTCCTTCCGCATTCGTGCTCCTGCGAATGCATGTGTCTGTTCGGATGCTTTAGCTGCTGCTGCCATCGTAACCGCATGCGTTCTGTGTTTCCATGCTACTACGCCGCTTAGCTCCCTTCTTTGCCGCTTAGCTCCTTCTTCTTCGACGCTTCATCTGCATTTCAACGGCCGTACGCCTTCGTTTCGCTTTTTGTAGTCTATGCTTGTTCTAACTCAGCGTTCCACACGAGGCAGATGCCTGTTCTCGTGCGTTGCTGCTGCTGCGTGTGTGTGCTGCAGCGCGAGCCGCTGCTGCTTTGGAGGATGGACAACTCCTGCTGGCATCTGAATGTTTGCACAGCTGCCTGAGCATCCGAGACGAGTTTGAGCGGATAGATCAACAGCAGCAGGAGCAGCAGCAGCAGGCATCGCGTGGGAGTCTCTGTACAGCAGAGGCAGCGGTCCTGCAGCGACTGCAGCAGCAGCAGCACACGCTGCTGCAGCAGCTTCATAAGCGATTGAGTGCCTCAGCAGGCAGCCTCGTTGCAGCGGCACTGCAGCAGCAGACTCCTCGCCAGCAGCAAGAGCAAAGCCGTGCTGAGACTGAAGGCAGCACTGTTGACAGCGGACAGCACACTCAGCAGGAGGAACAAGCGCAGCAGCGCGAGAAACATACGCAAGAGCTCTCCTTGGAGCTACGCTGCTACTTCCTTGTACGAAAGGGTGCAGCAGCAGTTCACCGATTCTGCCGCATGGTGACGGAGGCCCTTGCAGATGACTCTGCGAATTATTTCAAGTAACTTTTCCAGTGTTGTCTTGGCACACATCCATATACACACGTAAATACATGCATACACATATATATATGTACATGTATACACATAAATACATGCATATGTATATATTACATATATATACATACGTGTATATATATATATATAGACGTATATGTATACATTTATTGCACATCTATATACATATGCACATCTATATACATTACACATCTATATACATATATGTATATGGATATGTAGATATATATATATATATATATATATATATGTATATCTACATGTGTATACCTGTGCAAGTGTATCTAGATCCGAGTATACCTGTTTGCTCCCATTTAAAGAAGGCTTCTCCTTGAGCAATTAGAGAGAGGTAAAACGCGCTAAGGGGTGAAGCGTTCGATTTTTCTGAGCGTAAAGCGTGTCTTTTGATAGCTGCTTGTGGCAGCGGCCTGTTTAGGACATATGTATGTGCATTATATGCATCTCCTGCGGTCTTGCGTGGGGAAGACGCGAAGAAATCTGAGGAACTCTTACAGGAGCTTGATTGAGAGCGCTTAGGATTATGTGAAAGGTTTTCATATTGTGCTAAGGCGGCCTCTCCAGGCCGGTCGAGGCCTCTACACACGGCCAGCAGTCTTGCCTCCCCATGCGTCGTTGAGTTTTCCGAGTTGCATTCTTTCGTGCTGCTATATGCTGTTATGCTCCTGCAGGGTGCTGCTGCAGCCGCAAAAGACAGTGACTGCGAAAGCGCATGCTGCCCTGTTGCAACAGCTCTTTGGCAAGTTCTTGAAGGTCTCTGCAGTGCAGCAGGTATTCACACTGGGAGCCTCCCTTGCTGCCAAAGCCGTTTTTACATCGCTCTGGTGCCGCGGCTCTCTTTCTTTTTTCCTGCTTTTTTGCATCTTTCTGAAACTTTCGTACTCGCACTCCGCGTGTTTTCCCCTGTTGTCTGCCTTTACATATATATTTATGCCTGTAGCGTCGCTTGCTGGAGTCGCTAGCGCCTCCTTCCGCAGCCCTTCAGGATGCCTCTGCGGCGTCCGCTGGGGAGGCTTCTTTAGGGAAAGCAGCCAAGATCGAGGCTGTCGAAGCTGCAATTTGCAATTGCTTCTGCTGCTGCTGTCGAGCTGTTTGTGTTGTTTTCTCAGGTGCTTCGGAGGGCAGTGGTGGCTATGGCATCTCCGCTTCCGGAAGGGGGGGGAGACGTGGTTACCAGCGCCGCTGCGGCCGCAGCAACTCCCGCAGCAGCCGCGGCAGCTGCTTTTTTTATTGCGACGCTATCTCAAGAGCTGGATGTGCAGGGTGTCAGAATCCTGAATCACTTCTTAGAGGCCAAGTCCGCAGAAGCAGTTGCAGCAGCAGCTGTTCCTGCCGGAGCCGCTGCTGCCACGCTTCTCGCTGCTCTGAAAAAATGCACTCAGCAGCGACGCTGTCGGCTCTACCCCATCCAGCCGCGACCCTCCTGCTTGCTGCATCTCTCGCTGCTGCTCGCGTTTGATTGCTGCATCTCTCGCTGCTGCTCGCGTTTGATTGCTGCTGCAGGCCAGAGACGTTCGCCTTCAAGAAGGAGGGAGGAGCAAGAGACCCTGAGGCTCTCAGGTGCTACGCCGCTTGCAGTGCTGTTTCTGCTGATGCGCATGCCGTTGTGTCGCCTCCCAGTTGATGCTTTGAGAACCCCCTCCTCCCCCCGATCTCTCGGGCGGAGCAAAGCAGCCTACGGCAGCATAAAAATGCAGCTGCCCGGCAGTCAAAGCTGCTGCAGCTCGCGCGCTTGCCGTCGGTGGTCCCCCAGTTCGTCCCCTCCTTCTCCTCGCCGCTAAAATTCGAAGCCGCTTCAATTTGCGATGCGCTGCTCACTGCTCTACCCCTGCAGGCAGGTGGAAGCCAGACTAGAGGAATGCGTCGTTCTGAGTCGATGCTGTCGCCGCAGCCACGCGGCCTTGCTGCAGCAGTTCAGAAATGCTCTCGGCAGCGCCGCCTCTCCAGCCGCTGCGGAAGGCAGCGCGCTAACCAGCAGCAACAGCAGCCTTCCCCCGAGCAGTTCGCGGGGGAGTCAAAATGAAGTTCTGCAGTTGCTGACGCCCCAACAGGTCCGCCGCAAGGGGCAAAGGCCGAGGAACGCTGGACACAGAAACGCAGGCTGAGAGGGCTTTGCAGAGATATATACAGCTCGCGCAACAGGGGCGTAGAGACAGCCTGTGCCGTGTATCGCGAGAGGCTTGGCAGCTACTTGATTGGAATTTAAAGGGGGGAAGAAAAAACAAAGGCTTGGGGCAGGGGCTGTGTGGCGGCAGTAGGGGTGGCTGCCGCTCACTCTTTCCCCAGTTAGCCGTAGGGAGCGGCGAAAACGCATTCAGGGAGCTCCTTGCAGCGACGGTGCTATCCCTACTGCTGAAAATGATGCTGCTGCAGGTTCTTCAGGTTGAGCATCCAGCCTTGATGCAGCGCCGAGAGGAGCTTGTCGCCGACTATATTGCACTTGAGCACGCGCTGATGCTTTGGTATGGCAAATTATGCTGCTACTTGTGCCTCTATTGCTGCTACTGCTACTGCTGCCTCTGTTGCTGCTACTGCTACTGCTGCCTCTGTTGCTGCTACTGCTACTGCTGCCTCTGTTGTTGCTACTCCTGCTGCCGATGTTCCTCCTATTGCTTCCTCTGTTGCTACTGCTACTGCTGCCTCTGTTGTTGCTACTGCTACTGCTACTGCCTCTGTTGTTGCTACTGCTACTGCTGCCTCTGTTGCTGCTACTGCTGCCTCTGTTGCTGCTACTGCTATTGCCTCTGTTGCTGCTACTGCTACTGCTGCTCCTTCTTCTGCTACTGCTGCTGCTTCTGTTTGAGTGTGCGCTTTCCTTGTCTTGGTTCGTGTGTTGGGGGGACGCTCGGAGGCTGCGCTTCTCACACCCTCAAACGCTTCCTTCCTCCCTGTGTGTGTGTATACGGGCTTGGGCAGATTGATCTGTTGCCTGTGGATTTTCGCTTTTCGTGCTGCAATTCTTTTTTGCTTTTCGGACTTCGCAGGGCAGTCGGAGAGGCGCTGGAGGTACAGGACGAGCTGCCGTTTGCTGCCGCCGCGCGAAGCGTCTCTGAGAACTCCCTTGGTTTGTCACTGCCTGTAAGTTCCTCGGAGGCACCTGCTGTATCGCAGGAGGAGCTGCTGGCATCCCTTCGACAGGCGGAAGAAGAAGCAGTGGACGGGGGAGAATGCTTTTACAGCACGATGACTGAAGACCTCTTTTTCGTGTTTCAGGCTTCTGTATCCCGAGCGCTAAGGTGTGCGCCCAGCGGCTTGAGCGGCTGTAGGGCTGCTGCTTCTGGCTATACCACTGGCGAGGGAAGGGGGGTTGTTCAGTGCATGGCTAGCTGAGCGCACGTTGCAGGCTCTGCAGTGCATGCAGTCTGCTCTCCGTAGGCAGGCCCTCTGCGTCTGATCCTGCTGCCTGACGCATGCTGTGGCTGCGGTGCTCTTATGACGCTGCTGCAGATCCGGAGATAGCCTGGCATTGTGTGCCTTGCTCAATCACGTCGCTGCTGCGCTGCGTTGCGAAGTGCTGACAGCTCTCCGAAGCTGCCTTGAGGCCAGCAAGGCCCCCTATGCGCATTATGTCCAGGTACGTCATTGATTTAAAAAGAGAGCAAAACTTGCCTAAAGGCCTCGCACTGCTGCTTTTTCTTCATTCCCCCTCTCCCTCTTGGCAAGATTGCCTGACTGCTTTATCTCTCCTCGACTTGTCTTCGAGCTGCTTGCCTTGTCATCGACTCCTCGACGTGCCATCGAGCTGCTTTCTTCTGCTTCTGCCTGCCTTTCCGGATTTATCTGCGTCGCTCCCTTCGCCGTGGCATCTCGGAGTCTCCGTTCTCCTCTCTCTAGATGTCTTTCTACTGCACATGGCAGTGCCCGATCCTTCACGGTGTCGTCTCTCGAATTATCCTTGATGCCTGACGGTCTCACTGAAGGATACACGCTGAGAAAGGAATGCGTAGAACACGCAACCAAGCGTTTTATGCGGCGAAAGCAGTCACTCTAGCGCGCAGGGAAACAGGGAGGCAGGCAGCGAAGCACGCCCCCCCTGCGAGATGCGTATGGGGAAGGGAGTTGACGTACAAGAAAGGGGGGAGAGGTGGATGCTGCTCTTGAGGGCAGACTCCTCCTGCATTCAAGAGGGTTGGGTTTCGATAGGCAAAGGGATACGGCAAGAGCGCGTTTCCCACTCTTTTTTGATGCTGCTGTTTCCCCAGTCTCCTGCGGCTCCTCCCTCTTTCTGCAGGACGAGGCACGCCTCAAGGATTACTCGATTATTAACGCTCTTGAAGCTCGATTTGAAGGCCGCCCTCTTCCAGATAAAATTCGTGAGTTCGTGTTTCTCAGCTGCTGTGCCTTTCGACGCCTGAACGCTGTCTGGACACCCGGCTCTTTACTGCACATGTTTTTATCGCGTTGAGACTTCTCGTGCTGCCAGCTTGGAGGAAAGACGTCGCTATGAGCAGCTGCTCCTCTAGTTGGCAACACCCTTCAGACCACGCCATGGCCTGTACACCGCAGATGCTCTCTCTGCAGTGGCCTTGCTGTTTGCCACCTTGCACCTGACGAGGCTGCTGCTCCCCATCCACTGCGGGTGCTCCTGGTGCTGCAGGGGCTTGCCACAGCTGGCCTGTCTCCGTAAATAACGTGCAGCTGTGTCTTTCTTCCCTGGCACACTTCAAGGCTGTCACGCAAAATGCAATGCAGCAGCAGCACCAGCAGGAGCAACTGCAGCAACACGACGCGGCCGCAGCAGCGGACTCTACGGAAGCCGACGGCGGCGATGCCAAGTCTCCTCTCCTCATTATGCATTACACGCTGCAGGTGCGCATGCATTCGCATATATATATATGCGTTGCTATTATTCCTCTAAAAGCACACCTTGTACGGCTGGCGGGCAGCACGTCTAGGATTGCTGTGCTGTTGCTGGTGCATGAGTGCTCTTCGATTGACAGGCTTCTCTGCCCTGGCTAGTTGGATTCGCAGCAGCTAGCGTTCTCGCTACCCCTGCCGCTCCCACCCCTGCCGCTTGTTGCTGCTGCTGTTGTTGCTGCAGGAACTGGATGGCGCGGCGGAAGCGCTTCAGCAGCTACACTCTCGCTGCTGCACGCTGACAATTCGGTTTTTTCAAGTGTATTGGCAGCATTGCTTCCAGCTGCTCAAAAAATGCGACTTCGACCGAGACGCCGCACTCAGGGTTAGCTCTTTTTCTGCTGCAGCCATTGCCGACGACACCTCAGCCCCTTCGATTGTTTCTGTTGATTGCCTCATTACTGCCTGCACTGCCGCAGGCAGTTAATCTGTGCCGCGAGACAGCCGTGGCATGTGCGCTGTTGTTTGCTGCTGCTTCCCCTGCCGCTGCTGCAGGAGGAGGGGTCGCTTGCGGGGAGTACATGGAGGCTGAAGCTGCAGCGTCTGTTTGCCTTGCTAGCTTTTCATTTCAACCGCTGCTTTGACGCAAAGGGACAGGCCACGCTCTGCGACATGCTTGTCGATTTGGTCTGTCTACTGCCGCTGCTGCAAATATTCTGCTTTCTCTTTCCAGCTACTAACAAGGCTGTGCTGTCTTAGGAGACCTGACGGCAAAACACTCGTCAATATGCCCTCTGGAACGCAGAAACGAGCGCAGCCAAACGCACCGCATCGTCGCCTGCTGCCTCTGTCCCTTCAGGTAGTCAAACACCTGGAATCAGGACTGCTTGAGAAGAACTACACCGCAGCAGGCGGCATCTTTGCGAATCAGGAAACACGCACTCTCTGTCTGGTCGTCCAAAGGCTCAGCTTGAATCCTGCCTCTGGGGGCAGCGGCAGAAGCAGAAGCAGGCAGCAGCAGCAGCACTTGGAAGCAACAGCAAACAGGTGCTCCTTCTTTGACGAATTCGAGGACGAAGAAGAAACACTCGAGTCTGTACAAATTAATTACCCCGAGCCTGTCAGACCGAAGGTTCGCTACTCGCACGCGCTGCTGTACCAATTTGCGCTGTTTCGCTGTTGCCACTTTCGTCCTTTGCAGCTTTCGGTCTTCTCTACTGCAAGTTGTACTATGTTGCTGCCATGAGGGGCTTTTAATCGTGCAGCCAGTCTCAGGAAGATGCTGCTGCTGCTGCTAAATGTTCTGTCCACGCTTATTTCGAACTGGTGCAAGCACAATTACCTCCCCCGTCCCCTCCCCCCCTCCAGCAGCAGAAAGACTATCACCACCTTGTAAATCCCTGTGGTGTGCTATGCGCTTCCTTTCAGTTTTGTCGCCTGTTTGAGATAGGAGAACTTCTTAGCCTTCCTTCCCTCAGAGAAGTTCCTGAGCTACTAGGTCGGGTGCAGCTGCAGTTGCGGCTCGTGCCGCTGTTGCGCTTGCATACACACGCACGGTGTCAACGCCATCTCGCCTTGCTGCCCTCTTCCCTCTTCTATAGGCAGCCACTCTACGTTTGTTGGTCCCACGTCCGCAGTTCTTGGATGGCTAGAGCTCCTTGCTGCGATTTTATGCGATAGCTGCTGCTGCGGCGAATGGTTCTTGTTTTGTTGCCGGCATCTCAGGGGAAGTAGAGGGAGGCACGTCGCTTTTATCTCTCCAGGAGATTAAAACAGTGAGCGAGCGCTCACTGATGGTGCATTGGCAAACCAATTATTTATTCCCTAGGGCTGCGCGTGCAGGCAGATTTATGTGGAAGTTTCTATGTCGTTGCTGATCCTGCAGGTCCTGCGACTACGCGTTGACTTTGAGAATGAGGAAATTGAGGAGGTAGTGCGTCGTGTCGGACCCCCTCTCTCGTGAGAGGCATCAACAGGAGGAACGCGAGACGGCAATACCTGATGTGTAGTCAGTTTTCTGCTCGCTGGTGTATTTTGAGCATATAAAATACGGGTTTCCGTATTTACCACGGAGACCTTTACGTAGGCCTAGCTGGAAGACCAAGCTTTGGCTGCTTAAGGGTGGCAGTGACTGAACAAAGTTTCCCTATCGCAGGAGCTGCGCGTTTTCTTCCTAATCGTTCCGTTCCGTGCCCTTCCCTTGAGGCAAGGGCGATGTCTACAGCTAGTATAGCGGAAAGACATCTGAAAAGTAAACTACGCAACTGTCCATCCTACGTAGTAGCGATCTCGAAGCAACGGGCCTTACCGACAGCAGGCGGCGGCAAGTACAGGGCCTGAAAGGTTACAAGTTTAGTTTGAATTGTATAGTCAACACTTCATGCCCGAACGCTGCCGGTGCAGGCAATGCTTCTGCAGTCATTCCTCCTGCAGCTTGCATTAGCTGCTGTTGACGCACAGGGTGTCCAGAGAGGCAAACCACCTACATATCTTGGTGGTGCTGCTTGAAGTGACAAGCAACGGGGTAGGATCAGGAAACGCGGTTGCGGCTGCTACGCGCTTCTGGAAGTGACAATCTTTGTAATTGACTGGGCACTTGTTTCTGTCGCTACGCTAAAGGCGATAGGGGTCCGACCGCAAGTGGCAGATGGCGAAGGCTGTAGCTTAACGAAGAAATCCCCTTGCTGCTGCCACACAGGATGCCGTATAATGCAGGAAAACATAGCTTTCCAGGATTGTAGTCGTTGATTCTATTGCGCGCCAAGGAGGAGAATAGCTCAGGTGGGAAACTGCTCTCTCGGTCGGCCTGCGACTGTCATTGCCGCATTTGCACGCCTAAGATTCAAGCAGGTGCATATGTGGCTGGCGTCGAAAGCACCAACAGCTGCGAAAAGCAGTGATGCGTGCAACAGCGACTCGTCCAGTGCTGCTTCTGCATGCAGTTGTCAAACCGCGCTTGATTTTGGTGCTGCTGCCGAGGCAGCAGCAGGCTGCTTCAGCTGCGCTGCCTCGTCATCCGAGGCACCGCCTTCCCAAAAAGGTTCGTCCTGCTCGATGGCCATTGTGTTTAGGGACTCTTCGCTGCTGCTCTTGCTACTGTTCCTGCTGCTGCTTTCAAGCCCCTCGTCCACTACGCTGGAGTCTCCCTCTTCCCCGCTCCACTGTTGCACTGGCGAGAAGGCGGCACGCGCACGCAGCCTGTGGTAAGTGCGACGGAAGGCAGCGCAGCGGCAGCAAACCTAAGCTAAGCCTCGTGGCATATAGAGCCTTACATGCTTGTGGTTTTTTTCGCTTTAACCCATGCAATAGAGACAGCCCAAGCAGCAAGTGTGCGCATAAATAGCCCACAGACATCGCCCGCTTTCCCCCCTCCCGCCCCCCCCACACAGCAGCAGCAGCAAGAAAGGGCGGCACCAGCATGTTTCCTCGAAGAAAGCAACTCAGCGGCAGGAACAAGCACAGAGTTTCACTGACTCCTTCCTTTTCAAGACGATGAAGAGAAGAATGACAACAGTAGTCACAAGCATCCCCAGCAAGATGCCCCGAAGCAACACCACCCGGGACGCCGCCTCGGAGTCTTCGTTTTCCCCTGAGCGGTCGCCCCCACGAAGAAACTGCGCTGTTAATGCTGACGCTCCTGCGGAAGAAACTGACACACAAGCCTCAGGCACTGCAAAGTACATTCTCCGCTTGACAGAGGAGTGTGCAGCTTGGGTATCCACTGACTCCTTCTTCAACCCTACCTCCTCCACAGGGCGTCTCGCAGGCCGCCTCCTCCATTCGCCTCGCGCAGAAGCTGACAGAGGTATCTGCTGCTGTCTTGGGAAGGAGCCGGAGGCGATAACGAACGCATCCAGCACCGCAGGGACCCCACTCTCCCCACTCCCCCTCTGGACAGTCTGGTGCTGCTTCCCCGGATGCTGACGCTGCCGGCACTGCTGCGCAAGATATACACGAAACAGACACACAAATATGAGAGCACACACGAAACACGCTGATGCAGCATCAACACCAGGAGACGGCAACCCCGTAGGGACAGCCGAAGCAGACAGCACCGCAGCCTTGCTGCTGCAATCTTTCCTTTCGCAGCCAGCCTGGCAGCAGCACCAACAGAGAGCCCGTGCACGAAGCACCTCGCCACAGAAGTGCACGGTTGCTGCTGCTGTAACAACACCACCGAAATTACCACCAAGGAGCAGGAGCAGCAACAGTAGCAGCAACAGTCGAAGCAACAGCAACAGGAGCAGCAACAGTAGCTGACCGATTCCGCCGGCTGCAGCATTACAAACACAGGGGCGGCTTTCCATCCTTAAGGGACAAGGAGCCCCTGGCACCAAAACTTCTCGGTGACGAACCTCAGGGGTTCCCCCCGCGCTGCAGCTGCTGCAGCCGGACCAGGCAGACCACTCGGACAGGAGACAGCCCCCCTCTGAGAGTCACACAGACAGAGAAGTAGTGCAACAAACGGCGATTCAGAGAGACCTAGACAAAGTAAACGAAGCCGTCATATGCACAGGGCGTGCACAAGGAAAGGCGGCACACACACACACACACACACACACACACACACACACACACGCACACACACACACACGCACACACACACACACACACACACAAAGACGCAGCGGGAGGAACACTAGTGAAGGCAAATCTAGAGGATAGACATTGCGGCACCGAGGCTCGTTTCTGGATATAAGCGCGCACGATGCGGGGACACTTTGGAGGCGAGATGGGAGAATGCACAGAAAAAGACAGTTTGGAGGAAAGGAGCAAAATAAGGCATCCGCAGAGAAGAGGGGATTGCAGTCCATGTCGTGGCTGCATCGCACCGCAGGCCTCGGCATTGTTGCACTCGGATACCTCCAGTAGAGGGTGTTCACAGACGACCCCCTGAGGCTGAAACAGCACCTGACGCCTCCGCTCGCGATTCCCGAATCCGCAGGGGCCTGCGCAAGGGCCCCAAGGCCCCCACGAGCTGTATAGACATTCTGTCGCTGCCAGCCACACGAACACAACGTGTCCAGCAAAAGACATTCCACGCCTACATCCAAACCCCTAACTCATGAGCCTTGCTCCTGCCTGCACTCAAGGATAGACCCCTTTGCAGCGAGTCTTATAGGGGCTCAGCCCTAGCAACAGCGAGCGTACCAACGCAATCGTGGTCGTTGCATGACTCCACTTGCGTGTCTGTGAATCCCCCGGCACCGTGAAATCCCCAAGGCTGCTGCTGCTGTTGCATCATCATTTGCTGCTGTTGCATCATCATTTGCTGCTGTTGCATCATCATTTGCTGCGGCGGCGTCAACATCTGCTGCTGCTCGATGGGCATTAGACGCTGACGGTGCCTCTGTCCCCCCCCGCAACTCGCGCTACAGGGGGACCATTCAGAGAAGCCGGTTTCTCCTGCAGGAGCATAAGCGTCGCATTTCTCGCGGCAAGTCCCATTTTGGGCAAATGCTGCCTGCCTGCCCGCTCGCTCACTTCATACCTCCCCTCCCTTCCCCCCCCTTTCCCCGACTGCTGCCCCTAACTGCAAAATCAAAGAGCCTCAAAAAGCGAATCGTACGTGGACAAGACGGGCTTGGCGTGCAGACCCTGGTGGCAGTAAGTGTTCCGCAAGGAGGGGCACCGCCGTGCGGCTGCTGCAGAACAAACCGTTGCCGATGTTGCATGCCTGCTCCACAGGGCCCCGCGCAGGGGGACCACTCACTCCACTCACTCATGCGGCACGCCACGGCTGCATCGTCAGGAGAAGCAGCAAAGGCACACGCACGGGGGAAAATGCACAACCGGTAAAGGCAGCCACGCCACGCTAGAAGGAGTGCTGGCGCGAAACACCCATAGCTGCTGGCACAGCAAGAGGGAGAAGGGGGTTACGGGAGGCAGCAGCGGCGAAGGCAAGCTGTTCCTTCTTCCACCTGCTACTGCTTACGGCACTCCGCGGGAGTGAAAGTCTCGCTCTCTTTGCAGCTCCTCTGCTGCTGGAGCCAACAGGGAGGCCCCCCGTTCTTCGCTGGCAGCAAAACACTCCTGCTACGCTGCTGCTGCTGCTGCGGATCGCATGCATTCACACAAGGACTCCATGGGCCCCAAGGGCCAGCCACGCAGCCCGTTGCGCACTCCCTCGTCCCGCCATCGCGAGGCGCTGCAGAAAGCAAAGGCAGCAGCCATACAACGAGTTAGGTAGGCATCAGTCAGCAGACGAAACAAACGCGCAGATATACATCGACCCCAAGGACAAACCCTGGGTGACCCACCCCGACTCTGCAGAGGGGTGTGCCGCTCTTCGAGCTAAAGAGAGTCTGCTACAAATGCAGGCGAGCACAAGGCCTTTCCTTTCTCAAACACCGGCTTCCGTCGCTCTCTATAGACTCGTACCTGACACGTGTCTTCGCGAAAGAAAAAAACAGCCCGGCTCTCCATATATCAGAAAACAGCGGCCCCCCGCCTGGGAATTTCCAGAAGCCTCGAAGGAGGCAAAAGTGCACCCGTGGCGGCTTTTGCACATGTCCATACACTCCGCAATGGACGTCGCGTGGACCGATGAATGTGCTGCAGTGACAGCAACATTGGCACACACAAAGGAAGGAGGGAGCCCTTAGTTTTTTCCCTGCGTGTGACGGGGAAAGGCCTCCACGGAAAGGAGCCTTGACGCTACAACGGCATGCACAGCTAGAAGCACTCTTAGCAGCATCCATCTCTGCTGCTTGCTTGTTTGCTTGCTTGCGCAAGCAAGCAGGCAAACAAGCAAAGAAAAGATCATCAGATGGAGGGGCTTTGCTCCACACGCTGGCACAGAGCTACGCGTTTCTAAACCCCCACACTCTTACCGCTTTCATCGAACGAGGCACTGGCGTCGCATCCCCACCCCAGAATGCCCACACCATTCCAAACGCAATCTGCCTCTGCCGCAGGCCTGAGCTGCCTGAGAGCTGGGAGTCTCTCCGTCCCATAAAGGGGGCCCCTCAGCACGGTGCGGGTTCTCTGCAGCATGGCAGGGGGCCCCTCCGTGGCGGCTCCCTCGGGGCCCACCCCAAATGGCATCCAGGGGCCCCACTCAGATAGCACGGCCGAAGAGGCGCAGGGGCCCCCAGCGAGCAGAACAGGGTACCGCCCCGACACGACTAGGGGGGCTGTCTTGCCAGTTTGGGGGGGAGGGGAGGAATACAGGGAGCATCGGCCAGTGGCGGCATTGTACTGGAAGTGACTGCAATGCGTTGCAGCAGCGGATGAGGCATCAGCCTGGTTGCAGAGAAGCGCGCAGGCAGACCAACCGGTGGTTTGCTCGTGTCTTAGCAAGTCTGCGTTTTCGAGGTGATACTCGAAGCCGAAGACGGGGCAGTCTGCAGCCGAAGAAAACACCACCGGGAGCAGGTAGGACCCCGTTTAGGACCGCTCCGTCATGGCAAGCAGGAGCTACGCGGATGGATTGTTCCTTGGGCTACGCATATTACCGATAGAGCAAAAAGCACTGGAGGAGGGATGAAACGGAGAAGAGGGGGCGAGAACCTTGTGAGTAGCACCAAACCATATCCCGAAGTCACAAGCAAGCAGGCAGACAGCAAGAAACGCGAGTGGCACTCGTCGCGAGCACAGCAGCAGCGCGTGGAGGGGAGGGCCTTCCGGCTGAACAGCAAGGCGATGTGTGTGGAGGGTGTCTTGCGCGGGAAGGCCTCAAATGCAGCTCGCCAAGGGGGGGAAGGGGGGGGAAATCTGGCGTCTTAAGGCTGAGCCTTACTCTGAGAGAGCGTTTGGGACGCCACGAAATGGATGCCAAAGGCGCCCCAAAGAAGACAGGCCTCCAAAAGTTGCAACATGCTCCAGGGATCCGAGTTTCGAGGAAATGTGTGTGAAGTTTGTGTGTGAAGTGTGAACGGGCAAAGCCCCTCCTGCAGAGCCTTTAATCCCGTTAGAGTCTTGGGATTAAGGGGTTCCTAGGCGAAGAGAAGCCACGACATCTGCCACTGCTGTTGCTGTATGTATGGGCTTGTGCTCTAGCTCAGGAGGTCAGGGACGAGGCACCATATGAAGCAGGCCAGGCGGCACATCAACATGGGACCCCCAGTTTCTTCTACCATGGTGTAATATTATCGCAGAAATACGCCCACTATTACCGCATGCTACGCACTGCGCTCGCTGCTCGGCAAGACATGCCCTCGGGCCGAAGGCGATGTGTAAGCCAGCTCCCAGCCCCCTGTCGGACATGTGCCTCACTTGCATAGTACACTTCTCAGGCCAGCGCGGCGGGCGCCTCAAGCTCTTTCCTTACTGAAATTTCATGCTAAACGCGCGTAAACAGTACGTCTTGCCAACAAACCGGGCTCAGCCGTTGCCACACGCAGCTTTCAAAACCGCGAGAGGATCGCATCGCAGACGGAGTGTTTGGCACACACTGCTATGCCCCACTGATGTAGCCCTGCCACGAAACACCTACCCCTAGCCAGCCTAAACCCTGAAACGTAGACTCAACACGAAATTACAAGCAAGACAAACACCGAGAAGAGACCTCTGAGCTATGCAGCGTTCAGCTTCTGCACAAACTCGCCCCTCTAAGCCCGGAAGAATGTGGCTCTAGCAGTCGTGTAGATATAAAGACGATTCAAATTTTACCTTCAGCACGCACGCCGAGCTGCCTGGAAGAAACCGTAAGCACAGGGCGCACAGTAGCATGCCGGGGTGTCCCCATGTGGCGTACATCTAGCTCAAAGTTCTAGTTTCACCCTTTTTAAGCCTAGCTCCTGAAGTCGATCTTCTCCTCCCAATAACGCTCCCTCAACCCCCCCTTGCTCAGCGAACAGTGCTACATTTAAACCGTTGCCTCGAGAATATGTGCGCCTCGACAAGCGCTAGGTGCGTGTGGACTTCGTAAACCGCTGATCCTGCATTCTTACGCCACAGAGCAGCTCGCTGGCTAAGTTAGACTCCTGCACTTTTTACTAAACCAGAACTATCCAATTTTTCAACCCCGCTCAATTCGGGATTGGGCTTGTCTGCGCGTTGATTTTCGTTATTGCAGGGTATGCTTAGTTAGAGACAGCACGACACATTTTTGGCGTCTGTGCGCTGTATGGTGCTCTGTGCAACCTGCTGCGAGCACTCGAATTTAGCAGAGAAAGGGGAATAAGTAGACCCGGGCAGGGCAGGCGGGGAAGGGGGATGGGCGTAAAGTCAGCAACTTGCTCGCGCTCTAGCTACCCCTAATTTCCACTGCTTAGGGTTGCAGGTTTGGCAATGAAAGACGGCTTTCCTCCTGTGGAAGTGAGCTTATAAGGTTTCATCAACTATAGTGTGTCTTTAGTAAAGCGTGTGCCTCCAGAGGCCCTGGATGAACCAGTGCAAGTAGGTTTTATTGTTCTTACGCGCTATGCTGTAATGCTCAACTGGGGGCGAATGGCTAACATACTTGAAGGATGCACAAAACAAAAAGTGCGCTCTCTGGAGGCCTTAGCCACGCTTTCCTAGCTCAGGTGCGAGAATCAAGTGGCGGGCAGCTCCTTCCAGCGTCCACATAAAAGCTTGGCCCAAGGGTGATGATGCTTTCAAGGCTCAGGAGTCTTTCGGAAAAGGCCAGGAAGAGCGCTGGGCCATGAGGCAAGCGTGATTCTTTTTTATGCGCCTAGTCGCATTTAGAGGTACTAATGTATTACCCAAAAGGAACTTGAGGCCGTCTAAACACCAATACGCCGAAAAAAGGCAGTGCTCAAAAATATCGACCGTGAAGCTTCCCCTGCAGCAAGCATCTATGGGGCACCGGGCGCGCGTTGCCAGCAGTCCGGGAGCTTGCTTGCAAAGCGGCACACAAAGGCTGTCTGAGAAGCGCCAAAGTATCGTCTCAGCCCCTTTCAGACCTCTCCCTCCTTTGCCCCGAATTCATTGATTTTGTTAGCCACCTGTGCGAGAGGGGTAAAATTTAATTCTGCACTGAAACACGCTGCAATTCAGTCCAGCTGACCAGCCCGCACACAGCGTGCCGAGCTCTTGTTCTGCCTCTAGTTCTATCCCTCAGAATCTCTGAAAGGAGAGCTGCAACAACACACGACGCCTAGTTGTGTCTCAGCACACTGTACGTAAGCCTGAAGAGGCTAGCGAAAGGACCTTTGATATGATTTGCACAACTAGCCTTCAGAGAACGCCAGCACCAGTCCCCCTAACCTCCTGTACACTTAGGTAAGAAGCCGGATCGGCTAGGCTCCTTGGCCTTTAGATGCGCTACAAACCCTAAAGAAGCCCTTGGATACTCCCCCGTCCCCCCGCCCCCATGACAACTCGAGCATAGACCCGCGAAAGGGCCTCCCAGCGTTCCCCCCGACGGAGTTGTGCGCCTTTAATTCGTTGAAGGTACAACATTGTGTTGCTTGCCTCCCTAGCTGATGCTTTTCCCAGAGTTCCCACAGAGGCCCCCCACCCACCCACCCCCCGAGAAACTCTCTCTAGGGGAAGGCGAAAAAAGCCGTCGAGCACTGCATGTCGTTACAAGCAACTTTCTGTACACATAAGGGGCTTCCAGAGAGGCTCTAGCAAAAGCGAAGCAAACAACGACACCGACGGACGAACGCTGTTTGTGTTTCTAGTCAAACAGTGCCGCTAGGAAGACAGCGACGCGGCTACGAATGCAGGGCTTAGCCGCCATTGACCTGACAGAACAAATCACCAGACGTAGCATCCACCGAGCGTTTCCACCAGAAGAGGCGGCCACAGCAGCAGCAGAAAGGACGAGCACGGACGCGGGAGGAGAGAATGCGGCAGGGGAGTCTTTGGGGGTCGGGGGGAAAGAAGTTGGAAAGCGAGATGCAGCGAGATCAGCGACGCAAGGCAGGCAAGGGAACCCCAGCATTTCTTTGTAGCAAAGGGCTGTAGAGACGTTGGGTGTCCTTACTTGCTGCGATGGCCGCTGCAGCAGCAGCCTCTTTTCCAATATTGAAGGCTTGTTGCGGAATCGGAGGCTCCTCCCACGGCGGCATGGGGAGCAGCAGCAGGCCTTGTTGCTGCTGCTGCTGGCGCTGCGGCTGCTCTTGGTGCAGTTGAAGCGTCGGTGCGAAAAGGAGTCGGGAGTTGATGGGGTCAAGCGGGAGGTAGTGGAGGGGCAGGGAAGGAAGCGGCGCAGGGGAGAGGTACACGTCGAAGTTGGAGAAGAACGAGACAGCACTCGTGAGCCAGGGATGCATCAGTGCAGCTACGCATGAGGGGCGCTCCGCTGGCTGCACAACCAGCAAACTGCAGTCACAGAAGGAAGGAGCAGCAGTGCGCAGGACAGACATAACTCCGAGGCAGAACATCAAAATGCAGCTTTGCTTTTTTCAGGAACATGCGGGGCTAAAGGAGCTCGACACGCATAATCGCGGATGCACCAGCAGCAGCAGCAGCAGACGGCAGCACATTCGGCAGAGAGAGAAAAAAACCATACAGAAAAGGATAGGAAACGGGTAGGGAAACACAGAGGAGCCACCGTCAGTTGACGCTGGCATATATATATATGTATATATATAGAGGGATGCACTGCAAGACGAGGACATCCATATACACAGCGAGACGCGCAAGCATGCAAACAGTGAGACTCCGGGGAATCAGTTTGTTAGGGCGAGCAGAGTCGCAGGCTGGCACGCTCTGAATTCGCGTTCGAAAGGCATCTAGGAGCTGTATACCTCTGCAGGAAGGAAACGCCGAGAGGACTCAAAAGCCGCCTTCCCAGTGCGTCCACAAAGAGATCTGCAAAGGAGGCTTGGGGAAGCCCGTCATCGCACTGCACACAGAACACACACACGCAACAAAACGAGCGCCATAACACTTTTATAGCGGAAGTATGCCGTGTTCGCGCGCACAGGAAAAAACACAGGAAGACGCGCGTGAGGAAGCGCCTTCCAGGAACTTAGGCATCGGAAGTGCCGGAGAGGAAGCAGAAGGGAGAGAGAAGGAGAAAGGAAACTAAACTGAGAGAGAGAAAGAGGAAGAAAGAAAGAAAGAAAAAGCGAGACAGAGAGAGAAAGAAAAAGAGGGAGAAAGAGAGACAGACAGAAAGAGCGAGAGAGAGAGAGAGAGAAAGAAAGGAAAAGGAGAACGAAGGCTAAAGAGAGACAGAGAGAGAGTGCACAATGCCAGCACACAAAGGGAGGGGGCACGCGCGTAAAAGGCGCGACAACAACAGCAGAAAGCGAGAAGGAGAAAGAAAGCTAAAGAGACAGAAAGAAAAAGAAAGAGAGACAGAGAGGGACGCCGAAGGACCCTTTAGTTGGTGACGGCAAGGGCATGCAGCTTGTGGGCAGTGCAGTCGAGATATGGCGACAGAACAACAGAATTAGAGAAGGTCAGTCGGGGAGAGCGGCGACGAGAGAGACGATGTGGAGGAAATCCGAGGTGGAGGCGCAACAAGTTAGAGCGAGAAACAGAGAGAACGAGAGAGACAGAGAGAGAGGGCTGATGGCAAACAAGCAACAAGTGGCAGAAAGCTCTGAGAGACAGAGTGATAGAGAGCGCATGCGCGCGTGAAAAGCCTGTAGTCGGTCTGTTACCTCTATTGAGATGTGTTGTTCTCCTGCCATTTGCTGCAGCTGCACCTCGGCAGTTCGTCCCAGGAGACGTTTGATGCGCTCCAGCAGCTGCGCTTCCGAGGAGCAACCAAATAGCGGACTTCCAAGCAGCAACTCGGCTGCAGTCTCACAGGAGGCGCAAAAGAGTGTCTGTGCAGCGTGTGTCTAAGCTGCAGACGTCTTTGAAGCAATAAAGACGTTCCGCGGCAGCAAGCAAGGCGCTGGATGAGAGCAAGCGATGAGACCACACCACGAGATTTTCAGGCGTCCTGTAAACCCTTTCCCCCCCCTTATTCCCTTCAACGGGCACGAAGGCACATAATACCAAGCAGCAGCAAATCCCACGACGCGCGAGCAGCAGCAGATGCTCCACCAGCAAAAGCCCACCTGCGACAGCTGCTGCACTCCACACATCAACAGCTGGGCCATAGGAAGTCTGCCCTAAAAGAAGCTCGGGTGCTCTATAAAGCCTTGTCACGACGTCCGCAGTGCGCTGCCCTTCGCAGCTTAAGAAGGGGCTGCTCAGTCCAAAGTCTCCCAAACGCACCACCCTAAAATACACAGAAAGAAGCACATCCGAGAGGTTCGTCAGACATCGATGCACAGACGGAGATTGAGATATATCCATAAATATATAGAGGGAGAGAGATTGAGAGAGATTAAGAAAGAGATTGAGATATATATAGAGAGATATATATGTATAGAATGAGAGAGAGAGAGAGAGAGAGAGAGAGAGAGAGAGAGAGAGAGAGAGAGAGAGAGAGAGAGAGAGAGACGGGCATACGAGCAGAGGCACGCGCTTTGCAAGGCTGCCTGCTCTTCGACTGTTTTTTTTGCGGCGTGTTCGGGGGGAGTGCGAGCGGCGGCTAAGGCTCGGAGGCCTTTAGAGGAAGAGAGCGATGTGTCTTGATTCGTTTATTTTCGAAACTGCATTCTGCGGGAGACTATACTAGACGCGAGGTTTGCGCAGACATGGCCACGTGGGCACTCACCACCTTTGGCGCTGTGTCTGCGCGTCCGTCTCCTTCGATAGGAAAATATTTTGCGGTTTGACATCACGATGCAGCACTCCTCTGGAATGGCAATGCGCTAGCGCTTGCAGCAACTGCAGCAGCAGTAGCAGCAGCAACAGGAGGGGAGGGTCAGCAGCGACTGCCAATGAAGGCAGGCGAATCTCAGCGGCAGCCCGCTGAAAATCATCAGAAGCTCTGCAAGGGTATACGGGTGCGTTATGTGTGCCGCTGGCCTCTGCACCTCAAGCGTCTCTTAGTCCTACTACCTGGTAAACAATGAGCTTCGCGTCTTCCTCAGAGAACCCTGGGAGTGGTGCTGTCTCCACAGGCTCCCTATGGAGGTGCGGCCGCTTGCTGCTTGTGATCTCTGCTGGTGGCTGTTCTCGCGCTGCGCGATGTTGCGGGTGTGCTGCGTATTTGAGGAATCTTTGGTGCTTGCTCTGCTGCTGCGCAAGCACCTCCGCGAGATCCGCATCGCACAGCTCCGTGATGAAGTAGAAGGTGGGCCTAAGCTTCTTCTTCCTCTTCTTCTTGGCTTCCTGTGGCGGTTGGGCATCTTCGGAGTGCTGCCACGCTTCCATGGAGAAGTGGAAGGCCTTAAGCGCCACGATGTTGGCGTGGGAGAGAGTTCGCAAGGCGGAAAGCTCACGCACAGCCTGCTGATCCAATCCGAAAACGCCTTTGAGGCGAAAACACGGCAGTCGCACCTTCTTTACGGCTACCCGCAGCTCCCCTGTCCCTTCGGGGGGGGGCCCCAAGGAGGGGGCGCCCGAGCAGGGGGGGCCCTCCTCTGGCCAGACTCCTGCGAGCGCCTCTGTAGGAGTCGCAGGGGAAGGTTCCCGCAGTCGGCAAACGTAGACTGTGCCGTATACCCCACGGCCAGCTTCCCTCTCAATGCAGTACCGTTCTGCAAGCTCTGGAGGCAGCACTGAATTGCTGCTTCCTCCAACTTTTGCCGCTGGAGTCGCTGCTGAGAGCGCTGGAAGGGGAGTTGTCGTGGGCTTCAGAGTAGCCATGGCCTTGCCACAGAAGTGCGTAACACGGGTACTCCAGAGAAGGAGCCGAAGGAGAGGAGTTCCTCCACGTATTGCTGGTGCTGCTTGGGGTGGCTACAAGACAGAGAGAGCCAGAGAGAGGTCCTCGAAGGAGGCCTCAACATGCATGCATGCACACACGCTCGCGCAGCTGAGCCTCCTCCTACGCTTTGTCCTTAACCGCTTACTGGCCAGCTCTCCTGCCGATGATGCGGATGCTGTTGCTGCCGCCGCTGTTGGTGGTGTGCCCTACACGGGAGGCTTCTGCGGAATCCCCCCTCAAAAGGCATTGAAACTGCGGGAAAAACGCCATTGCATGTCCGAATATTCCTAAAGACGCGGATATCTCGCCGTTTCACGCACGCAAAGCGATGCTGTTTGGGGGATCGGGGGGCCCCTCCTGCGTTCAAACACCAGCACGTGTGGCGATGGTGGTTTGTGCGCCTTCAGGGTCGTGCAAAGCAGCGTAGTAGGCCTTTGTCTCGTCGAAAGAGTCTGCTTGCACCTCGCAGCTCAGGACGCAGCATTTAAGGCTGAGTCGTTCCCCACAAATTGCCAGGAGTGTGTCTTGTAGCAGCCACGTTCAGGAGGCCCCCCCAGAAAGAGGTGAAACACACAGCTGCAAAAAGCGCACACCCACCGACACGCGTCTCGCGAATAAGCCCAGTTTGGGAAGCTGAAGAAGTCCGTTTTACTTGCATGCTTTCTTCCAGACTCGCGAATAGCTGCCCATCTCCCTCCCTCGGCGGAACCCTGCGATCGCCTGCGCTGCCTTTGCTTGTGTTGCTGCCGCTGCCGCCGCATGCGAGGGCGTGCGCTAAGGCTCCATACCCTGCCATGGCCTAAAACTCCCCCTCTTTTCGGCAGTTTGATTCAGATTGGCCTTCTGCGTATCGAGCAAGATGCTGAACCTCCTACCGAAAAGATCGGTTGCCGTATCGCTGCTGCAGGGCAAGAGGGCCCTCCAGCGCGTTCAGGTGGGGGGCGGGGGGTCTGCACCCTCACGGATCTCTTTTTGCTTGATTTTTTACCGCTTCCTTGTTGCACATGCCACTCTCCTCTCTTAGCAGGGCTATATATGCACTGCGGAACCCCCCGTATTCGCCAACCACAGTTCGTGCCAGCCCCGACAGGCTGCAAGCGCGGCTTCTTCAAAAAGCTCAATGCTCTCGCCGCTCGCATGCCACTTTTGCCCTTCTCTGGTGTATCTACTGCTCGAATCTTGCTGCTGCTCCATAAGGCGACTCGGGTCCCCCGCGATAGGCGGCCGCCTCGGTGGAAAGGCGTTCCGTCCATGTGCTCCTCCCCCTACAACTGCTGCGCGAGCTTCCAGGCAAAGCCTGCCCGTATATACGTATGTATGTATATATATATATATGTGTGTGCATACTCAGGTCGGCAGCGGCAAGCACCAGTTGGAGCTGCCTCAGGCTTCGGTTGACGCGCTGTACAGCAAGATCAACACGACGGATGCCTACCACAACAAAGATTTCCAGCCTCTCCCGTGGAAGGATTTCTTCAGCATGAAGTAACAGAGCACTCTTTAGCGCCACACAGGCCCACCACACACCCCCTCCTAACCCACAGGCCCCCCCCACTTCGCCGTACAACATTTGCATCTGCGGATTGGCGAAATGCATGCAGAATCCTTCCGCCCTTTTTACGTCTTAGAACCCCAGGAAGTGTGATGCGAAAGACTGCACAGGCCTTCAGAGAGCCTGGCTTAGTGCATCTCTCCTTGGCACTTGCGCGCTAGGGGACACAGGGCTGTACACGGAGGGTACCGCCGCGCCTCCTTTGCATGCATGTGCCACAGTGTCTAGGCTTTTTCCGTTAGTTCAAAACAACTCGCTCTCAGCCTGTGGTGCATGCGCGATGCATGAGGGCGTGCGCTGCGGAGGCGGAATACGCTAACCGTCTGCCCCTCCCCATGAACATGTGCTGTGCATGCGAGGGGCCTGCTGCATGCGCTCAGGCTGAGCTCCTTCTACCTGCTAGAGGCCGCGCAGAGTCCAGACGAGACGAAATCCGCGCTGAGAGATCTGCATTGGTTCGGAGACCTCGCCAATATTTACCAAACCAACGCTGCCCTCACTGCAGCAGACGCAACTGCCACGGCTGCAGCTGCTGTGGCTGCCACCCCCCCCACGCCTTTTCCGATGCGCAAGTGAGCCTCCGCTGCAACGGGCAGTGCGGAGCTCAAGCTTTCCGCGGAAAAGCCCCAAGAGGAGGCACACTGAGAACCTCAAGGACGGACGCCACAAAAGGCAGCCATAGCAGAACTTTGCCGCGGGTGTATTCTTGATGCCAGCAACACAGCCCTACCAGTAGATGGCAGCCCTTGCGAATTTGCTAGCTTGTTTTCCCCATAGGCGGCCTGTAGCGTCGCTGCGCTGCGTTGGGTGCTTTCGTCAGTAAAAGCCACCGCAGCGCGGGTACGAAGCTTTTGATGTGCGGAGGTGGAAGGCCTCTTAAAATTGTGGAAGACCCCCTCCCTCCCTTACAACTCTAGAGGATGCAACTGCGTGCTGTTTGAGTGCACTGAGAGTGCTTGCACTATATCGCTATATTTTTCCTTAAAAGTACTTTGTTTTTGCCTCCACGCGTACTGCCAGCGTACACTGGGGTATTACCTGCGCCGTGCTGCATTCGAGCTGCTGCTTCCCGCCTCTTTAAAACTGCACGTAATCCAGTTTCCCCGTCCCTATCTTCACGCCCCCCTCCCCCCACCTCGAGCTCCGCCTTGTCTTGTGCCCCGCTCACTAAAAAACTCGCTCCACGCAGTACGGAAGAGAGCATGCGCATCAAAACGTCACCGTTGTGCATTCGGCAGACACCCACTGCTGCGAGAGTAGCAAAAGCAGACACCTTGGTATAGCCAGCAAAACTTGAATAACCGCTTCGTTCTCTCCCTCTCTGTCTCGCCCTCAACACGTGCGTGTCATGAGGACGTCCACCCAAGACCCCCGTATTTTTGCAGCCCACTCGCAGCATCAAACTGCAGGCGCAGCAGCAGCTACTGGTGCTCTGCGTGCAGCTGTCGTCTCTATGCATCGGCGAAGTGTCCTGCTTGTCAACACACACGCTAGCGCGTATACACTCGAAGACACACGCGGGCTGCGGCAGTCGACCGCACACAGCGGCAGTAACTGTGAGGGCGCCTCACTGCATTCGCGCAGCGGCCGTTTCTGCTGCTGCAACGGCTGTTTTCCGATACTTTCTGTGCGTCTCCTAACCCCAGAAGTCGTCAGCTGCCTTGTGGCTAGTCCTTCTGGCAAACCCGCCGCGGCCGCTGCGTCTGTAGCTGCCAGTGCTGCTGCTACTGACAGCAATGCGCTGCAGCGCTTCGGGGGGCTCCTGAGATGCACCCTGCATGACGCGGCAGAGGGCTGACGCCTGCTTGGCCTGCGGTGATCACACAGGGACAGGAGAGACTACAAAGCCTATTTGTTTATTGCGTCGCTTTGCATAGCACCCCCTGTTAGGGCCAAGAAGGGAGGCCGTAGATACCACAGCATCAAGGGCAACGGCATTTTGGGAGTGCCGTGGTATATATCTCGTCTAAACGCCTCTTCGGGAGCACAGCATTACCCTGCCTCTGCACCTTCCCGCATACAGCAACAGCTGGAGCACTCCCGCCAGCAGACACTCTGTCTGCAGATGTACAACGTCGGTGTGGCAGCTATTACCTTCTCGGGTGTGTGATAGTCGTGCGCGAACAGTGTCACGGCTGTTCCCTTGTCGTCGGCACGCCCTGTGCGGCCTGCAGGGGCATACACCGCTCCAGCACAGAGAAGCAGCGAGTGCTAGGCGGCTTAACCAGCCAGCCCGCAGAGGTTCGCACAGAAAGGGCAGGAGTGCCAAGCCGCCACGTTCAATACAGGGGCAGAGGCCGTAGAGACACTTTAGAGTCCCTGCGATCCGGTCTGGGGAAGGCCTTGCAAAGACTAGGAAAGATGTTCAGCGCAATAGAGCCACAAGGTGTAAATGCATTCGAGTGCCTTAGCAAATGGAGCACCACAGCAAAGACAGAAGGACGAAAAGCGTTAGAGGCAATAAGAGTCCGAAAGACTGAGATAGAGTGCCGAAAGACATATTCGCTGTAGGGCCTCGCCGACCGACCAATGCGGTGAATGTACGTCTCGATGTCTGAAGGCATCCCATAGTTAACGACCAAGCGGATGTCGCGGATGTCAAGACCTCGGCTAGCGACATCTGTTGCTACCAGAATGTTGCACGAACCCCGCCGGTAGTCCGAAAGGATCCTGCGGAGGGAAGGGAGACACACACAGACATACACAGGATAAGGTTGCGAGGAAGGCGGAAGCAGCGCATAGAGAGGGCTCCCCAAGTGGGTAGAGAAAGGGAACAACGGCCAAACGGCCCAAGGATGGGGTTGAAGAGGAAGCTCCACGGAGGATGTTCAACGACGCAGACCAAGGCAGAAAGGTAGAAGCAGCAGCAAATAAATCAAAGTTGAAGAAAATTTGGAAGAAGGTGGTGGAGAGAAGGGCGCACAAGAGAGGCGTTAGGGATGCATGGGCATTGCCAGCGGCCGCAGCCATAAGCGGAAACATAATGACTCAAGCCGAGTCAAGGTGGGCCTTGCTGCTAGAGCGCCTCTCACAGCTGAATGCAGTGAAAGTGAGCACGTCCCCCTCACAATGATCCCTTGGGGTCCCTCTGTGAACTCTGACCTGTCTCTTTCTCTTTGGCTCTTGTCTCCGTGTATGGCCACCGCCTTGAGGCCTTCATAGCGCAGTTCCCTCCCGAGCTGCTCAGCCTCCCTCTTCGTAGCGCAAAAGACAAGGGCCTTTTCAGACTGCCTCTCCTGCAGCAAATCCAAACATCTGCGGTGCAGCTCGCGGCCAGGCACCACCTCCACCAGCTGCAAACACAACAAACACGCCCCAGGCAGCTCCACGACGGCGCCGTTCAAACGCCGTTTAATTTTTCTATCTCCAGCAAAACAGAAGAGAAGCAAGAAACTGGACAGAAGTGGGGAAGAGAGAGAGAGAGAGAGAAAGGGGGTGGATAGGGGGGGGGCAAAAACAGTGAAGGAAGGCGCAGTAGAGACGTAAGGGCGCAGAACGATGCAGTGTAAAGCAGACAGGAACTCGACCATGAGAGGGCGCCTCAGCGAAGGGCTGAGGCTAGAAAATTAAGGATGCAAAGGGAGGAAGTGGATACGACGCGAGCGGAAGATAAGAACCACAAGAGGCAAGGATGTGCACAGACCATGTTTCACAAGACGCAGTCGCAGGAGATATGATGCAAGCGGAAGCAAGCAGCAGATGTGCGACAAGCCATGTCCTTCTCGTACTTGCTCAATATTGGGATTCGCCTGAAGATCCGCCGCCCCTACTTGAATCTTGATGAAGTCTTTTTTGCAGAAGTCTCGCGCTAGGTGCTGTACCTGCAGGAAGGGCACACCAGCAGCAGTAACGGCAGCAGCTGCATCCGCCGCAAACTCCCTCGACGCACTTGAGGTGCAGATGAAGCCATTGATCGCGTCGCATGCATGATTTCAAATCGAGGGAGCGCAGCTACAGAGGATAGGGGGCCGAAGGCGGCTTAATGCTCGCAAGGTGTGCTGCGAGAGGGAGAGAGAGAGAGAGGAAGCGCTATTGGCTAGCCACTTGTGGGAAGGAAGCGTGCGCAGGAGGCAACAAACAAAAGAATGCATCCATACACACAAGGCTCATAGAAAAGGCAGGAGAATTGACTCGCAAGCCATCGCCACACAAGACTCGCCACACAAGACTCGCCACCTAGGACATCATCGACATGGCACCTTTTCTACACAAAGGAAACTGAACGCCTCACCTCTTCAGGCCACGTCGCTGACCACAGGAGCATCTGCCGATCGGGGCGAATCTGACTTAAGATTCTCCGAACCTGAGGAAGCAGCCAACAAGTTCACGTCCCCTAGTGAGACAAGCTGCCCCTACCGTCATGCAAGTCAATCTACCGTCGCAGTGCCGCTCGTTTTTTTTTGTCGCAGTGCTGCTCGTCCTTTATGCGAACTTGCGGACTTTGCACTCCTCAACACCCGACTAACAGCAGCGGCAACAACAGCAACAACAATAACAGGAGCAAAAGGAGCAACAACAGCAATAGCAACTACAATAGCAACAGCAACCACAACTGTAGCAACAGCAGCGACACCCCCATTCGCGTCACTGCGTTACAGGCTCACCACCACATCCACCTCCCTCTACTACTACGACCCCCTTTCCCCCGCCTTTCTCCCCGCCCCTCTTAAACACACACCTGCGGTTCGAACCCCATGTCCATCATCCTGTCGGCCTCGTCGAGCACCACGTACGAGACACTGGCCAAACTCAGCGCAGAAGAATCCAGCAGGTCCAGCAGCCTGAACACCAAACGACAGGCTACAGGGGCACAGCGAATAATACATCCGCTTCGAATGCTGCTGCACCTTCCACCAAGGGCATTCGTTGCAACGCAAATCGCATGTCACGAAGCGACGGAAACCCCGCGAAAGGAAAACAAAAAAAGAGACGATTGCACTGCCAATGCAGCTCCCGGAACACAAAGGACCCAAGTCCACTACGCCTCTCTCTGTCTGTCTGTCTGTCTCTCTCTCTCTGTTGGATCGCCTCCTTCTCTTCGCGCTCTCTGCTCATCACCAGCGTGCCTCTGTTTCCTTTGAAAATTACCCCTCCCCCTACGATTTCCCCCCTTCCTCCACAGAGCTGCGGAACTGCCTGCTGCACTCCCCTATTGAACGCAGGCAGCAGCACATTCACGGCAGGCCGCAATCTGCAGCTGCTGGCGCTATGCACGTGCTGAAGATGCTTCTCCAGACAAGCTTGCTTTGACTTGAAGAAAAGAAGCTCCCCTTCAGCCCCGGAGTCCGACAACGCGCCAACCCTTCCTCTCCCTCTTCCTCCCTCCCTCTCCCTCTTCCCCCCTCCCTCTCCCTCTTCCCCCCTCCCTCTCCCTCTTCCCCCCTTCTTCTCCCCTTCTTCCTTCCCCTCCCCTCCACCAAGAGGGATGCGCAAGCAGGTGCTCTCACCGGCCTGGCGTTGCAACGACAATGTCGGCTCCGAGTTTGAGCTGCAGAATTTGTTGCGGCCTCGACGCGCCTCCATAGATCGCCACACTTCGTGCAAGGGCAGCAGCAGCCGCCGCCTTTCCAGAAGCTCCTTTGGGGGCTGCTGAGACGTCTCCCAGCCCCTCTGTTTTGGACGAAGCAGCTGCCGCGCGCAAGATCCGCTGACTCTCTGTATTGATCTGAACCACCAGCTCCCTAGTAGGTGCAAGTACCAACACAGTAGGCACGCCTGCCTGCTGACTAGCGGCCCGACGCCCTTCTCCTTCGCTCCGCTGCTGCTGCTGCTGGATGTGCATGAGCGCAGGAATGAGAAAGCCTAGCGTTTTGCCGCTGCCCGTCTGCGAGACGGCGATCACGTCTCTTCCAGAGAAGCAGCATGGCCACCCGATGCGCTGGATTGGTGAGGGAGATACCAGGGAGAGCGAGAGCAGCGCTTGCACGAGCGTCGGAGAAATTCCTGCCGCTTCGAAGGACGGCACCAACCGAGGCAGCGGGGGGAGGCCTTCCACTGTGATGCCAAGTCGCTGCATCTCCTCCGCAGCAAGCGCTGCAGCTGCGCCTCCCTCGGCATCGCTGTCCACTGGCAGCTCAGACACGGGATGAATGGGGGGTAGATTTTGACGGTCCCAATCAATAGGGCGAAGGCCGCATCCGGCGCCTCCCTCCGCAAGGCGTCTTCCGCCTTCCGCAGCCGTCTTCTGTGCGGAAGGACGCCAATGACTTTCCTGCTCCTTCTGCCGCGGCTGCCTCGGGGAGGGCGGTGTAGGCGGAGCCGAAGCGAAGGCAGAAGAGGGTGTGCTGTACCAGGGGTCGTCAGGAGGCATAAAGGTGCCATGAGAGACTGCCGATTGGTCCTGCGACCCCTGTTGCAATTCCTGCGACACTTGTCGCCAGTCCTGTTGCTCCGGCTGCCCCTGCAGGAAGTCTCGCTGCCACGGTTTGTTCGACGTCAGGAAGACGCCTTCGAGGGCAGGAGGAGGCCCCCTTGCCCGCGGCATGCCTCTCGCCTCTGAGATCTGAGCATCCCCGAAAGCCTGCTGCTGCTCTTGTGCTTTGAAGCGGCGTTCTGCTGTAGCCTCTGCAGCAGCAGCGGCCGCTGCGGAAGAGGAAGAAAGCAGTCTGTAGAAGGCGCCTCCTGCGCCCTTTCTTCCTGCTGCTGCTGCCCTTAGCTTCGCCGGGGTGGCGCTGCGCTGCAGCAGCAGCAGCAGGGGGGAGACGTTTCGCGCAAGTCTCATTTGTGCGTGCAGTGTCTGTACGCGAGGAAGGACGCCACCAACGCGGCTCTGCAGATGCACTGCCGTTGCTCTGGGCAGTTCCTGTGCTGCAGCCTTGTCGTTTTGCTACAGCGAAGTTCTCGACACTGCGCTGCTGGACGGGAGAGCACCTTGACGAGACCGCTGAATCCTCGTTTTGGAGGCGTGTCTGATTTCCTCTCGGCAGCAGCGCAACGGTTGAGGGCCTCTCCTCTCCCTTCTCATGGTTGTTCTGCTACTGCGGCACTTAATTCGGGGATCAGGACGAGGCATGCATTCGTTTTTTGCAATGCTGCCGCAGTTGCCCCTGGTGGCCTCCTGTTGCTGCTGCGCCTTGGATGCCGCACTGCAGGACGGTACCCGGAGGATTTCTCGAAGGAACCCAGGAGAAAGACTCCAAGGAACCGCGTTCTTCAGTGCAAAAGATCGAACTAAAGCTCCAAAGACTGCCTTCCTCCCGCAGAATCCTAGGCCTCGCCTCCCGCCTCCCGCCCCCACCGCTGCTGAAGAGGCTTCCGCCAGTGGAGACCACCCCTGTACAGAGTCCTCTATGGTACCTCCGTGCCTCCCCTCCTCCATCCGCGTCCGCCTTCTTCCCTCCCTCCCTACTCGCAGCAGACAAGAACTCTTTTTTATCGGCGTTGCGTCATTCTGAGGCCCGATTTGGTGTATTTACACTGCTGGAATCGCGCCGCCTCCCGGAGCAGCAGCCGGCTAACCGACCGCCTCGATATCGAGAGGTGTTGCCTTAACCTGGTGGCCGCTTGGCCCCTCTTCCTCTCGCTGCAGATGTCTTGTTTTCCCCCCAGCAGAAGCCGTCCGAAGGGCGCTACGGAAGGAGAGCCGACGAGCTTCTCTCCCCCTCTGGCAATCCTCCGGGGACAGGTTGGCAGCGGCGTACACTCAGCTGTCCTTCCTTGCCGCTGTCGCAGGACGCCGCGGAGCACCCGAAACACACTCTGGAGATGCGCGGAAATCATGAACGCGTCGCTCTGAGACACCTCCGAAAGAGGCCGATGCTGCGCCTACCCTCCCTCCGCAGCACTCCTGTCCTTCTGTCTCTCCTGACGGTCGGTGTCTTGCGGCAACAGCAGCTCCACCAGTCCCCCGCTTTCAAACTCCTGCCTTGCGACGCACATCTCCAGATCCGCGCAGCCTCGCCTCCACCTGCTGCCTTCGTCCGCTTTCCGTTCAAAGCCTCAGAAGGGGGGCGGAAGAAACTGGAACGACAACCGCTGACGAGATGTTTCGCGCCTAGAGAGCAAAGCTCGCGGTCGAAGCCTCCCCACGCGGCACATGCAGCTGCCGATTCAGCTGTCGCTACCGCTTCCGAGAGCTGTGAAGCTCGCCAGTACCTCTCGGAGCTTCCGCCTGCTTCTCTTGAAGGAAAACGCGTAGTGGCAGGCTTCCAGGTAATGCGCCGACCCTCTTTCTGGTGCTAATGAGGCACTTCCTGCTTGTGCGTGGGCCGCTGTCTGTACATATGACGGTAGGCGTTGTTTTCCCCGCCCACATTTCGGAAGTGTCTCCATCCATCCGGTAACAAGCCTGTTCCGGTCCAGCCAGCCCTGCAGTTCGCCTTTTCCTACAGCTGCTGGTGCTGCTGCAGCCTTCCGGATCGCTGCACATCGGCCACCTCCTCTCCACGCTCCTGCCTCTGCAGCAGCTGCAGCAACAGGAGGGCGTGCAGACACGCCTGCTGCTCTGCGACACGCATGCCCTATTCACCCGGCAGAAACGCCTTCTCAGCGGAAACACCATCGGCAGCAACTCCCTAGAGGCTCTCGCGCTCTCCATGGCATGCGGCATCTGCCCCTTGAGCCACGCTATGAAGGCGCAACAGCAGCAGCAGCAACAGCAACAGCAACAGCAGCAACAGCAACAGCACCAGCAACAGCACCAGCAGCAGCAGCAACAGCCGCTTCATGGAACGTTAATCGTGCTACAAAGCCTTTGCCCTGCACATGCACAGCTCGCGGCGTGGCTACAGAGTCTGGTGTCTTTGAGTACGCAGTCTTCTGGCCTTTGGTCCATCCCTTGCTCTGGCATGCTTCTCTCTGTCTGCAACAATACTCGTCTTACCGCCTCAGCAGCTGCAGTCTCTTTAGCTGCTTCCTCCGCATCGAGCACGTCCGTCTCTCCTCATGCCAGTCTCACGCGCCCTGGTGGCAGCAGCGGCTGCTGCCCGTGCTGCTGCTACTACTCGTGCTGTCGTTGTTGCTACTACGCTTGCTGTCGTTTTTGCTACTACTCTTGCTGTCGTTGTTGCTGCTGCTGCTGCTACTAGGGCTGTTGGTGCTGCTCTTGTTGTCGCTCGTGCTGCTGCTACCGCTGCAGTTGGTCTTGCTACTACTAATGTCGGTGTTCCTAGTGCTGCGGCAACTACTGCTGTTGCTGCTGTTGTTGTTGCTGTTGTTACTGCCGCTATTGCTGCTGATGCTGTTGCTAATGCTGCGACTACTAATGCTGTTGTTTCTAAGGCTGCGACTCCGAGTGTTGTTGTTGCTCCTACTTCTACTACGGCCTTCCGTCTCCTCTCTTTTCCAGAGCAGGAATCCTTCGGCTGCATTGTTTGCCACTTCGACATACACCTCGATCTCCATATTTTTGTTGCAAAGGATGCCCGTGCAGCCACCCAGCCGGCCATGCGTCGCCCTCTGTTATGCTTAACCCTGTTCCGTCTGCCTCGTTGCTGCGGCCTACTACTGCAGATCGAATATTCCGCTGCAGTCCAGCACGCGTCGCCTTTAGCGCGTCCAGCGGGAGATCTTCAGCAGGCAGTGCCCTCTATCCTCTTCAGGCAAGCGCTGCACGTGCTGAACCTCTGTCCTTGCGCTGCTCTTTCCCCGCGTATAAGGGGCCGCCTCCCCCCGTCTCTAGGTGTTCGCGTTTTGCCGGTTTGTGCCGTTCGGCATTCTGGCCGCACAGACCGGCACCTTCCCTGACATCGCTGAAGGCGGAGGGGCAGCAGCATCAGAAGAAATAAAAATCACTCTGCATATCCTGCACCGAACCCACCAGGCTGCCGCAATGTTTGTTGCCTTTCTTTCACGCTCGCTGGTGCTTCTTGCGCGGCAGACGCGTGATGGACTAGAGGGCAGCTCCGCAGGAGCTACTGCTACCCCGACTAAGCAAAAACACGCTATTGGAAGCTGTCTGGGCTGTGCCTGCTGCAGGGGCTGCCCAAACATGAGCAGGCGGCTTCTGACGCAGCTTCTCTATCGGCTTTGCCTTGTGGAAGCGTTTTTATGTGTGCGTCTTTTTCGACTTGCAGATGGCAGCGGATATCTTGCTGCACGGCTCCGACTACGTGCTGGTTGGTGCAGATCAGGAGCAGCACCTCGAGTTTACCCGCGCCGTCGCTCGTCGCTTGAAAGCCGCACTCCCTCGCTGCCAGCAAGGCTCGAGGCCACCCTCCTTCCTCGCGCAGGAGCCTGTCTGCCTTGTGGCCTCCCCCCTGGCGGGACGCATCAAATGTCTTCGCTCGCCTGCTCTCAAGATGAGCAAGTCGGATCTCTCAGCCGCAGGGCGCTTGGAGCTTTTAGACCCGCCCTACGTCGTCGCTGAAAAAGTAGCCAAGGCGCTGACGGACGACCACCCTGGTGCGAAGAGAGCCACAAACACACAGATAAGCACACACACATGCATTCGTTGGCGGAGGGGGGAAGGGGTACCCGCTGCCAATGCTTGGCAATGCTCTGCAGATCCCGAGATCTCAGCCGTGCCTGCAGACGCTACCCAGGCCCCGGCTAAGGTCTGCCTTTGCTCATCAAGCAGACAGGTGACCTGTCGGTTTGTGGTGCACAGAAATCGGCTATGACCCCGTCGGTAGACCTGGTGGCAGCAACCTCCTAAGTCTTCTTGCAACACTGCAGGGGAGAACGCTCCCTGCGCTCCTTCGAGAGCTTGAGGGACAAGGCCACTCCTGGGAGGCAGTGAAGAAGGAACTCACAGTCGTCATCAACAGAACACTGGCTCCTATTCAGCGGTACGCAGCTTTTAGCCTCCCTTCATGCTTCCTGCCATTCAGTGCTGCAAACATCTATACTGCTACATATGTATATATGTCTGTCACTCCTGCTCCGTCCAAGTGCTTCTCGGCCTTGTCGTTTGCCCTTGAATGACGTACCCTCGTGCCACAGGGCGTCGTGCTAGCGTGCGGAACTTTCCACTTTCTGTCTTGCGCTCTGCATTCCCCCCTTCTTTGTGCCTCAAAAGGGCATCACTGTGCGTGACTGCAAGCATTTTTGCAGCATCCGTGCAGCAGGGCCTCGGTTGTCTACAGCCGAAAGCAGCTTGGTCGCATTCCACCTGGCCGTCATCGTCGTGCACAGGCTAGCTTTCTTCGTTGCGTTCTGTCCTTTAGGCGCTTTTACGAATTGATGAAGGCACCCCAAACCCTCCGCAGCATTCTGGAGGATGAGGCGGCTCTCTTCAAAGCTGAGGCCGACAGCATACTGATGCGATTTAGAAGGGCCCTTGGGCTTTATACTCCTTTGATGTGACCTCGCATCTGCGGAGATGGGTGTGACGTGCCACTGGGGTGGTTGAGGTACCTGTGCATGTCGAAAGCCGTGCCACGGCCCCCACCTTTAAGAATATCATGCGAGCAATGCGAGGGAAAAGGCTGCAATTTGTCGGGCTGGGATCTGTCTGTGAGAGTCCACTGGAGAACTGAAACTCCACCTGAAATACATTTGGTACGCAGTAGAGCGCGAGCCACGCTTCTGTTTTGAGGCCACACGAGTTTAAATAGCTTCTCGCGAATGTGAATATTGGGAAAGCTTCATTTGCTAAAGCCAAAAATTTCAGGGGCCTCTGGCTGTGCAGCTGTGGCCCTCGAGCTATGGTCTCGCCTCTCGGGCAGAGATCGCACCCCGCTTGCTGTACCAATAGTTCTTGTCGACAACGCGCCTCCTAGGTTGGCGTTTTTCGAACCCACTTATTCTTTTTGCACACTAGAGATGCCAAGATAATCCTATGTACTATAGCCTCAAACCAGAACCGAAGTACTATCTTTTGCGTGCTCCTCGAGGATGTCTTTAGGATTTAAATGTTGCTGGATTGCTGCCTTTGTTCTTTAATGCGTGCCAAAGATGATGCCAGAGCTTTTTGGATGCCTGCAGAGGTGGAGCAACAGCGTTGCTGACATCTGTTAAGAGTCTGCACAGGTGTTGCTGGTGACGACACAAGTGCAAGAACTCGTAGGCAAAGGTCTGCAGGCGCTTAAGCAGACCGGAATAACGTTTCTTACTGTGGCTCATTGGGGCGCTGGAAAGGATTGGTTAGACGCATACACCCCAGCTGCCTCAATATAACCCAAGAATAAGGTGATGGATATATGCATCCGCCAGCCAAAGGACAAGCTGTTTCACTACAACCACAAGCTATTCAGCTTCGATTCCTGCATGCGCAAGCGTCCCTTCGCCCCTTTGGACTAGCCGAAAGGACCTCTATTCCACCATGGGTATGACCCACGAATAAGGTGGTTGAAATATGCACTCGAGCACAACAGAACAATATTGTGTGCTGTCGTGCCTGTAGACACGCACCAAACACAAAAGCCGGCGGACATCAACAGAGGCCCGGCACATTTAGTTCCCTTCCACACTGCGATGCCATCTTTTCCTCAGTTCAAAACGTGGTGCAACAGTGAGAGCAGATCGAGGTGGTGTGCAGAACGTATTATGTAAATGCACATATATAATGTCAAAGCTTCTTGGATGGCTGCAGACGACGACCTAAATGACACGACCTTCAGACACGCCGCCGCGCCATGCCGGCCACAATGTGTAACCAGGCAGAAGAGCTTGCGTGCACGACTCGCTGACTCACTGCAATTATGATGGCTCATAGCGTCTTTTGGGAAGCCCTTATATTTGGTAGCCACGCACTGAGCTCAGAAAATATTGTCAACCTCTAAAGCTAGGCCCCCGACCTGTCTAAGGATGGGCACGTATTATCGTTCTGTTGTGCTTAAGTGCATATTTCCACCCAGCTTATTCGTGGGTTGTATGCATGGCGGAATAGAAGTCCTTTGGGTTAAATCCAAAGGGGCGAGGGGACGCTTGCGCATGTAGGAGGGCTAGCTTCGCTCCGCTAGATATTTAAACCCAGGTTCACTGTGTCTTTTTTCTGTGAGCCGTTGTTATCCACCGGGCCAAGGACAAGCTGTCCCACTACAAACACAAGCCGCTTAGCTTCGACTTCACTTTTGGCAGTATATCACCCCCAACTTGGCTAGCACTGTATTTCCGTAAATGCTGGATGCTCTTTAACTGCGCACTACAAATTAGCAATATTACGGCCAGTTTTTTTGTTAAGGAGTGTACGCAGATATTCCATTGTTCAGACATGCATGTTTCTATGGTGAATTGAAATGTGAAAGATGGAAAATTCATTCCGAAAAGGTGTCCTTTGGAATTTGTAGAGCTGCATTTAAGGTTTCGCTACGCACCAGTGTACTGAAAGCAAGTATATTGCAACCCTTGTTCATCGAGTAACAACTGCTTCTAATACTGCTCGAAATACGCATGTAGAGAACTGCTTTGGGCCACGCTTTCTTGTCCTAAGACCTTCCTAACCCGAGAAGCCGACATTTATTTCGCGGTGCCCCGACATTTCAGAATATATCCAAATACCTTGAACTGAAACGAATCTAAAAATACTATAAGCATTGAGCATTACTACTAGCCGATTACAACGCACAAATGCCGGAACTGCAAATATGGGGCCGCTGCATCGGCAGTCACTGTATCGTTGAAGTAAAAGGAAAACAGCAAAATCGATACAATAACAGGAGCTAAGGAACCTCCACTTCTTGTCACGTGCCGAGGACAGGGCACCTGCTAAGAGCGTTGTGGAATGATCCATACGTTTGTGCACCCCGCGGAAGCACTCGAGGCATTGCAGCAACCCTGAGGAAATATAACTTTGTAGAGAAGACAGAGTTGCACCTTACTTTTCTTGAATTGGGAATTTTAGCGGTGAAAGCTACACTGGGAAAGCTGTACTTTACCACTCATAGTTGAGAAACAGTCTAAAATTGACCATCTGATGCGACCGTGGGTTGATCTAATGTTTTAGGGAATAGCGTTAGTTTGATACACTACGGCGCAATATTGCTTGCGTGTGTCTGATGATGCTGTGCGCACTTGTCTGCGAATGCCTAGAATGTATAGATGATTCAGCTGCACGCACCGTAGCTAACCCTCTCCGCTCATGTCAAAAGCTCTGAGAGGGACCGATAGGCCGGAGCCCATTTGATTAACACTCAACAACTTGTTATGAACTTTGTGTTGAATCTTAATCTAAGTGTCTCTCTACAGAGGCCTCATATAAAGCGCTGCAGAAAGGAGATGGCTCCCTACTTCCTTACGTCGTTGTTCATAATCCGTTTGCACGCACGCCAACGCATCTTTTTCAAAGTCCCCGGGGAAGTAAACTGCTCGGATCGCCTGATCTTTCTCCTAGCAGGGGTCCATCATACCTCCATATTACCGTGCAGCACCTTCCCAACGAAATTTGAAAGGCAGTTGTCTGGATTAAGAAGAGTTGCTATACAAGACCACCTTTGTCGCCGTAGCATGTTCTGTTACTTCAGTGCCTGGGGGCCACCACTCACTGTGCCTAGTTTGGCTTGATGTTAGTGTTCTGTATTCATGAGCCACACAGGGTAATTCATTAATACTGCTATTTACATAACTACGAGTAACTGGGGTTCAATAAAGTCTACTTTCACTTGGCTCTAACCCGTGCTATCTGCACCGTTGACGCTGGAATGCCTCGCGGCACAGGTAAGATTTTAAGTATTTTAGGGCCAATTGAGCACTAAATGGGCCAGTATATTGTTTAAAAGAGTTTGTATGGTCGTTTCAGCAGAGAGGGGACCCTAGACACGCCAAGTGGGACTGATGCTCGTAGCGGAGCGGGACCATCGGACTTGCATCGCATGATAGGCAAATTGACACCCGAATATGAAACTCGACTCATCGAGCCAAGAGCAAACTTTAATTCGTAGTCATTTGATTTTCCAGGCAGAGACCCTTTGGAAAAATTGACCGTTTCGTGTCGTTGCCTTCCGGCCGCATGCATCGTCTGTCACTGGCTGCTGACGAAAGAGTACCTCTGTGGTCCTTGCATGTCCCACTAAATATGGGTTTCTAAAGGGGACAGTTTGACTTGCGCGATCTGTACGTTTATGCCGGCAAGACAGTGACCACAATTTGCCCGGCGTCTCTCCACACACATCTACTTCTGGCCTAAGGAAAGCAACAGCTCCTCAAAAAGTTTGCCGTCGGTCGTGAGTCTTCTCGTAAAGAGGAGTTTGGTTTCACTTTGCTCAATTTCCAGCTCTTGCTGGGAGGGGCGTGATTTTGAAGAGGAGTTTCCCTCTACCCCCTCTTGCATCACCAGCTACTCCACTCTTTCTTGTACTCACGGGACGCGGCAGACTACTTCTGTTGCCTGATACAGCAGGTTTTGTAGTGAGAGGGTACCATGGACGGCACAGAAGACCTCTCGCAGCTTATTGAGCGACTGCTAACGAAGGAGTTCTGGAAGGGAAAGCTAACTCGTGAGTATCCCCTCTCTTGGGGGCAACGAAAAGCCTAGTATAAATCAGGTTGCTCCTGCTTTCTGGTATTGCCCGTAGTTCTCGGTTCTTCATTAGGGCGCAACTTTTGTTGGCGCACAGCCTTAAGGGTTCCTGAGAGAAATTCTACTGAACACAAACGCATACCTTCGGTTTTTTAAAGCCAACAACAGGACAAGCTGCATGCTGTGCCTGAAATATGTGTGAACATGAAGGCTCCAACTTTATCCGAGTGCTTCTTGTACTGGCCTCTCTTTGCTGTCTTCGGTATTTAGGCGCCATGTGAGGGCAAATCAACATGTTGCTTCCTGCTTAGAGCATAAAATAAATTCTCTTTACTTTGGTAGCTACAGTGACAACTTAAGCTATATCTGAGCTTTTAGCTGCTTACTAAGTCGAGCTTAGCTGTCATTCTTGGGCAAATATGCAGCGCCGCATCGATATTGGGTATTGTCTTGATCTTTTGGAATTTGGGAGAGCGCACTGGTGGAGCGAGTGCATACTCCGTCTTCAACAGAGGTGCCAACTATCTCCTCGGTGATCTTCGGCTTGCCCGCATCGACCAGCAGCTGCGGCATGGAGGTAGTTCGCTCCCACTAGATCCATTTCTTTGCACCGCGGGTTATTGTTGTAGTCTTTTTCTCGTTCTTATCAGGGCAGGGTATATCTCGGATCTGGCTTTACGTGCATGTTTGCCCTTTGCGTGACTCTGCGATATCCAGGCATTGTTTTCACTCTAAAGTCAGCTAGTTTTGTTCATATTCTTTTCCGTTCCGCTGTCCGATGATATCCACCATTCTGTTGTCGCGGGAGCTTTCTGTCCTTGGTCTTGAACTGTGCTTCGTCTTTGTTGTACAGACGGGGGCCTCGAAGACGACGCCCAAGTAGTTGAGTACCGCGCCCCAATTGAGATTCGCTCACGAGATGCAAATAAGCGATGCCCCTGCGGCTCCGGAAAAAAACTAAAAAAGTGCTGTGGTATTTAGCCGCTTGTTTATTGGCTTTTTGGTCTCGTGTTGCCTCTCACTGGAACTCGGCACGTTCAGTCAAGTGATTTTCCATAAGCTTTTTCAACTTCGCGTACATCTGCGGCGGCTGTGGGAAACGGAGGACTGACCAGCTTCCTTTTAATTTCCTTTTCAGCGTATTTTCGACTAGCATGGGCATCAGAGAGGGGGAAGATGATCAAGCCGGATATTTATAGCACATCGTCCTTTACATAGCGTAACGTTTGCACTTGACTGCATAACGGGGCAGGTGGTGCCCGTTGAACCAACGCAGCGCGACTGGTGTGGAGTCCCTTGATCCGCGCCATTTAGAATAATTAACTCGGCATGTCTTGTGTGAGTTTAAAGCTGCGCACTTTTTCCGTAAACCGCTAAGCAGTTTGCACGGGCTATGTGCAAGTCTAGGGTGCTAACACATCATGGACATATGAAATACAGTAATTGAGCTTCTCTGTAGGATAATAGCGCGCTCTCTCTTAGCCAAAAACGGACTGGGATAAAAGTTTATGTTGGTTCGATAACTGAAGCAAATGTGTCACTGATGAGAAGCACATTTTTGCTCTAGCTGCCTTCGGCGAAAAACGATAGGAGAGGGAAATATATTGCTACAATACAAACACTCTCCTGGAAAAGTGTTGCCAGGGCTGTTCCCCACTTCTTCCACGAATAAGCGAAAGGACTAGTATTCCTCACAGCTTCGCGTTTCAGCTGTTGCTGGCTGTTCCAGTACAGTTGAAATCCATCGGGAACTAGTCTTCTACCTAAAAAGGCATCAACCGATCCTGAACCACGGCACGGTTTTTTTCGCTTGCGAGCGCCCATTTATAGAGAGCTACGTACATTTGTTAGTGAAATGGCAATACCTAATTAATGTGTGAGAGTATTGCATCTTCGGCTGGTCCAGCGTGATGCTCCATTTCACTCGAAACAGTAATCTTCATGCTACGACAATGTGCATAAAGTGTGTTTATCTAATGAATTGCTGTATATGATGGTATGGGAATTAGGGTGCTCAGAGAATCTAGTTACTTGCACCCTTTCCTTTCATCTGTCCTTATGTAGCAGGCTGATATACCCTCGGGAAATTTCATTATATTTAGTTCAGAATTGATTAAAAATTGACTTTTCTGCATTTTGTCGTATATCATATTGATCACAGAGTAGCGCTAGCTCAATACAGTAAGACAGTGCTGTGTGCATGTGCACGAAGTGCTGCGTGCATCTAGATGTGAATACTCCGCGTGGCTAGGGTATGACATTGCGCAACATAGCTGTACCTCTCCACGTGGCGTAACCATGAGTACCACGAGCAGGCAGAGGATAGAGATTTATTGGAAAACACTCAATAGCCTTTAAGTTTGTGGTGAGCTTCGAGCATACCCTCCCTGCGGAAACAGATGTAACGGTACATCGTCGGGCCAGTGCCTTGTGAGCCAAGGTCAACGAAATGGGACGGCCTCTATTAATCGCAATGGCCTGACTTGTCTTTATTTTTAATTGGCTTTCGGGCGCTGACGGGTCTTTATCAGAGGGTCTTGGAGGCTGCGTAGCCTTTGTCTATGGCAGTCCCCCTTAAAAGCTTCACTAGTTTACCGAAAGGTAGAGATTTTTATGTCCCAGTTCAATACTTCGGGGGAATCGTTTTTTTACGCACGTCCTGCTGCCGATAGACTAGAGCGTTGCAGGGCACCACCGGTGGCCTTTCGTGAGTTCTTATTCCTGAGAGATGCCTTAATGCAAAAAAATGCTTCAATTTATTCTGGGTGAACACTATTTGTGGTGGATCGATGGCGGTGGACGCAAGAATTAAGACGCAAACCTTTTTCCATTGGTGCAGGGTTCTGCACAGAGCTGCCCAACGTCGTCACGCAAGGCGGATACAGAGACTCAATCCGCAGCGCGGACAGGAGTACCTGCGCATATGATGAGCACAGATCAACAAGAGTTTTGGCTCCAAATGTTAAGATGGGCCTTAAGACTCAAGGGACTTGGCCAGAATGTACAGAGACCGCATGGGGCTGTCAGAGACTCTGGAAGAGACCTGTCTCGAGCGTGATGAAGCTTTTGGCCCTCCAATGTGAGTCTACTATTGAATACCGCGGGAACACAATATTTTTACCGTCTTATGGTCAGAAGGAAGAGCAATTGAACTTGGGCCAAGAGTAAAAGGTACCAGAACCATGTGACCCATAATATGTCCAGCGGTGTACGTTGCAAAGGATGGGACACTGGCCTGCATTTTCCCCAATGCTCAAAGCAAATTTTCACTAAAATAGCCTAATATTTGACCTTGCACTCGGGCATCAATATTCCACATTATAACTCGCATTTTTAAAACAGTGCACAGGGACGCCACACCGCCCAAGCGTGCACTATTTCAGAGTTGCTTTACAAACTTCTGGGTATATTATTCCCATGAGGGGGAATGGCTACGCGCTGCTCCTTTCGGTTCTGGTTTCTTGGATGCTGGATGCCTCTACGGCAATATTTCGTGCATCGCCCCTGGCCCGGATAAGACGATCGAGTAGTTTCATTAATCTCTCACCTCCAGAAGGGCCTCCCACTCCTGTCCTGACAAGCGATATTTCAGCCGAAGAAAGGTAAGTAATTTATGTGGCACCCGCTGCAGTTGTTCTGTGTGGGCTCGCACCTCCATATCCGTACGACACCAAAATTTGCGTATAGTCCTAAGCCTGCAAGTTCCTACCCCATCTGCTTTGTGATATGCAGCATGGATAACAAGGCCGAGGAAAGCCGTAGGTGAAAGCACCAGCCTTTTCGATAATTGTGGCATTTCCTCTTGTGGAATCTATTTGATAACTAAGCCAGTAGCACCGTCTCCGTTTTGCCTAGCCATCTTATCAATCAAAACTTAAGTTAGTCATCCCTCAAATAACTGCAAGTGGAGTCTGTCTTGTGCTTGCTGTGCAGCTGTAAGCAGGACATCCCCGCTTTAAAGCTACTGAGGGTCTTTGAAGGGTCTCCTAAGCAGAACGCTATGTGGTCTGCCGTACTGGTACCACTACCAGCTGCTACCTTGTTCTTCTACTAGGGGTAAAAGTGGGCATGAAAACAGCAGACTACCGGTAGGTGCGCTCTCAAATCCCTCTAGAAATATGCTTCGAACGTTGGCATTTGCATTGGGTTCTTCCAGGCTCAAGTGGATTCTCCCTTGGATGACCGGGGATACACGGGTACGCGTTCTCCCTGCATGTTGCACTTTGCCTTGGTTGGCAAGTCCAGTAGCATGCATCGTATGCCCGTGGAGATCCTGTGCATAGTGATTAGGAGTGGCAATCATATCTGGATTGTGTGATTCGGTCAGTGGAAGAGTTCCTGCGTAATAGTCCATCTAGAGATGAAATTTTGGCGGCCGCAAAAAATCAACAAAAGTTCAAGCTGGGTCCTGTTGACAAGATGCCCATGCAAAGCTGTGGGGCCTATCCCATGGCTAGGATATATAGCCCAGATGAGGTGGTTCGCCGGCTAAAGCTGCACTATTACCCATGTTTTGGGCCCCTAGATGACATGATACGGGAATACAATCTCTTTGTTACTGAACATGCTGAAGTGATGAGTAAAGTGAGGGAAAGCATACTGGCCAAGCCTCACAAGGCCTTCCGCCTAGCCTATATACAATGGTACGCCCTTGAGAATATTGTCTTATTGTGCACTGGTCGCGTGTTTATAATGATAAACTCTCCTCTGATATATCATACGTATGCATTCATCCTCCGTTTTAATGTGCCTCATAAATGTTGCTATTCAGGAATTCTTTAATGGTCATACCGAACACCCTGCAAGTACTGACAGCGTTCCTCAACGAAGACCAAGGATTTGCGGTTGACCAGGTCGATGGCATCACGATTCTGCTTCAAGAAAATTTGAGACTGAAGGGCAGGAGAAAAAAATTATTTCTGGAGAATATACACTCCATGTTAAATACCCTAAGCTCCAATCCAAACTGGGGAGAAGCCAAACTTTCGTACCTTGGCAACATCCTAGGAACCCAGGTCGACCCAGGGGCCCCGCAAAACACGCAAACCATCATATATATTTTTCGCGAGACTCACCAGCCAGTGGAAGTGTGCAAAGCGTCACAGTCCATCAACGGAAGAGAGAAAGGATTCATCGGGGCTGTATTCGACTTACCTCAGATGGGCAAACTCGCCGTGATGGGGGCACACCTGGACGGTTGGATGGCGCCGCAGTTCCTTAATATGTTCCCCCTGCTTCTCAGTAGCTGCGGCAGCACAGAAGAAGGTACAGTGGCGTAAAGCATAGGCCACGCGCGTTTAGAGATTCTCTTCGTAAAATGTAGCGACCCTTAACCTGTTATCTTCAAAGAGCACAAAAAGAGCGCATACCGCCATGAAATTCACGAAATCCTACTATGATTTTCTCCTGTCTCATTTCGAGCTTTGCTTGCTGTCTTTCTCTGAAGGACTTGACTCATTTTCCTTGGGTGTTGTTCTCGGTGGGGACTGGAACGAGCATTTTCATACTGAGGCCATGGACAGTTTATATGAGCTTGCCGGTACAGACACTGTCCGGTACCCTGCCTTTGATAAGGTGCAAGACTTGCCTTCTACAATGCGTGAGTTTCCTTTAGTCCACAGCCTGTAAAGTTAGATTTTGCTGGCAGTGTAGACCAAAGGGCGCCTCATACGTGAATTTCATGAAGAGCATGTATTTATCTGTTCTGCAGCAAATAATCTCAAGATGACAGCTTTGTTTACAGAAGCGTTGAGTGAACCTCTTGATATTATCGGTAGTGACTACCAACCGCTCCTTTGGTCTGGTGACAGACTTGGCAGGAGCGTTAACATGGTAGGAGCTCCAAAAACACTCCCTGCAGCTATGAGGCAAATGGGTTTCAGTATTATCAGCATCTGCTACAGAGCTGGATTTACATACAAGTGGTCCAGAGGGTGCGACTATCCGAGGTCTGAGCCCATGCCGGTAAGCACTGATAATCCATTTGTGCTTCCACACTGGGTAGATAGGGTTTTGGTGAGCACACCACCAGCTGCCCCCTCTACGTGCCACGGAAGCTTTGTCCTGACAACTCCGTATGGCTGCTAAGCAGGTGCACTCGCGTTTGCTTCTTTTTGCATCTGAACGCTGTCTCAGGGCCATTCCCCATTTAGTGTGTTGAAGACTTGCCTGGAACCCAAGGTACTCGCTTCGCCACGAGGTGCCGGATACCTCGACAGGGTTATTGTTCGCACTGCCACAGCTAGCAGTGCAGCTCTGGATCAGCTGTTGGAAGCGGGAGCGGTGACGGGAGAATTACCGAAGAATTTTGCCTCGATAGTGAAAGGGGTCCAGGTATACGATATGCGTAGCGACCACGTGATGATGGGTAATATCATTGAGTTCCTTCAACCTACCTAAAAGCTGAGATGTCTCGGAGGCATTGCATTGCTGAAGTGCTTTATGCGCTTAAGGGGGTGAAGATAATTTCACATTTGCTGCACATTGGCACTCAGGCGGCGTCCTGGTATTGCGTCAATAGACGGACATCTTCAGATTATAAGGGATGGCATGAACCCTAAGCAATACCTGGGGTTTGGCCTCATTTGGTTCAAGCTAGGATGTATACTGGCCCTAAAGGTGTCAGCGTCCTTTTTTTGTGGTGTGCTAAGTGTTATAGCGCTGAAATCATGCGATGGAGCTGGAAAGGTCAGTCTCCTATTGCACACTGCCTCTTGCCAAGAGGATATTAGAGACATTTGCTTGATGAGCTCAACGATCCCTTGTATACTACATTTTTTTTTGATTAGCACACTTTTCTGTATAATTTTCTGATACTTACCCTGTCAATACCACAAACTCTTCTGTGGGCAACGCACTGACAGATCCAAAGTATCAGCAACAGGAAGTTTTAACCGCATTCCACTCACCATCGCCCACTTCGAAAACGCGATGTGCTGTGTCTTCATGTAGATCCCTAGTACCAAATGCCACTATTTTGGAACGCGGAATGGACAGGCGTTGCTTCCAATCACGGCCGCAGGTTGCCTGCGTAGTGTGGCCAGTTTATCAATTTCAGTTGAACCATTGAGCTGATATAGTTGAGCCCTTCCCCCAATTAGCCTTTTCATAGCAGAGGTAGTCACCTTGCATGGAAAAGGCTCACGAATGTACCATACTATTTATAATTACGAAGTTCTCACCTTCATCGCTGGTTCAAGAAGTCCCCCTTCGTGACCTATTTGATAGACTTACACTCTGAATGGCTAAAATGCATGGAAGTAAACTTAACGTCCCGTTGCCCCGAGAATACCTGGGTCTTTGGTGCCTCACTACTATTGGCTTTGAACCGCTTTGGACTTGTTTGTATACATGGGTAGGTGTCGAAAGGCTCTCAGACAGCACGAGATATCAACGTAGCAGTCAAGTCCCTCTTTGCATAAATCTACTGTTGAGGACTGAGTTTACTACCAAATTATTCGCACTCCAGTCCAGCGGTGCGTGACTGCGAGATATGGCCCCTGGCTTAGAAGCACGCACAATGCTTCTTGACCAATGAACGGCACAATAACTTTGTTCGCACTCATCGTGCCTGGGCAGTCTATATTTACAGTATACTGTATAAAACTCTTTCACACTTGTTAACGTCCATGAATTTGCACTATTCCCTTGCGTAAATACATCCTTATATATTCCAGGACAGTTTTGGACACTCTTTAACGCTTAAACAATTGAATACGGTAGGTGGGGGCACCCACACGCCTTTATACGTGTGATGGGATTAGGAGGTACGCTGGTTTCTGTGTGTTGACCCCGGTGTGAAGCATCCGTTGTCCAAGCTGTAAGTAATATCCATGATCACAGGCGTGCGAGATTCCGCTCGAGAGCTGGAATTGTGTTTTTTGTTTTGATTTCTTGATACTTCACATATGCAGGGATAATGCGAGACTCTATTGGTGAAGCAAAAACACAACTTGTTGGTCGGTGTCGTCTTCTTATTGGCAGCTTGGCATATTCCTTTTTGTTGGTGTAAGGTATACGTTCAATGTAGTATATGCTGAGTAGCGTGTGTAAAAATACTGGCCGAGCCTGGTGGGTTTTACGTTCTAATGTATGCCATATCGCAGGCAAATCGCGTGCAAGTAGAGTGTCTGGGCCCGGAACATGCCGTTCTGTGGTTTTAGTATGTGCTACAGAGGTACATCAGATATTAAATACGAGGCAGCTGATCGCATAGTTTGTGGCTTCTGGGTGGGACACTAAGAGCTGTAAAACATTGTGCTATGCAACCAGCTGGATGCACGACCTGGGGCTGCTTAGCCATTCAACGTCGAAAGAAATTTGAATTTCCTAACAGGTTTTATCAATTTTGGGTTCCTCATATTTCGAGAACACGAGGTACCTTTAAACGCTGATGAAAACCTTTCTAGGGCAAGCACAGCACCATCTCTGGAATGAGGAAACACGGGGCAACACACTTTCTCATTTCTGTAGAGTCGTCGCAGCAGTCATGTAATCGGTAAACGAAAAGACTAAAAACAGGCCTACTGCAACAGTCAAAATGCCCTTTCATCACAGCAAGCGAGCGGGTTACATTGCACATCGATCTGAAGGAATGTGGTCCTCTCTTCTTAACCAATAAGCTGTATTAGCTCCAGTTTAGAATGGGCCAATCCATCTTATGATTCATCCTACATTGGAAAGATAGATGCTGCAAAGCTCGATAAAAATAATGGGCATGTAAATACCGGCGATAGGACGCGTTCTTTCTGCAGCCTATCATTAAATCCAGATTCATATGTGTTGACACGAAGAGAATTTTCCAGCAAGAGGACCAAGTAGTCAATGTCAGCCGTTATTTGTGCGGAAGCCACTGAGGATAAGACGAATCCTATTGCCGAGTAAAATACACTGGAGCTAGGAAGTGCAATGTCGTCCCACTAATAGCAAGTTTCTTTGAGCTTGCTGCCCTGAGTGTTACTATTGCGTGCAAATAAGTTCATGCATCACGAAGAGAATAAGGACACGTTGCATCTAGCTGGTTATATCAGAGTGGAATAACGCGTGGGTCGGGATACGGTGGCCAGCTTCCTTCGCTACTTTGAAGCTTGTGTCATATGGGCTGCAGACGACTTCTTCTGTTCCACCGCATGCTCCAACAGCAAGCAGACTCCCACTTAGGCGTGGATTGCCCACTAGCAATCCAGCTGTCAAACGTCAACAAATGGTTTGACCTTCGTGAATACGCCGCCCATCACACACATCGGAAAAACCTTTTCTGCCCATTGAATAGTGGGCATATCTTTTGTAGTGTGCATGAAGGCGTTCAAGTTGCAAAATTATACTTATGTTAGGAAGTTAGGGAACAGCTTCTAATCTATAGTATTCTTCGGCGGCTGCAAGTTGCAGTGGTGACACTGTATGCTTACTCTGCAAGCATCCTCTTTGTGGAAGCCTGATATTGGCGGGCATGAAATTACGAAAGGAAAGGCAAGCACTGCTTGTCCGATTTTCCTTGCTATGGACTGCATTGGGCTTAAGCTCCTAACCAGCCCATTTTAGGCACTGATTCGGGTAACGAATGATGTGGAACTTGCAGCTAGATCAATGCAGTGGAGAAATATTGTTGTACTTCATAGTCCTTTCCCTTTGTACTACCTTTATTGTGCAGAGAAGAAACAATATCTGGATACTGACAGGACGGCTGGTGAAAAAATGGGGGGGGGAGAGGGAAAGAGTTGATGCGTTGTAGCTAGTGGCCATAATAAATGACGGCCGGATACAATTGCTTAGGTTGCCGAGGCTGTGCAGCAGTCAAGAGTTACTGAATTCTCCCCTCACACCCCCAATCCTTGTACTAGGCATAGTAAATGGTCGGACCCATTTACTTGTTTTAGGCCATTACGAACACTAGACCAGCTTCAGGTGTCAGAATGCGCATGAGAAGTCGTTGAGGTCGGCTTGGGTCAGCATGCAAAGGTAGTGGAGTGTAGTGTGTGCTTAGTTGTAACTTCTGGGCTTCCGAGCGTTGAACACATGGAGAAGCTACGGCCTGTATACGCAAAAGCCATTTACAGAAATTTTTCTTCGTTTTTTGTATTGATTCGAGCATAGGGAACGAAAGCTCGCACCAAAAACCTTTCAAGGATTATCGCACCACTGTGCGATGGTACCATATATTGATGGAGCACTAGCCAGGGCTCTGAGCAACCAGACACTCTTTGGTATTCATACACATGCGTCTTCTTCATCTTCGTGCATATGAAGTCGGTCAGCACGCGTGAATAGTACTGGTATTATGAAGAAATTTACACAAAGGGAGAACCTATCTGCGTAACGTGCACGTGCCTAGCTTGCTCAGGGCCGCACTACACTGTTCAAATGGGAACTCACGTGGTGAAATCCGCGTGTACAGGCAATTCGTCGGTACTGTGTAGTTAGTTAGATACCTAGAAGTCGATCCAAAAACGTCGGGGCGTTCAGGATGTCCTCAGCTACGTAATTCGAGGGCTGGAGCAGAATTTTAGAGCCCTGCGTTTTCTTGATTGCTACACGCTTTCAAGTGCGAAAGTGGGGCCTTTGGATGGTGGAAATCTGAACCTGTATGTAAGTGGGGCTTTCTTAACTCAGATAGCTGATTATCCTTAAAGTGTGGGTGTTTGGCCCCCCAAAAGTCTACGGCTATTAGAGCCCTGGAAGCTGACAGAAAATACGCGTGAGGAACTGTCACTGAAATCAATAAACGAGAGTAAGCGGGATTACACATCTGTTATCTTTACTCGCTTCCCTCTTGCAGTAGCGTTCAGTCCATGTTGCACCACTGTTAGTGGCAGTATTCCTTCTCAGTGCAACGAGCCTGTGTTTGTCCTTGAGGCGACTGGCGCTCTCATGTAGCTCAGGGAAAATGCTACGGTTGTATGCAATATGAAACAAGCCAGTTTTACGAGTATGCGGATGTGGACTCCTCGTGAAGTCGTATTACGCCAAGAACTGTATCGGGATTTGCTCCTTGTCATAAAACATGAGGCAGGTGAGATTATAAGAATGCTTGTATTAAAGCAGCGGCAGCACTCAGTCATCCTTTCAGTTTAGGCAGGCTTTGAGAGCCTTAGAAACGACAGTTGCCGTTGGAGCGGGCGCTCTTGTGTTTCTGGCTGATATCGAATACGAGCTGCAACTTTGCTTTTGTTTACTCGGCAATGCAACTAGAAGCTGCCGGAGCAGGCAAGGCGGCGCCGGCTGATTGTGCCTCACGTCTCACTTTTAGCTTGTGCTTGTAGACCAAAGGATTTAACAAGGCTTGCTAGCTTTCATCATGAGGAGCACGAATTGCCCATGTTTTGCAACGTGGATACCACGTACGCTAGACAGGACTAATTGTGTTAGTGTGATGTCAAGGCAGTTGTTTGCTGGTCAAAAATGTGAACGCGTCCATGAAAACCGAGGTTTTGTCACTAGTTGGATCATCTAAACCGGGTTTTTCATACCACTGGCATACTATTAAAGTGAATTGGGTGCACTCCGGCCGGCCGTGCGCGCAGAAGGCCTAGCCAATGCACGTGGGACTGCTACTAGTGTCATTGCTAATTCCAGAGAGCATAACAGTCGATCCGCTTTACGATTACCTAGCATTATGGCCGTCAACTGTGGCAGCTGTGCGCCTTTGAAGTTTCGCGGCGCCCAGCTAACTACGGAGTGGAAGGCTTAACCAGAAGAGATATTCCGGTAGCGAGGCGACGAGATACTGCGTCTGACCGTAAAACAAATACTGTGACTTAGCCGCGTTTGCTTCCAGACAGCGAACAGATAACACAAATGTTTGCACCTTCACACCAAGGCTATTGCAGCAGCTTGCATTCCGTAGAGGGGGCTATCCGTTACAGCAATACGCACTAAAATTTGCTCAAGAAGCTGGCTTGGGGCATGCTAGCTGAAGCATGCGCAAGTCATCCCTTTCCACCAAATTCATTTTCTTTTAACGGCGGAATTCCCAAGTGGGTAGAATGATGGAGCTGCACCAGATAGCTGCAAATAGTATTCTTTCCAATTATTGCTAGTACAGAGATATGTAGCAAGACTCTAGAGCTCCGCCCAATGCTCTTTGTCGCTGAATTATTGTAGCATATGACTTTAGAAGTGCCAGCCTTCATCTGCATCGCCATTCAACATATGGTAGAAGCGATTTGCTCGCATAATCCCTAAAATACCTGCCTTCATGTCTTCACAAACCGTCATTCATAGCTACAGAAGCCACTTGAAAACATGTACTTGAGACGTGGCCGCTGTAAACAGGGACTATATCATTTCAGCAGATGCAATTTTTTGACTCTAATTGAGGCCACGCAGTCAGGGCTGCTGGGGTACTGTTTAGGATACATGGTGCACACTATCAAAAGCTTGCAACTATATGGTGCTAAGTTCCTACTATTCTTCGGTGCGGAAAACAATTCCAACTAGATTAATATGGAGCTGCACTCCTTCCAGCCCATAAATCCTATCGTTGTTCAAGACATTGCCGGAGAGGCACTACCATCAGGCATTGCAACTACAGAATATTCACTGCTTCAGGGGCTGTATCTGGGCTGCGGATATCGCCCTATTGCTCTGCGAGCCTCTGCTAATGTAATATCTCCAGCAACTCTCTGTATCCTCTTTTTGGGTATGTTGCAGGCCATTAGATTTTTCCGTATTACAAAGCCAGCTCTTGTCCTACTGCTAGCTCCACCTTGGCAACGGAGCAGAACAATAGTAATCACCTCCCGTGAAGGCGCGGCTTCTAAAATTTCTACGACTGCAAAACTTGGGGAAACGTACAAAAACCTATTCACTACAGCCACTTTGTTAAGAGATTCTGTTACAGGGTATCTGCTGCTTCACTGATGCTAGCCAACACACTGTTTCACTGATTACTTCGTGTTCATGAAATGTAGAAACTTTCCACTGCCCCATGATTTCGGAAATCAACAAAGTGGGCGCTTACTGAACAACGGCCCATTGTATCACAACTAATAAGGCCCACCTACAATGAAGCAGAAAACGCGTAACTAGATATATATGCTTGGCCTCACTCTCTTTCCATTGCAAGTATTCAGCATTCAGTCCTAGAACTTCGTAAAAGCCACAAAGGGTCTGGTCTGACAGGTTTTTGATGGCTTTATGACTGGCATTTTCCCTTTCTTCAATCTTCGACAAATTACACCCGACCATTGCAAGTATTGGAAGTCTCACGAGTTTAGTATTGGCAGGACGCCAAACTTCCTTGAAGGCCTGAGTAGCAGTATGTGTGGGCGACTCTTCGTTAGAAATGTATTGCCGCATGAGCTTGTGCGAGCAAGCGAGCTGAATGGGGGCTAGTCAACGCGATGGAAAAATTTTAACGAGCCGCATATTGGAAGCTCTGCCGGCATTAGATTCAAAGTTTTACTTGTTAAGCCAAATGAGGAGCTGTTCGCAGAACTGAAATCAGACTTTAATGAGAGGTAATCCTTAGGAATTTTCTCTAATATATGGCACAGTTTTTTGCATCCCGAAAGCATCGCAAAGTGGCAAGCTGCCTAAAAGCTTCAAACCATACTGGCGTGGCCCCTGCCCAGGGCGACGAAGAACAAGGCGTCCCTTTCTGACTACGCTTTTGCCGGATCTGTTTCGCTCTGGCTCCAGAAAATTTCACACCGATTCAAGAACCATTTGTACTTGGAAGGCGAGAAGGACTTCTAGCATACACCACTAGTCATGAGAATTTCGGATAATGCCGTTGCAAGCCATGCCTCTGCGGTTGCAGTACTTTCAACCGCAATAGATCCATTGCTCTGTATGCTCTTTACATGTGTCATCTGTTTCATCGACCACGTGGACAGCTTTGCGCAGTGGTCAATAGACCCTGCGCAGCAGAGCCGTGTCGTTAAGGCCGTCGTATGATTATTCAATATAAAAGCACCGTCGCCTTCTTGCTGCTTGTCTTTCTTCTACAGCTCCAATGCCATAAGCTTGTTAAAAGGCTATGCATAAAGTAAGAGACCTGCGTGGTGCGCTACAGCTTTCTTACGGAATAAAAAGTCCTCTTCACCACAGTGTCCGCACACGTGGACAAGTGTGAATGCCAGCATATGAAAAATAGGGTGAAGTGTGCATCATAAATGAGAAGACAGAGGAGATGTCATTTTTTTCTGTGTCAAAAAGCCACAGTCACTTGCTGTCTCACGGGGCACGGAAAGGAATCTCCTGGCAGAATCAAAGTTCCTGAAACGGCGTCAGCAGTGAAAATTGATTTGTTGCTTCCAACGCAAGGCACACACGTGGAATGGCTCTGTGGCGCTGAAAAAAATTATCTGACGCCAATTTTATTGAATCTTGGTTTATTTCAGCGTTTCTTAGGTGGCACATTCGGAAGGGACGGTGTCTCTACTTGGCGGTCAGCAGCTCTCCGTTTTCCCCGCCGGCGCACGGCTGTCGCACTGGACGGCCTCTTTGACACATTTGACAAGAGCGACCTCCTCGAAGGCCTTGCTATTTTTTGCAGAACTCGAAGTGCTCCGCTGAATGTCTCTTCAAGTATCAGCACTGCAGCAGTACAGGCTGCAGCGACTACAACAGCCGCGGGCGACACCCCTAAGGCTCCATCCCCCAGGGGCGGTCACTGGTCAGGCTTCTCTGGCATTTCCGACTGCTATCCCTAGGCGCTTTCATTATATTGGCTTCTTCTAGCCGCAACATAGGGCATATGAAGAGGGGCTGCGAGACCGTGCAGTCATAGACTCATAAGCATACCAGGGCAGGCCACTAGACAGTGGCATCCCAGCTGCTGCTGCTGCATTGCAGCAGCAACAGCAACAGGAAGAGAGCATAAAGCATGTAAACATACCTCATGGCATCGCAGTACGAAGCATGAGAAGACACGTGGAGGGCAGCTCTTGCGGTGTCCACAGGACCATCGCCAGCTGTCTTAATAGCCTCACCCTCGGCAGCAGCAGAAAAGCCGAGCCCGACGAAATTCAGCTCCACGAATGGAGGTCTTCAGACATCTCGAGTGGCCCTCTTGTTGCGGATGGCATAAACAGGTCTACACTGAAACAAAGTGAAAAAGGGGGAATCCTTGCCGTCGAGGCAAGGGGCTGCAACCCAGATGGCGCTACGCGCCGCCTTCGGTGCTTGAAGAGAAGCATTATGACTCTCTGGGGGTCGCTTTTGTTGCTGCTGCTGACGGCTGCGTGCTGTGCGTCAGCAGCAGAAGGAGCAAGGGGAGGAGAGCACGCTCGTCTTGACGTCGGCGAGGCTTCTGTCCCCATGGAGGATTCGCCTTACAATGCAAATTTCGAGTTAGAAGGCGCACCAGTGCGCAGGCTCAGCGGTGTCGCGGCTTGGGCTGCAGATGTCGAATCAGCTCTACGGCTGAGTCCCCGCCTCAGCCTCTATTTGGGAGTGTTCCTGACGCTGGCGGGATCCTTGCTAATGGCAGGGGGAAGCACGCTGATGAAGCTTGGTCTCAGTGTGGAAGATGAAGACACTATGAGAGGGCAGTCGTGCGACCAGCAATGGCTCTGGGGCTTTGGAGGTGGGTTGTGTGCAAGCGCTTCAAGGGCCTCGCATTCATGGCGCCTGCATGCCTCTTTCTACGTCCCCGTCCCCTTGTCTGCAGGGGGCAAGTGTCATGTAGATGATGCTTGGCCTGCTTCCTGCTATAAGACTTAACCGAGCAACACAATAAGAGAGCGAACAGACGGCAGCGTCACAGCTCAGTGGCAGCAACAGCGCATGGCACATCGTAAAGTAGAGGGTCGCTGTGTGTCTGTACAGCATACGTCATAGGGGCAGCGCTCCATGTGATTGCCCTGGGATTCGCTCCTGCAAGCGTCTTGTCACCCATGAATTCTATCGGCCTCATAGCCAACGCTGTGGCTTCGGCGGTCAGTCCAGAGTCGGCTAATTGCTTTTCTCTACACAGTACCAGTACTCCCCACTTCCCTCCCAATCGGCCTCCGAGTCTGCGTATAAGGCCTCTTTCTAGATTCAATTGAGTCTGTATTCCCCTTTTCGATACGTGGGACATGGGCATTTTGGCAATTAGGGCAGAATAAACCGCAAAAGCGAGCATCGCTATGCACACCCAGCAACTTTGCAGCAAACTAGCCACCGGGCCCCTTTGGAGTTCAGTAGATAGTCGCTATGTCTGTTTGTCTGTCTGTCTGTCTGTCTGTCTGTCTCTCTCTCTCTCTCTCTCTCTCTCTCTCTCTCTCTCTCTCTCTCTTTCTCCCTCTCTCTTTTTTCTTTTTTCTCTCTCGCAGGTGAGTCACATCCCTCCGGTTTGTATGTACTTGTTCAGTACAGTGTGTATTAAGGCAGTCATTTGTGTTACATCATCTAGTCTTGCGTGTGGGGGCCGCGGGTGGGTGGTGGCTGGTCGTCTGCGCCTGCGGTCGGTCTGCTTCTAGTTTATCTGACAGTGGGTGGTGCCGCTGTGGCAGTGGGAGGGGAGTACGATTATCTCGGCATGAAAAGCGGAAGAGTCATACA